TTGGGGCTGCCAGCCGAGTTCCCATTCCTCGACACGAACGCGGATGTCCTTTTGTAGCTCGATTTTCTTCTTCTTCAACTCCTCGCTTGCTGGATAGTTCTCCAACAGATTGTGGAGATGGAAGGAAAGTTCGTGTTTGAGCCTGTTGATGGCCTCTTGCGCAATCCTGTGCAGATCTCGTGGCACCAGCGCTTTTCTGGCCTCAAGCCTCTCAGAAAGCTTATTCACAATCGGCCTAGCGATATGCACACTGATTTTGCGAATTTTGTTGGTCACACAGTCACGGCGTCGCTTGTAAGAACCATTGCCCTCTGATATGCCAGGTCAGTAACGGTTTACAAGGTGATTATTGTCATGGTGCTGGCTATACTTACTGATGTTCAGAGCAGCTTCGAACACTGGCTCCAATTCCCGTCCATAAAGCTCGACAACATCATCGGTGACTTCAGAGGCATCTTCGGATAGTTTGTCCAGCATTTTCTGAATGTTGCTGTCGCTGGGCAGCAGACCATCGTCGGCGGTCGCGGCGAAATGGTTGAAGCTCACTTCCAAGGCTGGCAAGTTATCCCTGATGTCCTGTTTGAGTTGGGACACGTATTCGGTCCATGTCTTTTTGAAAGCTTCCATGATTGGGGCTTTTATTTCCATCAACCTTTGATTCATTTGGTCATCCCATTCTTTGCAAATAGATCTCAGTAGTAGACCACCTCTGCAGAACATGTCAGTTATATGGCTGCCCAACCATTACCATCAATGCTTACAGGTCTTCTAGCCAGTTGTACGTAATTCCAGTGCCCTTCGGGGTATACATAGAGCCATTGCGAGAGAGTATGGCTGTGTAAGTGTTGCATCGCATCATCTCGGTGTCGTGATCATCGGCAGGGTACTTGCGGGACCACTTTGCTGCAACTCTCACAGCCTCATCACTGGAAGCTTTGCAGATCCTTTTCACGTCTTCGAGGGGGTTCAGTTCTTGGATCTTGAGGGCTGCTTTGGAGAGGCTCGCTCCCAATTTCTGTTCTAGGTTAGTTGCAGATTCGGCGGTCACCACGCAAGTGCTTACAATAGAAAAGTCTCTATGGGTCTGGGCCAGAGAATCTTCGACAGTCGAACGGCTGATGTCGAAGTTTGCGTCAATGCCTTTCTCCTGTGAGTAGAACCTCATCATGGCCATCAGCCCTTGGTAAGCACCGAGGACATCATCAAGGTGCTTCTCGCGCTTGCTCAAGGTTGCCTCAACAAGCCACTCCCTTACCGCTGGCAAACCTGTCGATGATATCGTGGTATAGCTTTGAATGGGAGGCTCCTTTTGTCTCAGTCTCCAATAAGCCTTGCTAGAGACGGGAAATATGGGCAACGGAGGTGAGCCCTTGTCGGATCGATTGAGCGCTGCTTGTCGGATCGCGTGGCTTTCCTGAAGTCTATCCTTGACATATTGGTTGCGTGTCTGGGTGACTTTATTATGAAGCCAGTCCTCGATCCCTTCCATCTCCTCGCAGACTTTTTCGATGTTGGACTTCAAGGTATTGATCATATCTGAACCTCTTTTGTAAGCCGCTGTCGCATTGTCTGCTTTAGTTTTGAGTTCCTCGATATTCTCTCCGTTGGCGTTTGACTGATCTATGATAATATGTGAGTAGGTAATCTTCGCCTTGTTGATGAACTAACCTTCGCTTTCAGGTAAGAGGCTTTCCTCGGCCATGCGATGATTCTCATGCGCCTCCTTTCTTTCCCGCTCAACCAATTTGAGTTTTGCTTGAGTGTTTCTCAACTTTTTGTGGCCATTTTGCTTCCTCTGTTGGAGTGTTTCGAGGTCCTCAAGTTTCTGTGAGGTTTCAGGGTCATTCTGGAGTTCGTATGACCCTTCAACGTAAGTGGAAACATCGATCTGGTCCATCATTGACAGTATGACGCCAAAACCGCGCCCGTCGTATTTGCCGCGAATCTTCATCTGAGCCTCGTCAAAACCACTTTGCATCAATGCTTGACCTTGCTTCTCATCTGTTGCCCGGGCGATAGGACTGACCACCAGCCTAACATCCAGACGATGGGCAAATTTCTTTGCAATCTCGCCGCGACTGGCAGTCGCATCACCGCATCCTGGTAGATCGACAACAGTCATACCAGGCCTGAGGAAGTTGGATTTGACGTACATATGCACATCTTGGATCAACGGCCAGACAGAAAAAGGAGATCCCGCCCCGTGATTTACAGCCGTTGAGTCCAGGAATGGCTTGATCTTGCGATTGAGCTCTTTTCTCTTTGCGGCGTTGAACTCGATAACTCCATCTTGTAGAAAGCGACAAGCTTGAGGGTTCTTTTTTAGAATCCACTGCACGACTTTGTGGTAGGACTGGTCGCTATTGCAGGTGTCTGCAACAACTTGGAGTTCCTCTCGCTTCATTCCCCAAACAGCTTTGATCCTGGGCAGCTCCCAGTTGATTCTGTTTCCAGTGTTGGTGATTTCATCTTCTCTCTCTTCGGGGTCATCGCAATCCCTGGGAAGAGTGTTCTTGAGTTTTGAAAGGCGTTTCATGTCTTTCAGAAGATTCTTGATTGATTGTTCGATGTCAGCTTTGTCGCATAAGGTGACCTTGGCACGGAATTCGGATCCGGGTTTGTCATCCCAGTTCCAGGAAGCTTTCCCAACGACTGCAGTCGCTGCTCCCTGTTGTCCCGATGGGAACAGTTCGGAAAGCCCTACAAGTGCAGCGAGAAACGACGATTTGCCAGCACCGGTAGGCCCTTCGACACCGACGAGAATCTCGTGTTTGTGGTGTCTGTCGCGAAGATTATCTAAATACGGTGGTTAGTGGACGGAGTTTGAACATAACGGGCATCTTCAATGAACAAAAAAAATACTTACTGAGTTCTTCTATCCACTGTTTGAACATCTTTCGTTCAATCGCCAGGGAGCCTGTAGAGATGGCGTCCTTCTTGGCCTTCCCAAGAGCTGATTCCAAGACATGTTGGATTTTCAGGCAGTTCTCTTCGGCTTGTTCAACAGCCACTTCTTTAATGTTGAGTCGCATAGACTCGTTCATGTCCTGACAAGTTGCCCAAAGGAACTTGGCTGGAGTAGGTTGTACTTTGTGCGATTCATCTGTCTGGCGCTTCGCGGGAGCGATGTCGGATATCGGCGAGACTCCTGGAGGCCGCTCACGCTTGATAGCGCTCGGGGGCAAGTCACTTGCCATGGCTAGAGCAGAATAGAAGAGCTTAGAAATCTGGCAATAGGTAAGTCAGCATACGAAATAAAAGCGACTAACACCAAATCCAACCATAGAAATCGTCAAATGTCTCCACTGAATGATGGGAATGACAATATGCTCACGAGTTAAGAAAGCAACACAGGGAGAATCTGCCACCGAAGACAAGATCGGGATGAAGTGCCAAGGGGGGGAGATGAAGAGAGGTGAGACAAGATGATACGAAAGGAAAGACGCCAAGGATCTCTGGGAGTCGGGGCAGTATAGGATGAGATTTCACTGGAGAAATGAAGTACGAGAGATGAAAACTCGTGATCTACCTACCAGGGACTCTGAATGCGCGACTCTTCTCTTGAGGTTGAGTAATAGTGTTAGTGTTGTGAGGTTGTAATGGCAAAAGGTGAGGACCTTCGGTGGTGGTACTCTGAAGTTAGGAGATGGGTTGATGAAAGGTGAAATGCGGAGGAGAAGTGGGTTGATGTGGAAGAAGCGAGAGAGGTGGCAGGAGGGCATGAATCATAAACGAACGCTGCCTAAATGCGCTACTTAACGCGTCGCATTCACTGCTTTTACTTTTAAAATACATGAACAAAGAATTAAGCATGGCCTGTAAAAGAACCTTCCCATACTGCTGGTATTTGCAAGTTTCAGCCACCACTGATACCACTTGCCCCCCTTTAAACAATAATTCAGCTACTTGACCTTGCATTGAGGTAGAAAGGTCTGAGTATAATGAAATACAAACGACTCTGTTGAAGTTACTGATATAATTGATCGTTAGCACGGGTACCTGCTTCTAAATCTCAGGTTTACCAACGGCATATGCAGCCAGGCGATACGTTAATTGACGGCCACGTCGTAGCCTGAGATTAGGACTGTGGGAAAATGGACACCCGTAGCAAGGCCTATCATTGCTTAAACCACTTCAGGCACATCGCTTGTTCTTGAAGGCCATGGTGATGCACCATAAGAAGGACATGCAAAGCCAGGTCGTTGCTGGCTGTTACCGATCTCAGGCTTGACTCTGAGGTAAACTCTTCTAATATACCGTATAAAGAAAAGATGCTATCCATTCAACACCCCCGTGTAACCATTGTTCCTTTGACAACGACTTCACTCCTACCATGGCTTTATTGTTTAAAGTCGAACAAAAAGGGACGAACACCAAAAGATACACATACAACACCAGGTATTCGCTGGTCGTCACCGACCCAACTACTAATCCGGCGCTTCGCGGCTTGACTCTGGGGGAGCGAACGGGACCCCGTATTTTCCACGAGCTGTGGTCGTATGTGCCTAGCGACTCACGATGTCCAAGCCAAAAATCCATGGTGTTGTGGCTGAGGTGGGCTCGCTTATCTGACCCACCTAATTCCTGGCCCAATCTCCACCCGACAAATGGCAACGTCGGTTACTCGCCCTTCACTTCATGCACCGCCACCTATAACAGTCTGCGCGCACACTGTAATCTGTGCTTCTGCCGATATACTGACCTCAGGCTTCCTGGTGTCACCAGACACTTAAGATTTGCCTTGCGTCGTTAGAAACAACCGTTTCTTGATATGTGTCTTTGAAGTCAGCTTATTAAAAGGCTTCGGGCTGTTGTAAGACGCGAATGTGTTGTTGAAACAAACCATATGCAGTACAGCTCAGTGAGGGGATGGAAATCGACATCCGCTTTCCTTCAAAGAGCAGTTCGGGTCATATTCTCATTGCCTTGTCCAGATTGTCACCCATCAACGACGTCCAAGGCCCGCTCTTTTCCGCTCCAGCATAAAGGACACTTCATGAATGGCTGCCCTTATGCCTCGCGGATATCGCTCCGCCACAGAATATCGTTTCGATGAAGACCAGGTCGATGCCATTATTCGCACTGCCGCCTACCACCGCAAAGACTTTGATCTCTCTGTGATCTGGTTCTCGCCCGCTCAACATGTTAATATTCGTCAGTCAATAGCGACACCCTTCCAGCAGACTTCGAGTGCCGGACTCGGATCCCTCGATCGGCTACCACTGGAGCTCCTCCATGATACGTTGTTGCGCCTTGATGTGTATTCTCTGTTCAAGTTTCGACAAACGAATCGCCGATCGCGAGAGGCAGTAGACTCCCTCAAGCAGTACCAGATGATAGTCTTGCACGGACTGAACCTTTTCTGCGCTTTGTTACGAACACGACTGGCCGTTGGCACTTCTCTGCTCGACTTTTACAATGCCCTATGTCTCAAGTCTTGTAGTCTTTGCGGGGAGTTTGGCGGGTTTATGTCTCTCCTAACATGGAAGCGATGTTGTTTCAAATGCCTCAAGGAGGCTCCCGAGACTCAAGTGCAAACTCTTTCCGCAGCCCGAAAGGAATTCCACTTGACAAAGGTTGAGTTGAGCCAACTGAAGTCATTAAAAACCTTGCCGGGCATATATTCGATGGATGAATCCATACGTAAATCCCGTGTTGCGATCGTGTCCCTTCATCAGGCCAGTTTGATTTCCAGACAACAATCCCAAACAACGGATCAAGTCTACTCAGCGAGCTCAGAACGACGCAGAAAATTCAAGTTAATGGGATCGTGCGCACTTCCTTATTATGATAAAGTAACCGGCAATGTCGAACATGGAATTTCGTGTGCCGGTTGTCAGCTTGCTCTCGAAAAGGACATCATTGGCTCCAGGGGCGAGAGCTGGGCATTCGAGGCTCGAGACAAAGTATATGCACTAGATGGCTTTTTGGAGCATTTTCGATGGTGTGAACAGGCCCAGCTACTGTGGAAATCAAGTTGCGAAGGTAGAAACAGGCCAGTTGAGCTACCGGAGGGTGCTCGGAGGGGCGGCTACTTCAGTGAGAGGGTATAAGGGACATGACACAGTAGTTAGGCAAAACTTGGTTCATTCTTTGATATTCGGGTGTATTTGATATTTTTATGATGGCGTACTGGTGACTAGATCAACTCCATCTCCTACTTGCAGTTATACGTATCACGTATAAACTTGAGCGTGCTCAATTTGTGGCAGTACTGATAGAGATCAAAGCCAAAGGTTCCTTCACCAACTGCTTCTCTGCGCTACAAAGCCCTCCTAAGAATCCAACTTTGGAGCTGATTTATCTTCAGTGTTGTTCTTTACAGGTGAAGATCTCTCCGGGGTTGCTTTTTCATCTGCCCACAAAGGCTGGTCGTCAAAGCTAAACTTGAGGATCTCCGGACGTTGATAGTGACCAGCAGCATCCACCCAAACCTTGACCTGCCCAAGCTGCGACAGATCCACCTCAGCCTTGACAAGTTTCTCTTCAGCACCAGTGTGCGGCCCAGCAAGAAATGAACAAAACGGGTGGATAACAGCGGACCATCCGCCACCCGCCATGACAAATTCCTGCTTGCCTAGATTCTTCTCCATCCACTCAAGACAAGTATCATCAACATAGTTAGACGCTGTGATGACAAAGACTTGGGCCGTGAGGGCATGTGCCTTCATCAAAGCCTCGATTTGGGAATCAGCTACGGCTTCGAAGCCAGCCATGGTCGACAAGGCAGGCCAGGCACCAGCGTGAATATGTTGATGCTGGGTAATGAGCGCTTGGCGTGCCCCATTCATGGTATGCTCCCAACAGCAAAGACCACCGAGGTTGAAAGGCCGTCCCGAAGCTGTCAGCCGGTATGTTCGTAGCGTATGGCCACCACCCTGCGCCCAGACAGAGCGCTCAACATATGTTGGCTGCAGCTTGCGGTGCACACCCAACAAGGTACCATCTGCATCGATATTGACTTGGGAATTGAAGAGCGTGTACCCTTGAGCTATGCGTTCTGAAATGCCGAGGCTGATGGCTACACCAGTGCGACGGCAGGCAGCCGAGATGCGTGCGATTTCGTCGCCGTCTTGGACAACGACACTCTCATCTGCATATTTAGCGAGGGCCTCAACTTGTTGGAGAGGCGGGTAGCATTCAATCCAATACTTTGCCATGTTAGTTATACCATTGCAATACCGAGGGCGAATAGCAGAGGACGTACCGGATATCCAGGAATAAACGTCTCGGGAAAGACTAGAAGCTCGATGTTCTCTTTGCCCGCTTGCTCAATCAAGCTGATAACCTTGTCAGTAGTAGCGGCCTTATTCATAAACACGGGCGCAGCGTGTACCGCTGCGACGACAACTTTGTAATCCATGGAGGGCTAGGGACTTGATAAGCGATCAAATCACCAACGATGCAGAGCAAGGCAGACTGTGAGTAAATTCGTTGGGATAGATAATCAAATCAGGATAAGATTCCAGATTTCAGTATAGTTATGAAATGGCAACGAGGGGTCAAAGGATATTCACGGGATATTTCCGCGTTGCTAGCCAGTGAAATGCTTCTTGGCTGACCCATGAACGTATGATATGCGACAGGGGTAGCAACGACTGGGTTGCAAGCTTTTGAACCCCACGTTCTGGGAATACCTTCTTAACCAAGCCTGTTAATGCCATCGACCTGGAACTGCGATCTATAGCACGGTTTCTGCCGACTTTGGCCGTAAGCATTCCAGCCTCGTGCTGAGCTCGGATACCGCACCCCAGACTAACTAGCAGATTAAAAAGGTCCGACGGCAAGTAAACGGACGTTAAACGGTAGATAAGTCCAAGTGTCTAAGCGGCATATGGACGGTTGTAAATGGAGGTTCAGCTTGCCTCAGCAATCTAGCTGTTGTTCAGGTTCAAGGAAATTACCACGGCGGACTAGCTGTACATAAGAACGGCTCTTCGCTCAGTCTGAAATGGAATTCAATGAATGTAGAGGCTTTGAAATACCACCGCGATCTGTATAGGTATATCCAAAATGCGCATCGATATTCTAGGAACAGCTGCAGCAGCAGCTCTCTTGGGCCTCAGCATAGTACCAGTACAGGCTCTGAGCCCATGTCCCCTCTTTGGACCAGATCTACCCATTCCAACAGCGATGAGTGATGATATTTCCATCAGAGATGCCCTGTCAGAGATTCTGCAGCTTGTACCAAGCCTCAATATCGACCTTCAGAACACCTCTTTCTCCATCGACATCTACCCAGCGGCAGACAAACGACCCCTTTTCAGCTATCATCACTCAGCTCCAATCCTACAAAACCATGGATACGGCGTCAAAGTTGTCAATGACACGACGGCGTATCGCATAGGCAGCATTTCCAAATTGCCCACAGCTTATGTCTACCTACTGGAGGTCGGGGATGTGTCATTCAATCAGCCCATCACGCGTTACGTGCCTGAGCTAGCAAAGTTTTCTGCTACTCTCAGGGACTCTAATAATGAGTCAGCTTCTGCTCTCCAGTATGTGAACTGGGACGCCATAACCGTCGGTGCGCTCGCGTCGCACATGGCTGGCATACCGCGAGACTTTCCGAGCCCTGCTTCGACGGACAACCAACTACAACGATTGGGATTTCCGCCAGTCCGGGCAGTAGACTTTGCCTACTGTGGGAAAGATGTCTTGTACCCGTGCAACCGCACCGGTATGTTTCTCTCACGGCTGAGATTCGTTGTTTTACAAGATGCTAACACAAATGATAGCCTTCTTTGACGCCGTACGGACCCGTCACCCAGTCGATGCGGCCTTTTCAACACCCATATACTCCAACATTGGCTACCAAATCATGGCTTACGCGCTTGAGAACATAACTGGAACAGCGTATCCTGATATTCTATCACGACAGCTCATCCTCCCTCTCGGCTTAAATTCCACGAGCTATGCTAAGCCAGCAAACACCGACTCGTCTATCATACCTGACAGCCCTGGCAGTTCTTGGTATGATGTCGACACGCGCGATGAGGGACCAGCAGGAGGAATTTATTCGTCGACCGCGGACCTTCGCAGGATTGGGCAGTCAATCTTGACGTATGAGATGTTGTCGCCCTCCCAAACCCGACGATGGATGAAGCCCATGAGTTTTACTGCCGATCCGCAGGTTGCAGTCGGCGCGCCATGGGAGATTGCTCGTGTTCCATCCACCACCAACAGAGTCAGCTGGATGTACACCAAGGGTGGTCAGTTGGGGATGTACAACAGTCTGATGGCTTTGCTACCTGATTGGGGCGTCGGAATTACTGTTCTGGCCGCGGGAACCGACGCTTCGGGAGTTGTGAGCAAGATTCCAGCTGCGATTGTTTCAAAGCTAGTTCCTGCTTTGGAGCAAGCTGCTAAGCGACAAGCAAGGCAAAGTTACAGTGGCCACTACGGAGACGCACGAAATGGCATGAATGTAACTGTGCAAGACAGTCTACCAGGACTGGGTGTCACGTCTTGGTTTATCGATGGCCGTGACATGTTTGATTCGATCCGTCTGATGGTCTCTGGATCGTCGACTGGATCAGGGAACGTCAGCATGAGATTGTACCCGACGGGGTTGCAGACGGAAAAGGACGGAAAGGCTAGACTTGAGAGTTGGAGGGCGGTCTATGAGATCATTGACGCCGCCTCACCGTCCAGTTCTTACTGTGCTAGCTGGTTCAGTGTTGATTCAGTCACTTACGGAGGAGTGTCTATCGACGAGTTTGTCATCGATCTTTCGGCGGACGGTACTTCTCAGGGTATCACCATAAGCGCCTTTGACGCCCGGCTTGAAAGGGTACGGCGTTGATTTTGGTGCCCCCGTGATGGTTGATGGTAGTGTGCAGGGGGAACTGGCACGTTAAGCCTTAGTTGCCAAGAGAAGGCAAGACTTGCGGACTCTTTACAATGCGATAAAAAAGACTTAGGTACACTTAACATATATAAGTAGGATATTAGAATAGTTTATTTTAGCACCTTGGTTTAACATTCAAGTTCTCTGTGCTCATTCAGGCTCTAAGCCACAAGACTTGACTGCAAATAACACATCTCTGATTTAACATCCGAAGCCTTCTTACTCCCTGGGGTTGATCGGGTTGATCCTATTGACTTATGTGTTGCTTGTGGTTGTTACTTGTGTCTAAGAGCTTAAATCAGCCCAGAGAACTTGGTTCCTATCGACGCGTTTCTGTAGTCATGTTCATCATCTGTTCATATGCTTCCAGTCTTATTCCGTCACCTCGCTTGGTTTTAGAATGATAAGATTGGATGTTCATATTCTCAGGACTCATGTTGAGATCTATCTCAAGTTGTCTCTAGTCAGGTAGGTTTAGAGGCAATCAAAAGGAACTTTTACGGACGAGAATATCATTCCCCTGGCTGACAAGTCAGCCTGACACGCAGGGTCGAGCAAGTCGAACTTAAGAATACTAGTGGAGCGGCGAGGATACTCAAGAAGTGAGTTTACCGCGTTAGGGGAACCAAACTTGGACGAGGGTAGGAAATTTAACGGGATATATGACATCTTACTTCCATATTTGTTAGTGAACGGGTGTTTAAAGGATATTCAGCGGACAACGCGCAAGCAAATTGGCCCTCTACTTATCCCACCCAATCCACATACAAAAGACTCTCTTGTCACGCTTCAATTCTCAGTCCCAATGCCATACTACATCCAGTTTCTTCTTCTCTTTACTTGACACAGCTTGAAAGGCTTCTTCAATTGCTTTTCCTGCGTGTATAACCATGAACGCAACTACATCACAGCCGAACGGCATCGCAGCTATAGATTTCTCGCCGCTTCTGGCCCCAAATGCATTTTTTCTCTCTTTCTACTCGATTTTCCTTCTTCTGCATGTCCTCATCGCCATTCGCTTCTGGTGTTTCTATGGCTACTCCATTGGGATGATCTGTGGTATTCTATTGGAACTTATCGGATACTGTGGAAAAGTCCAGCTCTCACATAATCGAGACAACAAGGATGGGTACATCATGTAAATTCCACCCTCCTCTTTGCTTTTCTTCTGATAAAAGTGAGTTCTAATGGGTATGAGTAGGTATATCATTGGCCTCACACTTGGCCCGACTTTTCTATCCTCTGCCCTCTATCTCAATATTAGCACACTGCAGCGACGCTACTCATTATCTCAGTTCACGCGTATCAGCCCTCGCCTATTCGCGTCCCTATTTATCCTCGGCGATTTCATATGTCTTTGCTTCATTGGATGCGGTGGCTCTCTTGCGGCTATATTCGCAGAGAATCCAATTGGGGTAAACCTCATGATCACCGGCTTAGCTGTTCAAGTCTTGTTCACCGCCATCTTTTGTCTTGCACTTTGGGCCATCTACCGCCGTGCCTGGTATGACATTCGTCAAGATAGCAAACATCTTTATATGATAGGTGAGAGCATTCTGTTGTTATGCAATTTCAACGACTAATGGGTGTGGTTTGCAGGTCTAGCGATAGCCTCAATCTGCCTCTTTGTACGCTCATGCTGGCGATGTGCAGAGTTGAGCGGAGGCTTCAACGGCCCGCTCGCGTCAATGGAAGGCGTATTTTTCGCACTGGACAGCGTACCGATATTAGTTATGACTGTTACCCTGACCATCTTTCACCCTGAGTTGTGGCTGAGGGCCCAAAAGTCCAACTCAGGAAAGCCTGTTTGTGCCGAGAACTATAGTATGTCATATGTGCAGACAAAGGATTGAGAATTCATTATGCCTGCTACTACAGTATTTGGCTCATATTTTATATGGTTACAAAAACACTGATTAACTATCAGCCCTTGAACTTGCTAAGTAATAGCATCTTTCACGCCCTGAAGAGTAAATATATATAAACTTTCTATTATTACAAACCCCGCGATACACTGTACAGCCATCACATCTCTAGCGCTTCTTGTTTTCCCTTGCCTTTTCCTCTTGCCCCTTTTCAAGATGGCGCAATGCCAAACAACAGGGCCTAGCAGAACCACTTAACATTCATATGATGATACGAAGAAGGAACTTTAAAGAGCCATGAAGTGCATAGAAAGATCAATCATCAACCACTGTTACACTTTTGATCGCCTCGCGCAAAGATGAGAGCTGCTCATCCAACTTCTCGACCAAGCATAATGTATCATTGTGCGATCCTGCAGTTTCCACAGCATCTCTTAGTGATGCCGCCTTTGCCGCAAAGCTTTCGGTCCCTTGCGTCAGGGAAACCTCCCCTTGGCTTGCGGAATTCAAGAGTTTCTTCCCGCGATTGCACAGCCAGTAAGCAGTTCCTGCGCATATATCGCGCAGAATATCTGGGGAAAGGTCAATCAGGGGATATGCAACAGTTCCTTGAGGTGTGTTCTGGCATATTTTCTGCGATTGGAGCCACTTAGCAGCTTCAATTATATCGTTCGTCATTGCCAAGGTTTGGTATTCGATAAGGTGATTCAGCATAACCGCCTCCAGTGATATTGGGTTAGTTATCCCACGTTCTGAAGCACATCTTTCGATCTGCATGCAGCAGTTGTGTTCGAGAAACAGAAGGATAGCCTGTTGCAGCTGGCGCACTTGGGCCAGTTTCCCAGTACTGCGTTCAACAGGTAGGCTGGAGTCTCGCTTAGTGTCCCAAAGCAAGTAAAGGGGCAACGTCTTACGCCACTCTTCCAGTTGACCGTACAGCTTGACCACATCTTGGTGGCTGACATCAACACCCAGAAATTCATGGTTTATCTTTTTGACAATGATGGCCAGGGCGAGTATGGCATCTAGATATGTTCTCTCTTCATGCTCTGGTAGTTGTTCGACAATTTCAGTATGGCCGTCCCTGATACGAGATGGAGACTTTTGGTCGAGGGCGCGGAACGTATCTTTGCCATACACGTACCAGAAAAGCAACCTCTTTCGCCCTTCCGCCCCATGCAGAGGAGCGGAAAGGTCTTCCGACAGGGACGCGTGGCAAAGAATCTGATACTGTAGTATCATGAGGACCAGGCTGTCGTGTGTTAGGAAAAGGCTGCCAAGCTGGGAAGGTAACGCTGCGTTGACATCCTCAGTTGTTTCGTAGGCAAAGTCAACCATGAGAGCCAGAGCTTCGAGGTCGTCCAGTCTGATTGATTGCTTGTTCCCCCCAGCTGATCGTGCCTCGAGCCATACTCGTCTGAACTCGCTCGCCAGCTGTTGCTGTACGGACCATTTTTGCGGTGTCGATATGAAAGGACATCCTCGGCATGCGACAGCATACACCAAGGCAGGGCTGGCTCTGTGGCTAGTGTAGTCAGCCTGGAATGCATCTCTGTCTAGTATCGGAATAGCGATCGAGGTCAGGTCAAAGTAAGCGTCGATAGCTGCTTTGAGAGTGCTCGGATCAAGCTCGAGGATTTCATAGGGGTTTGATAAAGCACCTGCGACCTCCTCGCTGGTGTATATCTGAGGACTGTTGGGCATATTGTCGAAGTTATAGTTGTGCGTAAAGACACTGTCAAGAAACGAGATACTCTCGGCGCCCAGATCCCAACTGATATCTTGCCATGCAGACTCAGATTCAACAGCCTGATATTGTAAACTTGGGTCAATAGGCATTACCTGAGTCTGGGGTAGGGCGGAGACGGTCTCGTTATTGACAAGACTGGTGTCGTTGGTACTGCCAGTAGAGTTACCCCCATCGACCACATGCCCGTCATCGCGACTAGATGAGATCCGGCTAGCAGCAGAGCGGGCATCAAGGCGCTTGCTACGTCTGGCTCGATCGCGGTTGTCGGGATTTGCGGTACAAGCTATATCCCGTAACTCACAATGCGAGCAATGAGCGTGGCCTTCCGATTGACGAGACACCCAATCGCACTTGACCTTGCGCCGAAAGCAAAAGTCACAAGACTGGCGCTTAGTGCCACGCTTCAGATACATGGAGCCTTGGAAATAGAACAAATTAAAAGATGGTCAAGGTGCGGGAAGAACAGTCCTAGGTTGAATGGAAAATGGCTGTCGTTGCGCTCAGTTTTCGGGACTTGAGCGGGAGAACGACGAGTGGATGTAATAGGACACCAGGTAACTAGGTAGCTGAACAAGGTGCTAGATCAAACATGTCGTTGCGCCAGGGTTGACATTTATTCTTTTTTGATGAAGGTTGATAGTCAAAGTGTAGCCGGGTGTCTGTGCGAAGTTGCTTTCAATAACAGCCGAGTTGATCAAGCAAAACGGGAAGGAAGTACGTACGTTAGGTAGTCATGAAAGTAGAAGGAGGCTTGACCTGTTATTCAGTTTCGTGGACCAGACTCGAATTAATATGAGCAGAGCTAATACAGTCTTTAATAAGAATACCAAAGAAGATTGTTGAGCCTTTTTAATTGCCTAACATATAAGAAAATAATAAGTTACTATTGATTCGGCTTGAGGACTGTACCAAGCGTCTCTGGAACCAGGAGCTTCATATGCAGGGTAGGTAGGTTGAATCTTACCAAAACCTACTTCAGTCCCTAAACAACTCCATTAACGCGCTCCCATGACCTGCCGCAATTCATTCTCGCGTCCCAATACTTCAACGGCACCGAGATGCCAAATATTTCCTCTGAGCCCGAGGCACTCATTTCTTGTGCATCCCATCGTCCACGCCATCTCCTCGAAGCTATGATCACAATAACAGATGCAAAAAGGCCTAAAAAACCAACACTGGCTGAACGAGTCTCCTCGCTCGGCGTCCTTGATCGACTCCCACCCGAAATTCTATACATGCTCCTAGGCAGGCTTGACATCCAGTCAATTACAAGTTTCGTTCGCGTTTCTTTCCGAGGGAATTCATACATCCAATCACTGCGAGCATACCGAGATCTGGTCGCGTTTGCTCCGCAGACGCTTATGGCGTTAGGCAAAACCGGCTTGCTCAATCTACATTCTGTCACCGAGCTCCATGCTGCCTTACGACAAGAACGGTGCGCCTCTTGCGTCGAATATGGTGCCTTTCTCTTTCTTCCCACCTGCGAGAGATGCTGCTGGGAGTGTCTTCGTCACAATCCATTATTACGAGTGCTTCCACCAAAAGAAGCAAAAAGATATTTTGGTCTTTCAGAGCGGCATATCCGACAACTACCCACCATTTCCGTTATTCCTGGCAACTATGGCATTTCCCGCACCCCCTCTCCAAGGTCTTGCAGGCTCGTGAGTGTAAAAGCAGCGAAGGAACTTGGACTGATAGTGTATGGATCTGCGGATCAATTATCACAGGTTATGATGACGAAATGTAAGTCTGGAGGACTGCGCGTCGACGGTCGGTTCCTTCAAAGCGACCCAGTAACCTCCCAAAACCAGGACCGCCTCTTACTGCCAAGTCAGGGCAATATTCCCACTGACAAATTCTTCGGCATGGCTTCTATTCCTTTTCCTTCACTCTCGGCTTCGGGCAGGCTCGAGAATGGTCTGTGGTGCCGGGGCTGCGAAATCACCCTCCATCACCATGACTCCCTGCGCTTACCTCGGTGCATACTTGCGGCCCTAGTCCCAAGGCCTCGTGATGCACTGCTCGTGTTGTTGGGCCTAGAAAGGCGAGCCCGGTCAACAGAGTCATTTCTGGAACACATCAAACACTGTTATGGCATTCAGCAATTAGTCCCTCAGCTAACAATGGGAGGCGACTGAACTTAAAGTACATCAAAACAAAACTAGACACTAATTTGATAGATCGCAACAGAATCGACCAAAAAGGTAAGGACTGATGAGGGCCTCATTGGCCAGCGGCATGTCTGGCTCACTGCCAGTCTCGTGTCTGACTTCTTATTAGTTCAACCCCTATTGGGGTTGTGTCGACCCCGATATCCCGTCATGGCCTTGTCCTCCTTTGGCAGATGCTTGGGACAATAGTTTCGTGATATTCTACCCTACCTCTCTGTACGCAAGCACTGCAAATTCGATTCACTGTCGTACCAGAGATAATCCATGACGATAGACACTATCGGTTGCGCACTGGCCTGAGAGTCCGCTACCTGAGGATACCCATCGGCACATTCGACGATGATACCATGTTTCGACCATATCTCCTCATTGCCAGGCTTCCGGAGCTTCCTGACTCGCCGTAGACCGCCATGACCATCTCGAAGGCCGAAAATGGCTCCCTCACGTCTGTCATCTCCAGGGATCTGCTGCCCAAGATCCGCATAGAATGGCATGAATAGCACGTAGACGTCTTGACCCTGAAGACCACGAGGCGTTTTCGCTCTGGACTTCATGAGGTCCGATATGACGATGTACCTGCCATCGCCAAAATCGCTTGTTTTGAATGGGAGATGCGCAGAATCGAACGTGAAACGTGGGCGTATTCACTGCTGGAAAACCATCATATCCAACACCCAAATGAATTACTCATTGTACCCAAGTTCCTCGCTCATCTGACTGAGAATGGCAGGATCGTGGGCCTTCTCCTGGAAAAAGTAGACGGGGAGTCAGCTTGCGCCGACCATTTGGAGCGCTGCGAAACCCTGCTTCGCCGGCTTCATCGTGACCTTGGGATGGTCCATGGGGACGTGAATCGGTACAACTTCCTTGTTGATCGAGTTTCTGGGAGCAGCGCGCGCTTGGTCGATTTTGAGCATACAGAGGACTTTGATGAGTTGCTGGCCAGGGAAGAGTTGCTATCATTACCAGCCGAATTGACTGAGGAAACTGGGCGGGGAGCGATGGTAGAAGTGAAATGAGATCTGCGACCTGTCTGAGGCCAGATTTTACTTAGCAAAAACAATCAATAAATTTCTTAATCTAAGTCTAAAAGAATACTTATTAAATATATAAGTAATTATTTTCCAATGCCGTTAGAAATAACAAGTTATGATCTTGATTCGACCTGAGTGTTATCTATCATGGGCACCTAGCAGCTTACCTAACCCGATCTTAGTCATCCAAACAGCTCCAACAACGCGCACCCCTGACACGTCTCCTCAAGCACCACGATACCATCACAGTTCCTCCCCCGCGCTCATTCTAACACCACGCTCCTTAAAAACGACCGCCAAGATGACTCGCGCTCAGCAGACCATTTCTCTCGCCCTCTTGGTTTCTTCCGTATGTTTACCACAGTAATCTTGGTGGAATTGAACTAACGCTGTGCAGCTCTACCTTGCGCTCTTCCTTGAGCTCATCCCTCTTCCTCCTCTGATCCAGGAGCAGATTGTCCCTGTGGTATGACGCCCCCAAACTCATACTCCAAACTTCAATTATCTAACTGGCGGAATTGTAGCTCCCCTTCTGGGCCCTCGTCTCGTTCGGCGCATACCTCCTCTTCCGTCTCGGCTTCGGCATCCTCACCTTCAACGACGTCCCCAACGCACACAAGGAGCTCACGGCGGAGATTGAGCAGGCCAAGGTTGAGCTCCGACAGCTCGGCGTTACTGTCGACTAAATTGGTGCAAAGCACCCGCATACACGATGATCTAAACGGCTATAGAAGGGTTAGGGGGAATGTGGATGAGGTTACAAAACTTTAATTACAATAATCTGGTATCTTATTCTTGCGACCTGCGCAGAGGAGTTCTACACATCATACGCCTATGCTTGTGAGGTTTACCATCTATACGGACTCTATCATGATTGCTCGCCGGCAATGAGTGCTACAATTGTTCGTACAGCTGTTTCGGGTTCTTCATGTCCGTGTACAAGTTCTTCGAAAAGTTTGGGAATTTTTGCAAGCGATCCTCGTTCGTCTGTTTGGTGCCCTGTGATCGTCAGTAATTGGTAACGTTGTGGGATTCATACATGTACTCACATTTCCCTGGTGCGCCTACCAAGACGGAAAGTCTGGTTTGCGCTTCTCCAGTCCAGTCAAACTCGGTCTTCCATCCCAGTCGTACTGTTGCGCCTGACTCCCCTGCATCGCCGTACGGAACTGATATGTCAAAGTGTTGCTGGCCCAAATAGCGGATGAGTTCTGCTTTCTTGACAGATTCCACTTGTGTCGGCTCGTCCTCATCCGAATCCTCACCGCTGTCCCTCCTCCGTCTGTGTTTCTTTGACCTCATTCGAGATGCAGCCTCTAATACACCATCCTTCGAGCCTAGACTTTGTTCCAACTGGCACCAAAAGCCTGCTCTATCGATTGCGATTCGAAGCCACTCACCCATGGCCCACGACAGGATGCCGATATTGCGTTGCATGGAACGGTTGCAGTCACCTGTGCATATCTTGCGAACGAAAGGACCGAGCTCCGGCTTTGCGGCTGGTTCTAAGGCTGTGACACCGAGATCGAGAACCGTAAGCTCTGTGGCATTGACTGTCATCTCAATCTTGGCTGTAAAGATGCCTGGTATCTCGCGTGATCGAAGTGTAATGGAGTAATGCTGCCTCAATGGTTCTCCATCAGCCTCTGGTAGGATGGACGTATTGGATGTCATCGAGAATGGTGTAAAAAGCTCAAGATAGGGCAACTCCTCTGTCGCTGTCATGGCCACAGGATGATGTGACTTGATGTCAGGCTGTTTCTCCTCAACCGATGGTTGGACCACTGGAGCTGTAGGCTTGCTGAAAGGCAACAGAGCAGCGGGATTCAGTGCCGCTTGTAATAATTGTCGTGATGCTGTTGTACTCTGTCCTGTACCAGTAGACATCAGATGGCGCTCAATGAGGCCGATGACCTCGTCTTGATTTGTCGGTGCAAGTATGCGGCCAGACTGTTGCATCAATCGAATGCGTTCGTTCTCCTTTCGCGCAGTTTCAAGGTCCTTCTTCAAGTCCTGTATCTCCTTCTGAACCCTGTCTCGCTCCTTCTTCTTCTCTGCATCCGGATCAAAGGCCCGGGGTTGTCTAACCTCTGGGTCGCTGGTCTGAGCAGGTGGCGGTTCTCTCAGCGCCGATCCCGCTTGAGCGAAGCTCTTCCGTGGCTTCTCCAGCAGACGCGACGGCGGTTTGCCTAGCGGTGAGTCCCGTTGCTGCGAGAACTCGCGGAATCGAACTGGGCTGTTCTGGAAGCTCTTTCGCGGTCCTGTGTCGCGTGGCGGAAGCCGGGGTACTGGTTGTGAAGCTGATGGAGCGGCGTCTTGCGAGTTCGGTTGCACTAATGGCGGTATTCTTGGAGGCGGCATTGAAGCTGGCGGGGGCGAGGATGAGAAATCTGGCAAAGGTGGTGGTGGGCTCGGGGAGTCTCGTTCTGGTTCGAGATCAGGCTGGGGTTCTGTCTCGAGTTCTAACCCTGATTCTTGTTCTGGCTCCGCTTCTGGTTCTTGTTCTACGCCTTGCTCAGGCTCTCCGTCCGATTCTTCTTTCGCTTCTGGCTCTGGCGCTGCAGGGGCTTGAACTGAGGACGGTGATCTGATTGGAGATGAAGATCGCGCTGGAATCTCGAGATCATATGAAGAAAACGACCGAGCCGGTGACGGACTTCCAGCTGCTGATACGGATTTTGCTGGTGACGTCTCCTCCGCTGGCGCCAGCTCCTCAGATTGAATGTGAGTGCCCTCCTCAGGCTTCTCCATAGGCTCATCCGAAGGCAATCCAAGCTGAGGCTCTGGCATGGAAGCAGGCGGCGCAGGAGGCGAACTCGCCTCGATCGCAGGCGGTAACTCAGGCTGCGGCATCGAAGCAGAAGGCGCATCAACATCCATTCTAATGCCAGCCTGCGGCGATCTTCTCAAAACCTTCCCCCGAAAAGGATTAAAGTCATCATCCTCCACCTTGGCACCCGCTCTCGAAGACGTCCTCCTAGCAGCAGAAGCCATTCCTCCTCCTACACGTCTGATCGAACCTGGCGTCGTATCTTCAGGGCGCGTAGGTGTAGGAGCATCGCTAACAATCCTACTCGTCGCCAAGCGCGCTGCCAGAGCTTCTGAAGGACTATCAAAAGTGAATTGACCCGAAGCTCGAGCGCTCGGTAATTTCTGAGGCGATCTCGATCGTCGGCGCTCAAAAGCCTCGGGGTTATTTCGTGACATGCTTGCTTTCGTCGGTGATGCGTATGATGGCCGTCTTCTTTGCGGTGACGCGGGTTCTTCGGTTGCGCCGACGTTGAGAGAAGTGCGCGGCGAAGTACGCCGTCGCTTTGGCGCAGATTCCTCCATTTTGTGTGATTGATATGCGATTTCAGGGCCCTGATTATAACATTTGGCGATGTTGGATTGCCTTGTCGATAATTGGTGATCGCATTGGTTCGTGTTTACTTTCGATGACCCTGTCGCGTCTGTGAAAGTGGGCCTCACCGCTTACCGAAACGGGCAGATTGTTTTCGCGATGCCAAATGTGGATTGAGGTTACACAAGCGTGTTCCAAAGACCTGAGGGTTGCAAATTGACTGTATAAAGGCCTGAAACGGAGTTGTTAGGTTGCGCTTTTACGCTGATGTCTAAAGGAGCCTTGACTCAATAGCAATTGCATAGCCAGCAACTAGGTGAATCAACAACCCAGAATCTTAAAGAATCACGTGCTTCTTCATTATTGGGTGCGCTTGAAGTCATATGGTACAAATGACATGGCTGAGTGTCGGTTTAAAGTCTTTTAAAGCCTGAGAGGAGGTTCCATGTATTAAACGCCATTTTTGGACAATTATACGGAGTTTGAAGTGTCACGAAACTATATCGCACGCTTGAAGAGGTTGATTCCGCCCCCACGCACCCCAGTTTTCGCTAACTTCACCCCAGCCGATGACGTCCGAGGCGAAAATGACGGACTTCCGACCCTCAACACCAACTTTCTCGGCTCTCGCTATTTGCATTACCAACCCAATTTCCTCACTTTTTGCCCGCCACTCCTCCTCCTTCGACACTCAAAATTCTATTTCACCGTACCCGTATACATATCAATTAACAGCACCGATCCACAATGTCAATACCGTCCAGATTACTACCTCGGCTACGACCCTTAATACCCTCACGAAGTATCGTCAGCGCCGCACCGAGACACATAGAAGATTGGCCGCAGCGCAGTTCTCTCGGCCCATACTACGAAGTAATTCTCAATAACCCGTCCCACATCCCAATCGACAAACCAGAAGTCCTTCCCAAAACAGCAGACCCCTCGGTGCAGTCAGAGTTTCCCACCAAAACCGCTGTGCAAACACCAGAAGAAAAAGCACGTTTAGTTTTTGGCTCACGCCTCTTCGGCTCCGCAGAGAAAGACGAGCGCCTAGCAGCACGGAAAGCAAAAGCGACATACATTGCCGGCGTTCTCGTTCCGCCTAAGCCCGTTGAGCCGGATAACTGCTGCATGAGCGGCTGTGTGAACTGCGTGTATGACCAGTACCGCGATGAACTGGAGGAGTGGCAGCTCAAGAACGCAGAGGCACAAGCTGCGCTGAGGAAACACGAGGGGTCTATGGATTCGGACGGTGGAGGGTCGGAGTCGAATTGGGTTGCGCCAGAGGTTGGCAAGGCCAAGATAGCGAAGGACTTTTGGGACGAGGAGCTGTATGCGGATTTGCCAGTTGGGATTAGAGAGTTTATGAAGACGGAGAAGCTTCTGAAGAAGAGGCACGAGAGTGAGGGCACCAAGGAGAGCTGAGCGAAGTGTGAGTTGGAGAAGGTTATGTGTGTGGGTTGAGACATGATGGAAAAGCTTATACCCCCTTTTGCATTTTCATTAATGGGGCTTTGGATGATAGAGTTGATGATTAGACTATAGACATGAATATCTGTATTATACAAACTTCCATTCGAAATGGCAAAACTTTAGTATCGCAAACTTTAAACCTGGCATATAAGACTCGCGTTGACCCGTTTCTGACCCCAAGCCTTTTGCTCCTTTAAGCTTCGTCCGCGGTTCACATTCACCCCAGGGGCATTTATCCAGAAGCACGAGCAAACTATTTCGCTCCGACACCGCAGAACATGAACAACCTCCTCATCATGGTTGACGGAGCAGACACTCCCGATAACACCATGCTGCGCGCTCAAATGCGCCGCCTTCCTGACGTCGTTACACTACTTACAAAAGAAGACAGCACGACTGAGACGCAGGAAAGAAACAGAAAACATGCTCTCATTACAGAGTATGACTGTGACCCCAGAAAGCTCGCCTCATACGACGGCGACGTCTACTGGTGCCTCTGGACACCCTGGCCTGTAGTGGAATACCAACTCACGAAGCTACCCTCCCACAGCGACTCAAACATCTACACAGTCCAAGTCGGGTGTAGAACATATGCCGCCAGACTTTCTGAAAATCCTGAAGCTATCAAGAGAGAGGTGCAGAACCATATTTTGGTGGTAAAGAAAATGCGTCTGTCATGGGGCAAAGCTACACAGGACTTTTATGAGGTAAACGAAGATGATCCGTCGCAAAGAAGCACAGGATCAAGACGCTGCAACAAGAACAAATTGAATCCTCGTAGCAGTCGACTCGATGGGCCTCCTTCGCCGTATATCCCGGATTTTGTGTCCGAGATTATCCAGAATGGTCATGAAGGAAAAGATATCGCAACAGCAGGATACATTACCGACTTCATTCCGCCTCTCCACCCATCCACCGCCCGTGCTCTTGTCGGCACGTTTGTAGATTCCAGTATTCAAGAGTCGGTAAAAAATAACCCGAACCTGTCAAATGTCAGGCTACAAGTCCAACTCGGCATGGTGGCACCTCCAGACGACCCCCTAAGTACGAGACTCCTTTCTCGCCCCGTGTATCTCGACCAGCTCCGGCGCGAGGCAGAGCAACCCCTGAAACTATGGTGTCAGCAAATGGGCATAGCTTTGGCAATCCTCCACTGGGAGTGCAGGCTCGATGCAGCTGGCGTCAAGTTCTATCTCGCATCTGAGACGAGAGGCCGTACGAGGCTGTGGATGACCAACTTTGGCGACTGCAAGCCGCTGCAACCAGGCCAAGACGAAACAAAGTCGATGGCCGAAGCTGTCTATGACAACCCAGTATGGCCGCGATCTCCTTTGAAGCGAGACAAGGCCGATGGGAAAGAGTATCGCCTGAAGAAGCGTGCTTACAAGAGCTTCGTCCGAGCGTACATTATCGCAAGTCAGAAGATCCTGTCACAGGACTCGCCAGAAGATACCATGTGCTATCCGGCCTATTTCCTCCGCAAGTTGACTTTCATGAGCTCAGGCTCCTGTCCAATTCTGGACGAGATCCTGGACAGACTGAAAAATTTAAAGATGAAGTTCTAGGGGAGGGAGGCGACCTAAGTTTAGGCATCTAGTGTGTGTATCAGATGTTAGCAGGCGCAAGGTTTCTTCGAATTTTAAGCCAAGCAGGCTATGGCTTGTGTTTCGTGTTGTTTGGGTAGCAATATTGTATGGTAACCTTTTGAACCGATAGTTCAGGAATCTCATTCATCATGTATATGATATCTCTTTAAATCTGTGCGCCATTTTCCCAACTCCAAATTCTCATAAAATACTTAGTTGCTCTTGGTCTGCAGGCTGGCGTTCCTGTCATGCTCGTCGATGTCGATGGCCTCCCAGGGGTAGTTGATCCAGACGTCGCCAACAGTCTCGGCAGCGGAGTAACGGGTAGCGAGCATATCGTCGGGGAGCTTTCCCTTCTTGGGCTTGTCCTTGTTCTAAGCTTTGTTAGTTTGGACTTGTAGTTTTGGCATCGTGTTACATACGTGGAGGACAAAGATGCTAAACTCAGTCTTGGGAGCAGGAGCACCCTCGCCCATGCGCTGACGGGCAAGCTCGACATCCTTCTCAAGCTCCTTAACAGCGTACTCGAGGGTTGTTCGGGTATCGTCGACCTCATCAACGATAAGGATTCGCTTTCCGACGAGGTTATGCATCTCGCCGAGAGCGGTCAAGTCGAGCCACTGTGTTCGGGTGACCTTTGTACCGGGGGCCTCGACCTCATCGTTGCCGAGAGACTCGTAGAGAGAGAGACCGATGGCCTGGATGGGGATGTTGGGAGAGCCGGCCTTCTTGAGGAAAGATCGGAGGATTCTGGCGGGAACGTAACCACCGCCACCGATGGCGATCAGAAGCTGGGGCTGGAAGTCGGCGAGAAGCTTCTCAGCGGACTTTTGGCACATCTTGTGCACCTGAGAAGCACGTCAGCAGCTGATCTTTTGTGTATCTTGTGCCATAGCTGGTGATAGAGAGCTATTTACTATAGCTGTCCCGTGTCCAGCAACCAGTGTTCCATCAACCTGGCGATACTGTCGCATAGCTTGACTTTTCATGATGCGCATCACAACCCATCATCAAGGCGGGGTGGCGGGGTAAATTCTCCTTACATCGTTGTATGTGACGTAGAGCTTCTCGACCATTTTTGCGGTATTTATACGTCGCACGGAGCGTAATCTAGTATATAGAAGAATGAAAAGAAAAGAGTTGCGACGGGGACAGACGAAGAGATATTAATGCCCAAGAGGAAGAAGGAAGGAGGAAAAAAAGAAGGAAAAGAAGAAAAAAAGTAGGGCCGAGGCAACCGCGCCTGCAAGAATTTGGGATCTTCAGGCAATTTTTTTGACATCTCCACATCATCACTGGGCGGATCCACTGTAATATTCGGAGTCCGCCGATGCTTAAAAACGACCTTAAATTAATCCGAGAACTCCAAGAATATTCGCAAATTGTATATAAAAGCGACAATGACGAAAGTGGTTCGCAAGTTACCTCTATAGGAGGAAGTACAGGAGATCAGAAAAGGGAGCTTTAGGCCCAAACTTGTGTTGCCTACAAGCCAAGTGTAGATGTTGCTGGCTACAGAGGCAGAAATAACTTGATCGACTTGAGCCAGCTGGTGTTTAGATCACGACTCTTATATACTCGACGAACGCTACATCAAGTGCTCAATTATGATGCATTTTGACGTGCGATCGAGAACATATCTCGTTCTTCTCAATCTGGATGTATCCGATCCTCTCCTCCATATAGAGCTTATGGTAATATAGGGTGATCCCTTGTAAAAAAACAACAACTGTAGTATCACTCTGCCCAACGAGCAGAATTGCAGCCTGGCGCTACTCTTAGTGTGTCTTTATGTGTATGCCTGGGATCGCATCTACGAATAGAACGTCGACTATTTACAGCGACCATGGTTGTGTTCCCATAGGACAAAATAATGTCCTAGACTGACCACTGAGGCAGATATCTACGACGAAACTAAGGTAACCTTGGTGAAAGAATCCACATCACGGGCGCAACAGGACACCATGGCTGCAATTTCCTTTATTAGGTGTAGAATCGAAAATGCCTTTTCAGCTCGTGTCTCTATTCTGTGATAGGGCTGAGGGGTCAAAAAGAGGCTTCAGCCTCAAGGCCACAAAGGTAAAGAACACCAAAAAAACACATACGGGCAAAATACTCGTCGCCCTCACTGTTGCCTAGGATCTTGCTTTTGGCTGGTGTCTCTATTCAAGCTCTGAGTTTGTGACGGTCAGAGCAATCACTGGTCATTATGTGTCAACAATCATGACTTCAAGGAGCATGCTAACAAACAATGCTTCCTTCTGCCTGTCCTGCTTCACAAAACAACAAATTCTAGCAAACATGTAACCCATGAGCCTGCTCCTATTCTTCAAATCCAATTTTAGACAAATCGATAGCTCCAAGAAACAAGTCCAAGCTTCTCTTCCTGACCCTCAGCCTCTTACACGCAATCCCATGTCTACCCCGCAAGATTGGAGATGCCTCGCAGTCCGCCATGTGCCACTACGGCCAACCACAAGCCCCCTCACCGCAAAAGTCTTACCTGTTTCGGGCAAGTATCATGTCTGCCTTGGCCCACCAGCTCAGCCCATGAAACAGTGTTTCGCCCGCAAAAGGGATCCGACAATCTGGTGCCATATCAAGGCAGACATTTATCTCCCCAATCGCTCTCTTTTCTTTGTTAGTGCCAATGCTACTCTCTCCGTATTCGTGCGGCCCAAACAATCTGCCTGGCGAATTACCTTGGCGTGCCATGTGGTCCGTTCGGTATGACGGGCGGATCGTGACATGGGGCTAGCTTACAATCGGTCAGACTCATACAATCCTTCTGTAGGACCATAAGATTGGCATTCACTGGGAAACATGCTACTTATGTATTAGAATGCTAGCTTCCGCTGTCTAGTCAGCTTACACTTAGCATCTCAACTCTTTCTTCTAATCTCTCTGAGACTCTGTGAGATCTCGCATCCGTTTGACACGGTCGTAATAGCCCATCATGGTTGTATGTACCAGAGTCGCCAAAGGATTACTGTAACTGACAATATGCAGAGAGTACCCATCTTTCGCAGTCTCGTCAGTGGCTCTAAGAGCACCAATGACGAGACGCCCAAAGAAGACCCCGAAAAGGGCCAAGTTCAACCCATCGGGACCATCTCTGATAAAGATGCTATTCTTCGTCTAGAGCCTGTATCACACAGAAAAGGTCTCTGGGTCAAGATTGAACCCCCAAAGGAGCCATCCGTTAAGATCCCACATGTCCCTTGCGATATCGTCCTTGTCATTGATGTCTCCGGGTCCATGGTCTCCGCAGCGCCTGTCCCTGGAGAAGGCGACGAGAGCAATGGTCTATCAGTTCTTGACCTCACAAAGCATGCTGCACTCACCATCATTGAGTCGATGAACGAGAATGACCGTCTTGGTATCGTCACCTTTGCATCCAAGGCCAAGGTTCTCCAACCTCTTGTCCCCATGAACAAAGAGAACAAAGCTCGGTCGCTCAAGAATGTCAAGAGCATGAAACCTCTCGATGCTACCAATCTCTGGCAGGGTTTACTTGAGGGTATCAAGTTGTTCAATACTGGAGAGTCATCTACCAACGTCCCTGCCATCATGATCCTCACCGACGGCATGCCAAACCACATGTAAGTCCTCATCACTCCCCACAAACGTAGATGCTCATTCTCGTAGGAACCCTGCAGCAGGCTTCGTCCCCAAGATCCGCGCAATGGGTCCCCTCCCAGCCTCAATCCACACCTTCGGCTTCGGTTACAGTCTCCGCTCCGGGCTCCTCAAGTCCATCGCCGAGATTGGCGGCGGTAACTACGCCTTCATCCCCGACGCCGGCATGATCGGAACAGTATTCGTCCACGCCGTCGCAAACCTCCAAAGCACATTCGCCACGCGCGCGGTTCTTAAACTCTCATACACCAGGCCCTTGGAGTTGTACGAGACAACTGGGCCGTCTGTGGACCAGATCGTCCCTGTGTATGCCGATGATTCGGAAGATAGCCAGGTTGAACTTACGATAAACCTTGGGAACCTGCAGTTTGGACAGTCTCGCGATATCTTCCTCAGCACTAATGGTCTCAAGGAGCTTGAGTTCTTGAATGAAGAAAAGCCCACTCGCGCTCTTGTCGATGCGCATTTGACATACGTCAAGCCTGGGGACTGCCTCAAGAGCCGCAAGGTTCTCGAGGCAATGCTATCAAAAGACGCTGACTTTATTGCTATGGCGAGTAATCAGTGCAACATTCTGGAGTACAGCGATCTGCCTGCCTCCGAGATCGCATACCATGAATCGAGATCTCTAATCTGCAACTTCATCTCGACCATGTTTCCTATTGGGGCGGATGGTGAGCACGGTATAACACGGGGTATGAAGAACAAGCGCGAAGAGCTTCGAACTTGGATCGATACCCTTCCCGCCAAGAACTTCGATGACGAGAAGAACAAATCTCTCATGCAAGACGTATCAGCCGATGAACCCCAAGGCCAAGTCTCCATGGCAATTGAGAGCAAAGAATACTTCAACAGATGGGGATGCCATTTCCTCCCATCTCTCCTCAACGCCCATACGCGTCAAGTCTGCAACTCCTTCAAGGACCCCGGTCCTCTCCAATACGGAACCGAGAGCCCTCTATTCATCTCCTGCCGCGATGCACTTGACCAAATCTTCGATAATCTCCCCGCTCCAAAACCTTCGCGACACGTGCATGCTAGAGGCGGCAGTCGTTCGCATGGTTCAATCACCGGCATCAGCATGAGTTCCTACCGCAACTCTCACGGCGTCTGCTTCGCAGGCTCTACAGTCGTCGCGCTCGCTTCTGGACGAACAGTACAGATCCGAAAACTTCGACGCGGCATGAAAGTTCGTACACCTCGTGGCTCACGCCGTGTCGCCATGGTTCTCAAAACTCCCGTTGAGAGTGAGATCCTGTGTCGCGTGGGCAAGGTTCTCGTCACACCATGGCATCCTGTTTCTTCCAACGGAAAACGCTGGGACTTTCCCGCTAATGAAGCTGATGGCGTTGTGATGTACACGGGATGTATTTACTCGGTTCTCTTGGAGCGCGATGCTAGTTCTTCTGCGCATGCTATTCGTGTTGGAGATGTGTGGGGTGTGACTCTGGGACATGGGTTGACCACTGGTTCTGACGTTCGCGCTCATACGTTCTTTGGGGACTATAATGCTGTCGGTAAGGGTTTGTTGAGTCTTCCGCGCCGTGCACACGGCATCGTCATCGGTGGTGGTGTCGAGAGGGATGAGGAAACTGGTCTGGTCACCAGCTTCAGACAGCCCAACAAGTGAACGATAATCAATCAGCATTAGTAAAACATCAATCAAGACAATCAATTTTCTCACGATCAAACTTCTCATATGTTTTGCCATTTTTATTTCTTATTTGCAATCTATACCCGGCCCTTTTTGATCCCAAACGCCTAAACTCCAAACTCCTAAACTCCAATACTCCTCAGCGCCTCAACGCCTTGACTCCTAAGTCCTTGACTCCTAGACGCTTAACTCCTAGAACTCCTAAAGCCCAACCCATGAACTCTTCAGATAGTACAAACCCTCAACTTCTTTCTCTCGATACCCCAATCCAAATCATCATCACTCTTTCTCTTCAGTGTCTCCACTGCTCTACATACAGACATCTTAAAATACCCCATTGGTGAAGGGGCATGAGAAAGCCTTTGCTTTGCCTGTCTCTCCACCCCCTTCGATCTCTTCCTCTCAATTCCACCATCCAAATCTTCTTCACTCTTCCTTTTTAAGCTCTTCTTCGCTTTAGATACAATGAACTGAGGCTCCTCCACTGGTATAGGGACATGGAGAAACTCCTGCTCTGTCGATTTCTCCGTCCCAGTGAAGCTGTATCCATTCCATGGAGCCTCAAGAGGATCGCCGAAAAGGTTCCCAGGTATAACCTCTTTAGAAGCAGGTTGAGTTCGCCATGGGGCACTGACCCGTTTCGACTCTTCCCTGTCTGGAACAACTGCTGGACTGGCGGACACGTCACTAGGGTTCATGTAGCTGTCCTTCGGGGGCATGACCCTTTGAACCACTCCCTCGCGCGGAAGGCTCCTCGGGCTCATGGGCGGTTCGATAATGGTGGTGCAGTTGTGCCAGTCAGTGTCCTTCCATCCCATATCTGGTTCCTGACCATAAGGAATGACCCACGGAGGAATCTCTGGCCCAGAACTCGACGAAAGCGACGTAGGCTCAGATTCAATCTGAGCCATCCTTCGAGCCCTGTCCTCAAACACTTCGGTCCATTCTCCCGGATACGGCAGCGGCCCAATCTGCTGCTGAACCTCAGGGGCCCGTGGAAAAGTCCTTTCAAAGAAACCTGGATCGACGCCATATGGCGCGGGCGATGTCCACAGCGCATCGTCCTTAATAGACGGTTCAGGACGAGGTGGTATCTGGTACTGAGAGTAATAGGGATGCCATCGCAGAATATCATCCTGCCGTTCGACATTTTCGACCCAAGCAAACGGAAGATAACTAAACTGCGGAAACCCCTTCTGTAGCGTAGGATATTCCTGGAAGCAATCTCGCCAGGGATGAACGCGCAGGAGAGAAGATGGGCAGACTTCCATGCAGCCTACATTCGCCAGAATCTCCCACGCCTCCGTCAGCCCGACGAAGTGGTGATGCGCTTCACTCCACATCTCATAGAGATCTCCATGCTCGAGGAACAGCTCTGCCTCTTCCTCGGGACAGCTAGTCCGGTTGCGCAGGATATACTCAACAATCTTCTCGGCGTCCTGCTCAAGCTCATACATCAACGCACCGGCCTCAAAGAACTGATACCGAATATCCTCCTCGTACGCGAAAACATCCGTGTTCATCTCGAGGGCCTCCCAATCTTCAATGGGCTCCATTTGGTGAAGTACACCGGACTCATACATGTAGTGCGGATGGATGTTTATGTGATAGGCCTGCCTACCACGACATATATCCCTAGGGCCCTTTGCGTTGCAGAAGAAGATCTGCCCGGGTGAGCAGCAGTCGCCATGGTAATGACACGTTGCGCCGCCAAATGGCCGGTGGTGCTCGCAGATCCCAGGTGGTTCGAGTGGATGGTAGACTGTTTTGCCAGTAGTAGTGTTAATTATGGCTGGGCGACGGGTCTCGCAGCGTGTGATGTGGACGACCTGTATGTAGCACATGGTGTTGAAGCGTATCTTGTAATCACAGTGAGTAACGTAGTGTAGAGACAGTGAGTAACGTGCTGTGAAGCTTCAAGATATTAGTTGAAGCTGGTAAAGTAAGAGAAAGGTATGGCGAAGTGCTTTTAACGATTGGTAGTGAGGTATGTGGGTGAAATGATAGATCATGTTCTGCAAGTTTATCATTGTTCAGGTGGTGAAGACAAAGCAATGGTCGGTTTTGCAGGGGTTATCAAAGAGTCATTCATTGAAGAAAGGGCCCTGTCTTTCAGGCCAGTGAACATTGCTCTGTAACAACGCCTGAATGAGGCATGTTCGCTTGTTCACTCACTCACCCACAATGGTCGTTTCTGATTCATGTCAATTGTCTCTTTGACCAACGTCGCTGACTCAAGTACTACCTCCTCGGAATGACGACCAAAGGGTCCTGTCCCTTTCTCAACGCCGTCATGAGCAATTGCATTCTCCCATCAACGCGTCTATCCAAAATCTCACAAGCCTTTTCCGGCGTCAGTCCCTTCTGCTCGCACATTTCCTCCACCTTTCTCACAACCTTTTGTCTCACACCGACGTAATTGCTCGCATATTTGCGCTCCTGCAACGTCCCCATTCGCCATCTCGTGCTGTACTTTTCCTCGAGTGATTGGATCGATAAATTTCCGTTACTGCCGTGCTTCCACTCTTGCCATACTAATGCGACGGACTTGGGCATGCGGTGGTATTTGAACTTGCGACCTGGTGGACCGCTTGCGTACCGATATGCGACGGAGCGAGGGGCGGAGTATCGTGTCTTTGTGGTTTCGAGATCTTCATCTGAGAGGGATGGCGACGGCGTTGCTGGGGCATTTGGTATGTCCTCCATCTCATCGTTGCTATCATCCTCCACCACCTCCTCCTGCTCTTCATCTTCCTCTTCGTCATCGTCGTCAACCTCGAGATCAGGAGTGAAGTCAAGGTCCTTGTCTTCTCCATTGCTCATGTCAGCACCTGCATACGGAGAATTCCTGGTGTTGATGGCAGTCCACGATGAAGTGTTACGAAGTCGAACGCTCCGCAGATTCGCCCTTGTTTGTCGCTTCACCTCACGATGTGGCCTTAAAGGGGGATTCTTGCGCTTTGGTGCTCGTCGTCCAGTGCTTCGTACAGGAGGTGCCTCCAGTGCTGGCGTTGATGGCGATTCATCAAAACTCACATGTCGAACGACCGCCGCTGTTTCGTGAGGCTCGTCTTGATCACCAAAGACCATATTCTCAGTAGATGGCTGCTCCACGCTTTGTTGAACTGGCATGTAACTCTCCGCCACAAGCCCTCTGACCTCATCAAGATGCTCTCCCCCAAAGGACTTTGCAATCTCAAGTTCAGCACCTCCACCAGTTGCGAATTTCCCTTCCTTCACATCCCTCATAAACCCAACAAATCCATCCATGAGGACCACATGCATCTGCAGTCTCCTCTCCATCTCATCCATCTTCCTCATCATTTCCTCATTCTGCCTCGCCAAGTCTTCCGTTCTTTGTCTCTCAGCCTCCAACTCCGCCGTGTAATGCTCTTGCATATTCACTACAATCCTCGCAAGACTCATCGGCACTTTTTCCACCTCCCGGTCAATTCCCTCTTCCCTGGCCGGTGGAGCCACCAATTCCAGGGATTTGCGCCGGATCGGAAGTATCGTCTGACAAGGCTCCGAAGCTGACCTCCGGAGTGGGCCCCCGGAGGCGGAGCGGCTTGTGGCCGGCGTTTCATTCGGCGAGATGAGCATCATGGGCAGTTTCTTGCAGATCGGCTGCGACGTTGTAAATCGGCTGTTAGAATTACAGTATTCAGAAATTGGGCGGTCAATCGAGAGGCCCGGTCATTATATCGTCACCAAGCTTGTGAACAGCGCTCGGTCCAATCTATTGAACACCCGGAGAACAAAGAACAACGGGTCACGGGCCTCATCAGGTTGAACATGTTTGCTTGCCTAAAAGTCAATCATTCTTGTCTTTAAACAATACTAACTATGCTTATGGTGTAAATAGTAATAAATGCCGAAAATATCTGTTAAATAGTAACGCGCAGGTAAAATAAAATAAAATAAATGGAGAATAAATAACTTCCCTCACCAGAATAGAAGCTTCATGCGACATCTCTTCATCTAGATCATACTTTCTTGCTTTCCTTCTTTCTTTCGCTCCAAATGCTATCAAATCATTATCTTCTTGTATCATGCATGTGTTCTTTCTGTAAAATTAACTCGATGTAAAAACCAACGGGTATATAACGCCAACGATGCGATGTGATGCGATGCGATATGCGGGGTGGTAGTGTTTCTTTGTTCGTGGATGAGGGGTGTCTAGATGTAGGCCGAAGGTTGAGCATCGACCTTTCTGCGGCACCAGAATTTCCATCCCTTGCGTCGCCGCACAGACTTGCCTCCCGCCTTCTCAGCATGATCATCCTCAAGTTCAAGTCTATACCTTCTCACGCTGCCCGAGTCATCGTCGAACGAGACATGTTTATTCTCGCACGACACAAAACAATCAGGCACGAGATGTCTCAGCACCCAGCCCTTCACACCGCGCGTCGCAGCGTCGATGGCGGCGTATTCAAGACGGCGGGTGCGGTCGCTGGTCCAGTAGTGTGTTGTCTGAGGCGGTGGTGAGGGGATGGCGTGGGTTGCACGCGGCGGTCGGGAACGGTGTCGGCGAGCTGAATGGGATCTGGCGATGGGAAGTGGAAGAATGCGGCGGACTGCTTGGGGGGAGAAGTAGCTGTTGCGGTGCGTACGAGGTGGAGGGATTGGTTGGATGTGCGTGTTGGTTGAACGGGGTGAGTCTTTGCTGCTCGACGGAGCGAAGGGCGACGATCTCTGAAACGAGATCTAACTCCTGAGCCGTTGCTGCTACCACTGCCGCTGCCATCCTTGGAGGAACCATTTGACGATCGTCGGCCAACGAGAAGGTGAGCGTTGTTAATAGTAGATCCTCCATGGGAGGTATTAGAAGTAGAGGTTCGTCGGGGCGTGTTTGACTCATAGCCTGAATCTTGTCGCTGCATCTTTGCCGTGCCAGGCCGACGTTCTCTCACCCAGTCCCTGCTACTCGGAGCTTCACGCTGCTGGCGCTGAAGCTCATGTTGAAGATGTTCGAGGTGTTGAAGACTGGTTGTATCGTGGGTAACTGGTGGTCGAGGGGGAGACATGGGTTCAAACAACTCCGTGTCTGCAAAGCTATGGTATGTTGTACCTGAAGCTCGCGACTCAGATCTTTCCTCCATGATGGGCGAACATCCGACGACACCAAGCTGACCAGTCCAAGTATAAGGCAAGGTGAATTGAAGGTGAGATTGATTTGTGGCGAGTCGTTCCAGTAAAAGAAGGTAAATGGGCGTATGGTGAGGTAGAGGGTATTCACAACAGCACCCGTTTACTAAGAATCCCCCAAAAACGATAGACACAAATCTCCGACCCAGTCCAGCCAAGGTCCAAGTCACCAACAACAAAAAACGAAAGACAAAGTAATGAATATATAGGAAAGGAGAAAAGGGGATAAGCTTTCCACTTCTATTCCGCGGTGAAGCGAAGCGAAGGCGAAAAAACCTGGTTGCGGGAGAAACAAACAAAGAGAACCAAAAGTTGCGGTCTGCCCTTCTCTTGTTATTTAACTTAACCCAAGTTGAACCAAAGACACCCCAGTCGAGAAAAGTTCAGGGCCCTAGCAGGGGCTCTAAGCGGGATGCTGGGGACCAGGGGTGTTGGATTGGCCTCTGGGCGGTGAAAGGATATGCACGACGGTGGTGGTGTCATGTACCTAAGGAATAGCGTTGATGAAATAGGACGAGTTGGTGTTTTGATGGTGGATAATGGTTTGTAATGGGTACTGAGAAATGTCGGGAGTAAAAGCCGGGTATTTGCGATTTGGTGGGTTGGAGAGAAGTGAGGTTAATTATGAGTAACAATAAGCTTAAGCGGAACAGCGAGAGCAGACAAACAAAGACAAGATGAGTGTCTGTCTACTGGACTCTCAATCTGCTCTGCCTTGCTCTATCACAAGTCGTCAATCCCAAATCGAATGATATTGACGATCTCAAGCGGTGCGTTGCTTTAGTCAACTTCGGTCCTGTTTTTTTCTGCTCTTCAACAAGCCCATCCCGTTAGTCCAAACCGTCAACCGATCACCACGAGAAAAATATCACCTTACCCAAACTTTGGCCAGGCCAGTGGAGCTTCTTTGTTACTCAATTGGTGGAGTTGCGGTATGACCCACGACGGCTTTGCGCGTTGACGATCGGCTGCGGGACCGGAAGAGAAGAGAAAGTTATGGGGCTTTGCAGGAGGTGGACCGAGAGAAAGCGAAAATGCAGAGTGCAGAGAAGAAGGGGAGGATCTTGAGGATGTTTCTATATGAAGTATGGAATGTGAAGCAGGGAATCATATGACGTGGACGGCTTGTAGGACCAGTGTTGGATATTCATCTTCACATGCTCAGGTTTTGCTCTATCAGAGTGAAAATGAGAGACATGGGCTTGTATCACTGTATACCCCGACACAAACGAGAGTCCGAGTGTCTGGGGGTGGCCCGGCATGATGCCCGTCTCTAGTGTCTCTCACTCGTCTAGTCTCTGTGTTTTCATCAGCTCAGGAACAGCACAAGTCGGCGGGTTACGGAACAAACAAACCGAAAGGAATAAGCAGTCTATCGATCTGGCCTGCAGGGACTGACATTGACATTTTCTGCCTCTACACCTCTTTTGACACCAAAGAGTTAGAAGGGGTCTAGCAGGGTTGGTCCCACGTCACGCAGGCGAGCGACAGGGGTTAATTGGGACTTGGCTTTTGGGCGGCCCGCTCTCACGCTGCTGCGCCTTTTTTCTGTCTGTCTGTCGGTCCGTCCGCTGGCGTTTACAACTGTACGCCGAGCTCTGTTTGTCTGTAGGATTGCACAAGACTTGAAGCCTCACCGCAGCAGCTGAATAATGTACTCACAACACCGACTGAGTGATATTCATGATCAGAGTCTCAATTTTATTATGCTTCATGGTATCCACGTGTCAAACATCAAGTGGGACACAAATACCGATGCATCGTACATAACCCATCCATGCGTGCATACGTCGACCCGTCAATAGCTGAACCTGATATGCAAATCATCCAAGGTCTCATTTTTCGTCCGTTCTTTTTCGCACTGATCCAGCAGTCACAGACCAGTTTCACAGAGCGCCTAAAATCACTCACTCACTACAATCGCGGGGGTGATCCCAGCGTCTGAAACACAGACCTCTTTTTTTTGTACGCCGGGTCTTCCCGTGGCTAGGTATTTGACGCCGTCGCTGAAAATGGGGTTCTTTTACGAGAGGAATCGTGAATGGGGTAGAGGGCTTGGCGAGCGCTTGAAGCCTGTTGATAACTAGTCCCCAGAAATAGAAGATGCATGACAACTCACTTTGTATCTTACTTGTGCCTGTGCCTGAATCATCGAGAACCTATCATCAGTGTATTTCGCAGCATGTGAAAGATAAGATGCGCTGCCGAGGGTCTCATCCAGATCAGATTTCTGTGCATCTGATGCAATAAAACGACAACACCCTCTTTTTGCATGACCATTCCTTGTCGTGGTAGAGTGATCTCGTGTTGCACATGATAGCCTTGGGGGGTTCTTGGGGTGCCTCGCCCAGGAACGAACAAAAAGAGAACAGCCTGACAGCCACCTACGAGCTGTGCCTCTACCAAGCTGCAAGTTAATCTCCAGCCACCAACAAATCGCTGCATGTTCCAAAATCCTTTCTTTTTACAAACGCCTATCTCTTCCTTATGCCCATTAAAGAGACACTGTTTAAGACAAGATGATGCGCCCGACATCGGAACCAATAGAGTCGTATCGATTGCGAAAATTGAACTTCACATGTTTTTAACAATGTGACGCTGCTTATGCAGCTTGACGATCGGTGGCTTGGTCATGTGCACAAGTGAAGCCGGTTACGGATGGGTGATCGGCAGAGAGTGCTGAGAATGGCAGTGGGTGAGGAAGAATGTTGATACGGGCTGAGACATTGGACGCCTTGCAGGTGATGAGTTGGACGTTTGAGTTGGCGACGTCGGTCAATGCGCTTACGCTTGGGAGTTGCGTCATGACATTCGGTGAGGGTCTTGGGGAGGATATTACGAATACAATGGGGATGGATTGAGGTCTCGGCTTTCTGGGCATCTTGGCCTTGAGCATGAGGCAGAGCCAGCAGTCAGAGCAGCGGCATCTCGATAATTAGGAACAATTCGAGGGGTCTTGTTCTCTGGTCTCTCGGCTTGGTCAACGTATTCCCTTTCGTAAATGCTGCCACCAATCAATAGAAACTGCGCTGACCGCATCGATGTTGTTTAGCATGCTGCTCAGGGGACGTGAAAGAGCTTGACACCTGGATCCTAAGCGATAAAAATATCTAGGTGAATTGAGTATGAGCTTAGAGGACTCTTTACCGAGTTTATTTTGGCATTCATTTCATGGTCTAAAGTCTGCTTGCTTCCTGACGAGAACTGCATAATGGTCCCAAGCAAGTCAGATACTCGATGTACCCTGTTGGACATCGTATACGAGCTATCCAATCGCCGACAAGACATTATTCGGAAAGCTTCACTCGTAAACCCAACCCTCGGAAACCAGTGGTATAGGGTAATACTCCCAAAATAGCATCGTCCCAAAGCTGAGATTGAGTTCAGCCGTCTCAATGCAGAAGATCATTCTACCAATTGTACACAGCCCATTTGGTGTCGTCGCTCATCATCAATGCCGTCCTTCGAGACTCTTCGTGGCTGAGTCCATTTGAGCAAGATTCCCTCCCTCCACCAATTACGACCCGGCCCATCCGGAGATTTCGCATCACGTAATCTAACCTTACCCTGTTGACCAAGCTAGCTCTCATTCCAATACGAGGCATCTCACTTCCTCCTCTTCTTCATGTTATCGTTATGGATTTGTTAAGAAGACACGGCGGTCATGGACACGGTCACGAAGAGGAGGAGCATGGCCACGGTCATGGGCATCAGAGCGAGGATTCAGTGAGACAGCACTTTCTCGCGTGTCTGTACTGGTATGTCTTGGCGATGGTGGTGATAATTGGTTCTGTCTCACGGTTAATATCTATTTTCATCGCTAAACAACGGTATGTTGACTCAAAAAACGTGGGATTAAGGCTGAGACATGGCAGGATAAAGAGAAGAGATGCTGGGGCCAGTTCGGATACGTCATTCTCGACGGTAGAGAAATTGGCTGATGCGCCAAAGGCTCTTGTATCAAGAGTATTTCGACTTCCAGTCCGGTCAGCAACGTTGCCAGTTCGCAAGACAATTGTCATTGTCGCGTACACGGCGTTCGTGGCGGGTCTTGTAACTTACAAGTCCATTCACCACGATGCCAATTTCCACGAGCGCATTGCGTTTCGCGCAGCTTGGATAACTGCGACACAGACTTCACTACCCTTCCTCCTAGCTGTGCGCGTCAACCCAATTGCTCTGTTACTTGGAACTTCGTACGAGAGGCTCAATTGGTTCCACAGATGGGCGTCAAGGGTCTTCTTCGCAAGCGCAACCATCCACGGCGGCTTCTTCGCATGGGAATGGCTAGCCGCCAGCTTCTTCTGGACCGAGGTCAAGACCGTCAAGATGGTACTACCGGGCATTGGAGCGTGGTTCATCCTAGCTTGGACGGTTGTGTCGACGCTGCCCTTCTTCCGACGTATGAAGTACGAACTCTTCGTGGTACAGCACATCATCTCCGTCGTACTACTTCTCGTCTTTTTGGTCCTCCACGTTCCAGACCATCACCTCTTTAGCATCTGGTGCGCTGTGGGCGTTTTTGCATATGATGTAGTAACACGCTCGGCGAACCCGATCTGGCGGAACCTGCGGCTTCGGGTTTCGGCGAATCCATCTGTGCGATACGCATACGACGCCAGTATCCAAGCAGTCGACGACGAATTAACTACTATGACTATTCGAAATGTTGGGTTCAGCTGGAAGCCGGGACAGCATATTTTGATCTGGTTGCCGACTTTGCGATGGGAGACGCCGCATCCGTTTACGATTGCTAATATTCCGGATTCTGAAGGGAAGAGTCAGAGTCAGGATATCCAACTTACGATCAAGACGAAGACGGGATTGACAAGGGATCTTAATGATTGGGCGAGAAGAACGGGGCTGAGGGGTGATAATGGGAGTGCGAGGGTTATGCTTACAGGGCCTTTTGGCGCGGCGCCCAATTGGAAGCAGTATGAGAATGTTGTTCTTGTCGCTGCGTCAACGGGGGGATCGTTCACCACGCCTGTTCTCGAAGATCTGCTTTCGACGCAATCGCCGGGATGTGTTCGCAAGATCAATGCTTTGTACATTGTTCGTCGGAGGGCGCATGCGGAGCCTTATCTTCAGCATATATCACGTGTGCTGTCGAGGGCGAAGGAGATGGGAATATCTGTGAATGTCCAAGTTGCTGTCACGAAGGGCGCTGGCACTGTCTCCGATGCAGTTCTCCACGACGAGGCGAATGCAAGCCACGAGAGATTGATTGAAGAGCCCTCAAGAGGCCCAAGTGTTGAACTGGAGCGCTTCTCGATAGACTCTAGTGCCTCTTCGGAAAGCGGTAGGGAGGAACAGCTGCTGAAGGAGGAAATGGACATGGACTTCGATGGGGCGCACGCTTCGGCCATTGAGCACACAGAGGGTCGACCCGAGATCGCGACGTTCATAAGAACGGCGGTTGGGAGTGTTCCTGGTAACGTCGTTGTCGCTGTGTGTGGCGGTGATGCGATCGAGAAGGTCGTCAAGACGAGTGTCGCATTGATGAAAAGGGAGAGGAGAAGGGATGGAGCAGGCGTTGGGGACATATACTTGCATGTGGAGCGATCTGATATTTAAGCGCAGGTAGTTGAATGTTAATTTGTATCAACGATTCCATGATACTCGACTCCCAAGCAATAGGAGGCTCCTGGAGATGTCCTAAGGCCTCTTCTAAGTGATGACAACCCTTAGTAAATTTAATACATCTCATCAAGCCTTGAGACTAGCCTATTTGTGATCCTGACTTAACATGAGGCGCTTTCTTGCTCCCTGCCAGGTTGACCTTGGTGGATAGTTCATCGCCAGTTCCATGAGGTAGCCCCAGAGTTCTATCCTCAGGCTCCAGGCATTCCATGACGGCTGAACTCTGAACGAGCCACTGGCACCTTTATGTGCAGCCGCGCGAGCTGCGAGGGCATCGCAGCTGCCACTGCCAGAGCAGCAAGATGAATCATCTCCTCCCTGAACAATATCTCATCACCACAACAAGACGGGAGGATCTCAAACTTTTACTCTTCCCCCCACACAAACTTCTCCTTGGAGTTTTATTCTTCACAAACCACCACAATATCCAACCCTCATCAACACAAGAATACACTACAATCAGCACAAACATCCGTCGCTGCAGCAGCTCGTCATCATGTCTACTCAGCACAACTACCTCGACGACGACGATGACTTCTCGGAGTTCTACAACAACCCCCTCTACAAGCGCGTCTCTGAATTGACCCCCCACGAGCGTAAGAATGCTTGCCCACCTCCCCCCCTTCCTACTCCTCGTCGAGACAATGGCCCCAGAGTCGTCGCCCGAAAGCGCTCCTCTCGTCACCCATCCCCACGTCCGCCATCCCCTCGTCAGCCTTCCCCTCGCCCTCCCTCTTCAAGCAGGGACGCCGCTGCTGTGAGAGCCTCTATCCGAAGACACTCCTTCACAAAGCCTCGACAGACTCCAAACAAGGAGAATGCCCCCGAGCCAGAGGGCACCCATTCGCCAATCCTCCGCCCACGTGCCGACCACGACTTCCAGCAAAATGTCGCCCGCGTCCACGGCCCCGAGCACGTTGACAAGTACGAAAACTGTGCCGACATGTCGGAGAAGGCCAAAGAGGAGCTTGAAGACAAGCCTGAAGGAAGCCTTCGGTTCGGACGTCCCTGGACCCAGGAGGAGTTTGACAAGGCTGTGAGATCTATGTAGTAGGGAGCTGATTCAACGACTGTCAAGACGCTCATTGGGTCTTCCGACGACTCGATCACGGACAAGGTCGAGAAGGAGTTTCAGGAGAATATGGACGACGAAGAGATGACTTTGGAAGGATACGAAGATCTCAAGGAGGGCGAGACACTGGAAGATGACGAAATTCTGGAGGAAATCGAGATCGTGGATTGGAAGAAGCCAAACTCACGGAAACTGATGACCAGGGAACGAAGCAGCGAGGATCATAATGCGGATCTGGCAGGTGAACAGCAGGCTTAGCAGCGTTCAGGAACGCTCAGCCAGGAGTACTTGATGTTAGCTATTACGATAGCTCAAGCCAGACAATTGATCTCGTAGTTGGCCCCAACTGTAGGCGTTATCGAGAGTGATGGTTGCATTGACTAATCTAGCTCAAGCTTTGGACAGTAGAGTTTCGATTGAGCTGTGAATGACACTCAAAGGTTTGGGCTGCTTCGCGAATCACAGCCCTCTTCTTGGTGCACTGAATGAACTCGGGAGAATTAATAGCCGTGAGTTTCGTATCGATTGGTAGTTTCATCACAGTCGAAGTGGAATTTCGGTAGCATGATCACCTTCGAATCCTCCCCGATAAGACACGAAGTGAAATTAGCCGTTGATCAGAATTGGACATGCAGTCCTCTGGTTCCACTGCATCACTCTGAACCCCCATCACAAGGATAGTTATTCATGGGCAGTTAGCTCACAGGAATAGACGATATAAGGAGACTTTGGGTGCCGTAACAATGTGCTGGTCCATCAACACAAGAACCATACTACAAAGACACTATATCATCACAACGAACTCAAGAACCATGTCTAACAAACAATCTCTTGACGAGGAGGCCCGCATGATTGCGAAGATCTACTCGACCGACTACTACAGGAAAGTCAGCGATCTTGCCCGCAACACCGGCGGTACTGTCTATGACCCCGGCATGGGTCCTCCCCCTCCATCCCCAGCCCTCAAAGAATTCGCCCCTATACCCCCAAGCTCTCAAGCTCCACGACCAGACACACCCCACCCAAATGAGACCTACATTGACAATTCGCTCATCCCTGGCAAGACAATCGTCAACGAGAACTGGGACGAAAACCTCAAGCGCGTCTTCCGCGGGACATACAGCAGAAGGGACTGGAAGGACCTAGAAGACATGACGAACAAATGCTGGAAGTACCTCCGCGGGAAGAAAAACCGAAATCGAAGGACTGAGAGGTGGGATATGATCGAGATTGAGTGCTACGGGAGACTCTCGGTCTGGGGTGTTCATAATGATATGATTGCAGCGCTCATCGGCTGGCCGGTCAATGTGCAATGGACCCCTGAGGAGGAGACTCACTCCAGAGCCGCTATTCTTGATGAGTGGAAGTACATTCATGTGACACCGCAGGAGGCTGAGGCCAACGTCAAGGAACGTCAGAAAGAGCTCTCACCGGAAGTGTGAGCGAGTCGCATATGCATTGAAGGGGGATTCAGAAAGGGATTAGACGAACATGGTGGCCTATGGCTTAATACAGTGGGAGAGAAAGACAGAACTCTAGCCTAATGAGATGCCAGAAAGGCGGATAGATAATTAGACTGTTTCTTGACTTCAAATCGCCTGCTTCCAGACATGCTCGTGGCTGTCACTGTCAAGATCTCTTTGCCGAATCAGTTACCGCTTGCTGATTGACTTGCAAAGACCTGGCGCAAAGAGACTCAAGACCTTTGTCTGTGTACCCAGGGAACTGTAGAAATTACGCATGTAAAGAATGGAAGTCTTCCATAGACTCGTGCTTGAATTCTCTACCCTCTATTAATGCCATGTGGCCCCATGTACTGATGACTGCTTCACCAAACCTCAGAACTCTCTCTCTCCAGAGACAAATATCTTGGGACCCACGCTTCAAGGGTCTGAACCATCCCACTCCGACTTGTACGGGTTCTTGGTACTGTTGCCAACACTCCTGGATCCCCCCTCTATTAACTTCTTATTTAGCTTCTTGAGCTGTTTTCGCTCGCTGGATATCTCCTGTATCCAATCCTTCATAGTTTGTTGGAGCTCTTCGAGGTCGGATATCATGTCCAATGTATACGAGGCCGTCTCGTGCGGCCTCTTGGTACAGTTACCAACACTCCTGGACCCCTCCCTTCGGACACGCTTACTTGGCTCCCTATACCCGGAGTTGTCGAACCCTTCCAGCCCATTTATCCCCTCCGATATATTCGCTTCCGTTTCGTATGACCTCTTTCTACTGTTGCCAGCCCGACTGGACTTTTCCTCCCGAGGAAGATTACCCTGAGGTACGGGCCCAAAGTCTTCAAGTCCTCCCGATGCGTGTATCGCTCCCAAGGGCCCCAATGCATTCTCCTGTAGCCTATACGGAGTCTCATAAACCCTATACTGAACCTCGGTATGACTTCCAACACTGTTGGATGCCCCTGCTTGGGATGGATCATCTTGCTGCTCATGCCAAAAGTCTTTCACCTCCCCCAATATCCTCTCTTCATCGTTCTGCCATTTGCTAACCAATTCGGAATCCCATCGACTCTCTTCCGACGGTTTACCCAATAGAGCTAAAGCGACAAACGCTGGTACCCCCCATACTTCCAATCTCGCAGACAACTCCGCATCCGTAGCATTCCAAGGCCTTGGTAACGAAACAGACCTGTCGGTCTCAGCAAGATGTAAGCACCAGCCTATCATCATTGATGTGTTTTGCCACTTGCTGTGAGATTTGGGGCCGAGGACACGTCGCATGTTCTGTTGCTAAATCACATCAACTCGCCAGTCTGGAGAAGCCATATTTGATGACGCTGTTGAATGTGCTTGTGGGGTTTTCTTGTAGAAGATATGGCGGAGTAATGGTGTTGATGATAGTCGTGATGATGATGATTGAACTGAATGCTTGTCTGGCTGAGAGGGGTAAAATGAGGAACCCATCGTGCCTAGATCGTACTTGCTTGGTCGACGTAAATCAACATTCTGAAGTTGAAGCAAGTCAAAGGTCTACTAAATCTGGACTGAAACAGCCCAAATTTATATAACTTTACTGAGATCTTTTTGTCATTGAGGATAGGATAGAGTCAGAGGTTCTTCCAGACCTCTGTGACCTTGGTACAAAGCCTTTGGGCATTCAATTGGGGTGCGAAAGACAATTGCTCCCTCCGTATGCAAGGGTGACAAAGAGCAAGCTCGACATATTAAATGACACTAAACTTGCACAGTTGTTTCTGTTCGCGAGTCAATTCTTGGAATTCCCATACAATACCTACAGTCTAACCATTGAATGCGCACTCTATACTTTTACCCCAGATCTTACCCTTGTCCCGACGAACCTAAGGGTATATTCAAGCACGGTGATTCGAGAATGATTGCCGACCAAATTTTCCGGGGTAAGATAAAAGGGCACCGAGACGCTAGACCCCGGATGAAAAAGAAGCGCCGTCCTCAATAGGGCCTGTTCTAGAATTTCCATGGCTTGCCATCTGTGTGTGTTTGTCTGTTTTTGGAGGCTGATAACCGAGTGATGCCGATGATGGTCTGTGCTCATCTCGGCCGGGCGGAAGATGGGGCGCATGGGGTTTTTGGAGAAGATGGCGGGGATCCACAACACGGACTCGGAGGTTCTCGACGGCGGAAGAGCCGGTGTACAATTACAGTTGCAAAGCTCACCGGAGAAGTATTTTGCATAATGGAGATTGCTAGAAGTAGCATCAGGTCAAGAATGCTAAGGTGAGCAGTTGTGAGGCCACGAGATAGAAAGTCAAGGATGCGTAGGAGAATCAGGCCACACGCATGTATTGCCTAATAGTGTCATGACCGATGCACTCTCCTCTCGGCAACGTCGGTAGATCTGGAGATCAACTGCATCAGAAAGTTACTCTCTCTGCGTAGTTTACACTCTTGCTCCCTATGATATAACGGAATTATAAATCCGGTGCTTGGCAGAACTTCCCTTCTCTCCGCGTTGTACCTCTTTGCTGGACCAAGAGGCACAATGGTACCTGGATGCAAATTTGGAGAAGGGACACGCTGAAGCGTCCACTATAACCGACGGGCCAACCACTGAAAGGGATGCATCCCCGCTCTGAAGACTCAGTGGGTTTCGGTGATCCACCCCTCGTCACCGTCACCCCGACGAACCCAATCCAATTGAGTGGCCTCCACTAACCAAGGTTGGAGCTCTCTTCTCTTTCTTCCCTCTTATTTATCCTTTCCTCCTCCTCCTCTTTTTTTACTCTCCCTCTCTGAACGGAACAATCTCCCCTCTGTCTTCTCCTTTTTGTACATTCCGCTTTCAGATCATCATGGCTTCACCTGTTGCTTCTGCCGCCCTCAAGGCGCGCGTTCGCAATCCCGCTATGCTCAAGAAGCTTGCGCGACCTGAGGATCTGATGCACCACTTTCCCAATGGCTCTTATATCGGCTGGTCTGGCTTTACAGCTGTTGGATACCCCAAGTACGTTAACTCAACTCTCCTGCACAATCGATTGCTCTGTGATTACTCTGAGTGTCGAGTTTCAGACTCCGCACCGGCTATTATCGTCATTACCCGAGCTTGGCGCAAACAGTGCAACTGACAATCGCAACAGGAAGGTTCCCGCTGCTATGGCCGACTACGTCGAGCAGAACAACCTCCAGAGCAAGATGAAGTACTCCCTGTTCGTTGGTGCCTCGGCCGGTTCCGAGACTGAGAACCGATGGGCTGCTCTCGACATGATCAACCGACGAAGCCCTCACCAGGTTGGCAAGGACATCGCCAAGGGAATCAACTCTGGACGAATCAACTTTTTCGACAAGCATTTGTCCATGTTCCCCTCTGATCTTGTCTATGTACGTAACCGCAAAAGCACAGAATGGAAATTTGTTGATTGCGGCCCCACCACTCGGCCTCGCTTTAATCTCCCACCGAGCTATTGCGGCTCCGATGAGACAATCGGCTGACAATTTGACTCTAGGGCTTCTACACCAAGGATCGATCAAACAGCAACCTTGATGTCACCGTCGTTGAAGCGACAGACATTCTCGAGGATGGCAGCTTTGTTCCCGGTGCCTCTGTTGGTGCTACTCCCGAGTTGATCCAGATGGCCGACAAGGTACGTCACCGCCAAGCTTGAACCCGCATCGCCAACTTTTAGTTACTGATAATTGCGCTTGGTAGATCATCATCGAGGTCAACACCGCCATCCCCTCTTTCAAGGGTCTCCACGACATTACCTTCACCGACGTCCCTCCCCACCGCACTCCCTACAACATCACCGCTGTCGAGGACCGCATTGGTTCCCCCTCAGTCAAGGTCGACCCCTCAAAGGTCGTCGCTATCGTCGAGTCCGATTACTGGGATGCCACCGGCCCCAACGCCGATGCCGACGAGTCGTCTCGCCAGATCGCCGGCCACCTGATTGAGTTCTTCGAGCACGAGGTTGCCCAGGGTCGCATGCCCGCCAACCTTCTGCCTCTTCAGTCCGGTATCGGCAACGTCGCCAACGCTATTGTCGGCGGTCTCAACGAGTCCAAGTTCAAGAACCTCAAGGTCTGGACAGAGGTCATCCAGGATACTTTCCTCGATCTTTTCGACTCTGGAAAGCTCGACTACGCTACTGCCACGTCCATCCGCTTCTCCCCCGATGGCTTCAAGCGCTTCTACGATAACTGGGATGCCTACGCCGACAAGATCCTCCTCCGAAGCCAGGCTGTCTCCAACGCTCCCGAGATCATCAAGCGTCTTGGTGTCATTGGCATGAACACCCCCGTCGAGGTCGACATTTTCGCCCACGCCAACTCCACCTGCGTTAGCGGAACACGCATGCTCAACGGTCTCGGCGGCTCAGCCGATTTCCTCCGCAACTCCAAGTACTCCATCATGCACACACCATCCAGCCGACCCTCCAAGACCGATCCTCACGGTGTGTCCTGCATTGTCCCCATGGTGACACACGTCGACCAGACTGAGCACGATCTCGACGTTATCGTCACCGAGCAAGGTCTCGCTGATGTGCGCGGTTTGTCACCACGTGAGCGCGCCCGTGTCATCATCAACAAGTGCGCGCACCCCAAGTACCAGCCCATCCTGAGCCACTACTTCGACAAGGCTGAGTCAGAGGGTCTGAAGAAGGGTATGGGCCACGAGCCTCACCTTCTCTTCAACGCTTTCGACCTGCACAAGGCTCTGGCTGAGGAGGGTAGCATGCTCAAGGTCAAGCCTTGGTAAAGATTGGCTTTATCATAATGAAAGAGAGGGGAAAAGAAATACAGCGGTTGTACTCATATGAATGACATTTTGCGTAGCTATTTTTGGGATATGTTTTTGTTGGTCTACATAGATGATTTGGATGATAATTCCCCAGCAATTGAGCATTGAAATCTTGACCATCTGTATTGATCATTGAAGTGTGACATCATTGCTGGATTCTTTGTGCTTAGCGGAGTCGGGATCAGTTCTGGGTCCGACGCTTTTTGTGGTGGCTTGAGCTTGGAGATGGAGGGTTGTCGGGGGTGCGGACAAATCTCCGCTCACCTGATGGACAGGATGAGATTTCAGTGAACAACAGGGTTGAGAGACGTGTTCTATCTAATTAACGTACCGCTATTGTGCCGAATAAGATTTTGGTGAACAAAAAGGTGACTACAAAGCTGGCAGTGGTGTTTAGCAAGGACGTGAGCCCACAGAGCTAGTTCGGTGAGCTCAGAGAATGTCAATGAAGTCGATGTTATGAAGAATTAACAGTTCTAGAATGAAGGATAAAAATGAAAATCAACACAGATTTATAAGATATATGAATTATCTACGATAAACATCCCTAACTACTTTATTTAATTTTATATCTCTTGTATGGCTTAGACTGCTCATCCTTCCTGCAACCTCATGAGTATAGGGTGCGTCCAACCGGCAATCATCCCATGTCAATGTATAGCATGTCAAAAAGTATTACAAGTTCAAATACTTGTGTATGATTTCAGAGAAGGGCAAGCTCCCATTGCCCATCAGATACGCAGCGCGTATTTGCGAATATCTTTCAGCTTTAGTTATCGTCAATCTCATTGGCTTCTTCAACACTGCCTTGTCCAACTCAGCTTTAGCGCCAAGGCGTTTTCGTCCTCACAAGGCATAATCACCACTTTATAAAGACCACTTCAAACAGCAATCCTTCTCCACAGATCGACCAAAACCCTGTAACAAATGTCAAATACAACAGAAACCCTCAACCGCTGGGCCCTCGTATCCTCACTCTACGGCCCCGGCACCTTCTGGAGCTGGCTCATCATCGTAGCCTCCGTCTTCATAAGCTGGACCATCAACCCAGCCACGAAACGCCTGGACACAATCACAAACGACACAATCGCCGCGCTTACACTACCTGTAGTCGCAGCTGTAGATGCGCTCTACCAACTCGCCAAACATGATCGACCTGATCGTCCGCGGTTGCTTTTGAGCGATTCACCGGAAGATATCCAACTCGTCGCTGCGCTTGAGGCCCCGCTTGCTATTTGCGAAGTCTACGTTGTGCTGGCTATTTTCCTACATAGCGCTGCGTCGAGGCGATATCAGTGGAAGCGGGTGGGCTGTGTTACTTTATCTACTCTTATGTGCTTCTCGCCGCAGTTGGTTATCTTCTTTACATACCCTGATCTTCCTGTTTCAAGAAGCACATTCGCTCGACCGTTTCTATTCAACTTTGTCCTAGCGTTGGGCTTCATTTCGGGGATCATGGCCATAATGACTGGTATCTCGATAATCCGGACCGTGGTTGTCACCATGTATCGAAGAGCCAAGCCTCCTAGCACTGAAGCCCAGGACTTGTCGAAAGAAAGACGCAGTAAGTTCGAGAAATGGTCGAATGTCTTTGCCTCAGTTCTCATCGCAAGTATCATCTCCATCGTCAAATATGGGTTTGCTGGCAACACAATGGCCTTTGCTGCGGGCGTGCTCGGATATCAGACTCGTATGATACGATTTATGCCCAAGAGTAACGTCTCTCTTACGGACTTGGATCAAATTGTTGCGCTGGCTGGTGGAGAATTTACGCTTTTGTTCAGCATTTATGATGCTGCAAAGGGGTGGCGATCATCCGCCTGAACTGGAAATGATAGTTAGGCCAGTGCAGCTCCTCATATTGATACAGTCTTGAAGTGTTTTCGACGTTCTCAGTCTATAAAGATAGCATTGACTAGTGCTCGGGCTTACATGAGATCTAGGGGCCAAAACTCTATTTGACTGGGTGATATATGAAACATCACTGCTGACAGAGGCCCAGCCTTATATCTTATTCTTTCATCCTCCAAATTATTAAATCTGCAATAGGCTTCTGAGATCCAAGCAACAATGAAGCTATATGACGCCCCAGCATCCAACCCAATGGTTGTTCGCCTCTTCGTACTTGAAAGAGGTGGCATAAGCCTTGACGTCGAGACTATCGACGTCATGAACATGGAAAATAGAGGCCTTGAATACCGAAATATCAACCCCCGAGGGGAGGTTCCCGCGCTCGTTCTCGATAATGGTTTTATCTTAACTGAAGTTACCACCATCTGCGAGTATCTCGATGAGATAGCACAAGGCGGAAAGTCACTCTTCGGCGGAACACCCATTGAACGTGCCGAAACGCGCATGTGGCTGAGACAAATGGACCTCAAAATCGCACAACCTATTATCTCGTGGGTTCGCAACGATCCGGGCTCTGCGGACTTTTACATAGGACATCGGATTCCTGTCCCCGAGGAGAGATTGGCACAGAAGGTTACTATTCAGCAGTATCTTAACCTGTTGGATGAACAATTGGAGGGAAAGAAGTATCTCTGTGGTGAGAGGTTCTCGGCGGCGGACATTCACTTCTACAGTCTGATGAAAGGAAAGACCACTGGAATGGCACCATGGATACTTCATCCGGGGGGGAAGAATGTTGTTAGTTATTTTGAGAGAATGGATGCTAGGGAGGCTAGCAAGAAGGCGTTGGAGGTCTTTGGAGCAAGATTTGAAGCTCAATAGATAAGTGTGATAAAATGGTCACGAATGGATATCCATACTGTCCAAAGACAAGTGTATGGTACATATATTCATGACCTCAAAGAAGACCAGTTAGTTGATCGAAATACGAATAAGCAATATGAAGAAGGCCTGAGAGATTCTTGAGATAATACTTAATAATTTGTCAACAGGATACAAGGTGACTTGGAATATCCTTTCATGAATCACAGAAAGTCTGAGGTAAATTAGGATAAATTGAGTAGTTGGGCATCTAGGCTGCCTAGTTCATTGCCAAGAGCTTGTCCTACAGCCCCTGAATCTCGATAAGAACGACAAGTTGAATCTATCGATAACCAGCACAAACGTCCTGGTAGACATTCTTCTCTAGCCCAGCAGCATCAGTAGGAATGTAATTCAGATAAGTCGCATAAGAATACGTCCATCTCGGGTCATTCGTCTCTGTCTTCCAAGTCCAGTAAATCCATCCCGCCATACCAGGCTTCTCATACAGCTGCTGCTGAGCCGTAAAGAACTTGTTAAAGAAAGTCTTGTCGTGCCAATCAGCGTTCGAGGTCATGCTCCATTCACCAGTGAAAGTAAAGTCCTGACCGCTAACGACCCGAGAATCGGTACAAGCGCTGTGCATGAGCTTGTACTGATCGCCGTTGCTGTCACCGAGAGCAAAACCGATGTAGTTATGATCGTCGAAAGCAGTGTAGGGATCGTTAGCCACGGATGATACGGAGCGGGGGTTTCCGGAGTCCCATTTGCTGGACATGAACTGAACGTGAAGCTTCTTGTTGTCGGGGACTTTGAGGGAAGCTTCGGTGTCACGAACGGCCTTGAGGGCGGCAGGGTAGTACTTCTGGATCAAGCCTGGGTCCTCGCCGGGGGCAGGATAGCGGTTGTTCGCATCATGACGAGAAACAGGCTCGTTGAGGACCTCGATCACACCAACGGTAGAGTAGGCAGAGTTGGTGTGAATACGGTTCGTCATCCAAGCAAGCCACTTCTCCGCGCGGCCAAAGTTATAGTCATTGAAGAAACCAGCTGGTTTGTTGTTCTGGCCAGTGAAGACATCTTCTTGCTGACCCCCCGGGGCGCCGTGAAGATCAATGATGACATAGATGCCAAGATCAGCAGCCTTTTGGACGACAGCGTCGAGGTAAGGAAGCATGCGGTTTCCGTCAGCGAAAGGCTCACTGGCCTTGTCAACGATATCAGTGTAGGACCAATATCCGATGGGGATTCTGATGGTGTTGAGTCCCACGTCATGGACTGACTGCACAGTTGCGGGGTTGATCCAGTTCTTCCAATGCTGTTCAAAGCGACTGTTGCCAGTCTCGCGGTTTGATCCCAGGTAGTGATCGCGCATGCAGTCAAACTCGGATGCAGAGTCGCCGCACTTGAGGACGTTTGCCCATTCATCTCGCTGCATCCAGGGCTCACAGACAAGCCAGCCTATACATGTTAGCGGATGCAATGGGAGGGATATTGGGGACTTACCTCCAAAGTTGACTCCGCGGATCTTGGTTACACCACTGGGCAGGTTTGGCTTGAATCGTTTACCCAGCTGTTCGTGGCGAGCAGTCTGGTTAAATGCTGCTAAGTCACGCTCATGGGGAAGCCATGCTGAGGCAGAGCCAGCGAGGACCAAGGGAAGAAGAGTAGAGTAATGCATCTTACTCAGAGGCTGTGGCGACGATGGCAAGATGGGGTTGAGTATCACTAGACTATCGTGAAGGATAGTGAAGATATATAGTGAGAGTAATTTATTTAGCCTATGGCCCATTTACCTCAGCCTCACATGATGCCGATCAGTTGAACTCCGCTTATTTGTCTCAGCCTAGGGAGTACTTTCTTGCCATTTCTTGCCTTCAACCTACTGCATAGGGCCGGCTGATCAGGACATTCAGCTTATTCGGCCCGTTAAGCTGCATTAAATTACCCCGGATCATGCCATTGGGGAAGGTCAAGGCCATTGAGTAAGCGGGCACCTCAACTTCTCGTGAGACCTCATACATTTTTGATAGCCCCAGGATGAACTGACTTCATAACGAATGGATACGAATTGCCTGTTTGCTGTGAGTTGCTGGGTTCAGTGTTTACAGTTCATCCCTTCGAATTTCAATGCACGTTTCGAAACGTGCTTGGGTATGGATATGGGATACTGGATTGGGCTAGCTTCACCCCGGACTATACGAAGGAACAGGAGAATTTCCAGTAGTTTCAGCATTAAAAATGGCCATCGATTGGCTGTTAATCTCCAAAGAATATGCTACGTTACGAATTACCTATTGATGCCGTCGAACGCAACCTTGATGATCAGGCTGGGCGGCCGATCCCAGGGGAACTATTGCGCGGAGAGACAATGGAACTTCCTCTTTGAGCAACGATCATACCACGATGATCATCATCCCGCATATAGATTGCCGAGTGGAGGCCGACGTCGCATTATAGCCGGCCTCTCCGGATTTCTCGAAACTAGTTGCTACCCGCCTTGCTCGTCTAGTCTACCTCTTAGGATTGAACTAGTATAACCATACGTAGTAAGCGAATATTTGATAGCCCGAGGTCCAATGCGGATTACCAAGTAGGGACATGCCGAGGGGATGGTCCGACAGCTGTCTTGACTTGTAATTTCTTTTCAGCCCCAAACAAGCTTTACAGGGGTGTGTTGGAGTGACTAGCTAGAAAAGCCAGCGGGCCGCTCGTAATGCTAAGGGCAAGATCAAGACGGGATGAATTTCTTGGGAGTTCCGGCCCCTACTGATCTCTACCCATATAGCTTTGGCTGCTCTATCAAAACAAAATTCGTTTTGATAGTCACTAGAAGAGCTTGAGTACAGCTTGATGGAAGTAAGAATATTATATCCTTGTCATTTATTTGGCCGCCTAGACTTAGACTTAGGACTTGTCCTTTCTCCGATACCTCATATTGAACTGGCTGCCCTAAAGAGAGAAAAACCGGTGCCAAGGAAGGATAATCGTCCCATCGGCAGTTAATGCCGGCTGAGCTAAGCTAAGAGAAGCACGTGGAACTTTAGTTAAACAACTACCGCAGATTCAAGGCTCGACTTGGAACCTAAGGATCTTTATACTCCAACGACTATCACTAGGGCTTATCGGGCCTTCTATCGATAGATCCTTCAAGAACTTGCTGCGTGTTTCACGATGTCAACGAGTAATATGGGAGGCCTTTGCTGAGGGGTAAATTTCTATGTCTTGTCACTTCGATGAGCTTGAAGGTATGACCTTAACGAGAAGATCTAGTTTTTTAAATATGCTAGAAAATTCCCCCTTACAAAGAGTTTAGTCCCGATTGGAGCAATGTGAATATGTCTGGCAATACCAGTCACATGTAAGCCGAACGAAACAAGCTGAAGACATGGAGTTACATATTAGCGTTCCAGGGTTTACGACAAGTTTATTTCCGTATTCTGACCAAAAGACTCCAGGGGCATCCTTTGACTCTCCTATTAGGGTTAAGCGGTCAGAAAGTCAAAGCACTCCGGGAGTTCGGCAGTTGGATAGACCTGAGATATGTCGATTAGGTAAAATGCCATATGGAGATCTTGAGACTGGGACGGGGTGTACTTGGTCATTATTAAATCATAAAAGGGAGTTGACTGTAGATTAGATATAAAATCTTAAGAAATCCCTTCACATTCTATGCAGAACCAGCTCTCACATCTATCAAGTGAGCAATTTCTTTGAGCCAGGCACCAAGACAATCATGCATTCTTATTCAATTCTTACGGCCGTCACCCTGGGAACAGTAGCTTCTGCCTACCAGTTGCCCCAGAACCTGAAATCAATTTACGATAACCACAAGGTAACTACGCTCCCATATCTCACAGATACAACCCTAACAATACAACAGGCTGGCTCGTGTTCCAACCGCCTTTCCGACAGGTTCCCCGAGGGTGCTAGGTACTGCGGTGATATATCAGGAGCCATCTACCTCAAAGGCTCCAATGGAAACTACGATAACATGGATATCGACTGTGATGGAGCGAATAACCATGCGGGTGCTTGCTCAAATGATCCCTCTGGACAGGGAGAGACTGCCTTCAAGGACACTGTCAAGAAGTACGGTATTTCCGACTTGGATGCCAATGTCCATCCCTACGTGGTCTTTGGCAATGATGGAGCCTCGCCATCCTTTGACCCCCAGCAGCACGGTATTAAGCCACTGAGTGTCATGGCTGTTGTTTGCAATGGCGAAGTGGCAAGTATTCCACAGTCAATTATAGATTTCCTGCTAACATTGAATAGCACTACGGCATCTGGGGAGATACTAACGGTGGCACCTCTACTGGCGAAGCTTCGATTTCTCTCGCTGAGCTTTGCTTTCCTAACCAGGGTCTCAATGGAGACAATGGCCATGGTCAGAAGGATGTTCTATATATCGCCTTTAAAGGTGACGAGGCTGTTCCTGGAAAGAATGGTGCTGATTGGAAGGCTGCGAGCCGTGCCGATTTCTCCAAGAGTATAAGGGCTTTGGGAGATAAGCTGGTTGCCAAGCTGCAAGGATAAGGAATCGACGTACGCTTGTCTATAGTTATCTTCAACGGCGAGACGTAGTTATAGCCGTGCAGCCTATGTGAAACTCAGGCGAACATAGTGTTTTTGCAATACTATCCGCTGCTTGATCCTCTATACAAGCTCACACTCAATAAGATTTTCAACACTAGCAACCCCACACTTCCAAAACTTGACGATCTTGAGATTCAATCCGCTTTGCTCGATCGACTGGTGCCAATTGTCCTCTGTACGCTCCAGAGCCGAAAGCTGCGTCATCATGAGGATATCACCGCTGTAGCCACCCAGTACGCACCCGTTCGTGGAATGACGCAATCGAAAATAAGAAGTTTGCTACAACCAGGCTTCATGGCTTCTGCAAGACGAGCTAAGATCTTGCGACATACATCATCTGGCCAGTCGTGGAGAATCGAGTGCATGAAGTATGCTCTTGCGCCTGTCACGGGTTATTCGGTCAGAAAGTCATGCGGCATTAGTTCTATCGAAGGATCAATGTCCTTCACGTCGTTGATCACGACTGGGAGGTCCTGAAGGATCAATTTCTTGGGTGGTCTGTCAGTAGTGGTTGTTCTTATGGTGAATGTGAAACTCATTCCTGGGTGTTCAGGGTAAAACTTCTTGAACTCGTGGATATCGTGACCGAGACCTCCGGCGACATCGACTAGTAGAGGGGCGTCAGGCGCTTGGTCTGTTCCTGGGAAAAGGGTCTTCTCAACCGCGTAGAGCGAAGGATGCATCCAGAGCAATCGACCTTGTCTGTAGCCTCCCACTGTCTAATATTAGTCTTCATAACCTTTATTCAGCGGAATGATTAGATACTGACTGTGATTATTTGTTTGAGGGCCTAACCCAATAGACCTCAAGTACTCAAATCAGTTTGGTAATTTAGTATCGTAAGATACGTGCATTGCAGTGTGACTCGCATCGGTTGGGTTCTTCCACTGGGTTTGGCGGAGAAACTTGTAGAACTCGATTGGACTGCGACCAATCCCACCAAGCCTTGAGAATATCAGTTATTTGGCTGTGTAGGACGTCTGATAGTACTGGTCTGTCTCTCACAGCCATGGTCACCACCTTGTTGTTGCAATGCAGTCCCCCACGGGCCTTGTGGACCTTGACAATGACAAGACATTGTTTAGCACCATCCAAACTGGTAGGGCTGGCGTTTTGGGCAAGCTGTTAGCACTGTGATCTCATTGCAATATGGAGGCATAAACCAACCATTTCTTAGCAATGTCCGCGTTTCTGGACTTCTATCTCGCCGTGTATCCAGCCATCACTCTTTGAAATATTTTAATGCCTTTGAAGAAGAAGCTGATTCTCAGTCTTGCGCTCGGCATGGGAGTGGTGTAAGTAGAAGGATAGCTTCCTCTTGACTTTGGACTGACATATGAAGGTGCGGCGCTATTGGAATAGTGAAAGCAACAGGAGTTCCAACACTGGCCAGTCAAGACGTTAGCTGTAAGTTTATATCACAAGACTAATATCCCAGATACTGATGACAAGCCGTAGACAATTTATGCGATCCTCTGTATTGGACATCGTAAGCGAATCGAATCGCATACTGGGGCCATCAAATTGCTCACAACCTTTCAAGTGTCGAAGGAAATCCAATAATCATAGCGGCCTGTATACCGGTGCTTCAGCCTGTTCTTGAGATGTTGAGGGGACGCAATATCTGGAGCACCAAGAAAGACTCTGGTCAGCACCATTACGAAGACTACAATAAGCAGAGCGGACAGCAGCGACCTGGAATCGAGCTGCAAGACAAGCCAAGAAAGAAAGTTGATACTTATGGCTTTACGATCCAAGGAAAGGAAGGAAGCGAGGAAAATATGGTTGATGCCGACAAGGTATCCCGCACTACTTCGTCTAGGCCAGAGAGTCCTAAGGATGGCATAGTAAGGGCTGATCAGGTTACTATTGGCTATGATGGAGGAGAGGGGGGACCAACATCGGCGGCCAAGAGATGGGCTGCTGTATAAAGATGTCACTACCTTGATCCTTTTATGTATGTGGAGCTAGCTTTATATTTCACCTTTATCATGATTTAATGACACTCGAGGCTATTCATAACACCGCCTGATAGTGAGGGTTCATCTCTGATAGATGTGCCTTAGTCGTGAATTAGATCAAAGCAATTTTTATCAGTCATATAATCAGCTAACCAGAAGCTAAACTCGATCACTTCTCTCTACAGGCGTCTTCTGGTCATCGTCCCTTGGAATAGTCTCCTCCTCGTCATGAGCCTGGGCACTTTCAGGATCCAGTCCCCAGGTAACGATATCAGGATATTTCCGTACGTAAAACCACATTCCCATGATAGCCACAATGCTCCCAACACTGAATGCCGCCGCTAGCGGGAAACCAACTGGATATCTAGGTGAATCACTAACCCGCCAAGCACGAAGTGGGATAGAAGCGTGCCCAGCATAAACAAGTGTAACAGCAATAGCCACCAAAATAGACCTCACCTCCGGCTCTTTCCTCAAAATCTCCGCTAACCACGCGAGGAGAGCATAGCCCCAAGCAGCCGTAGCAAATGTGAGAAAGTAGAAAGCCATGATGGTCTTCCACGAATCAGGCCACCCGGAGAGAACCGAAGTTGCGATGAGCTGTAAAGTGGCGGCGCCAACGCTGACTTGCCAGCGCCAGGCCTTCCAATCACTGAGGGCGTTGAGACCGATGTTGCAGACTATGCTTATAGCGTAGCCACCAAGTGGGATAAGGTTGACGGTGTAGACTGAATAGCGGGGTGTTCCGTCAGCATTTTGGAGTCCTTTTAGGAAGAGGAGAAAGTAGGCGTTTGCGCGTTGACTCCATGCGAATTGAAGATAACCTGCCAGAAACAGATATGAGAGGGGACTGAGGGCGAGGAGTTTCATCTTTTGAACCAGAGTCTTGAAGGGGATGATTCTGGAAGTTTTGACGCCGCTGTCGCTCATTCGAAGACGACAAAGTTCTCTCTCTGATTCTGACAGCCAGAGAGCTCGAGTGATGGCAGGTGAGTCTGGAATGATGACAAGTCCGACGAGACCCCAGAAAATAGTCATTATGCCGCTGATAATGAAGAGCCATTGCCAACCAGCAAGGCCAGATACGCCGTTGAGGTTTCTGTAAAGGGCGGCTTGAACAATGCCGAGAAACATGTTTCCCGCAACGCCGCTGACGCCAAAGATCGCCAATCGCTTTCCCAACTCCTCGGGACGATACCTAAAGGGTTGTTAACGACATATGGAGCTAGAGGTTTGTGATTAGTGATCATACCAATTGAAGATCAAGTTTACGATGCCGGGCCATGATGTAGACTCAAAAACACCGAGGAAGAATCGTAGCCCAAATACGGTCTTTGCATTTGGAGCTCTGTAGGTGAAAAGTGTGAATAAACCCCAAATAATCTCGCAGAGAGGGAGGAAGAGAGATGGTCGAACGCGAGTTTGGATGAGTTGTGATGGGACGATGAAGAGGGCGTAGCCGATGGAGAAATATGTCGTGAATTCCACCAGTTCATTTCCGTAGAGCTTGAGATCCTCTTTCATCCCTGAGACATACGCAGCTGTCGTCGCAGATTGATCCATATCCTATAGAGTCATCAATATCACAGTTCACAAGAAAGATTGGGTATGTACATACCTTGAAAAGACCTGCGATGAACGCCCATACCAGCAACAAACAATCAAGCTTGAGGACCAAAACATGAGCTGGATTTTTGAAGTATGGGTGAACCTTTGCCAACCACGACGTCGACTCTACATCCGCGACATTCTGCCTCTCCTCCGAGGCAGAGTCATTCACAGGTGTCGACATCTTTGTTGCTCCAAAGACCGCTGAAAAGTAAAAAGAGGAGTTGAGAAATGATCGACACTTGGGGTTCTCTGGAATATTTAAAAAATTCCCGCCCGCCACATTTGACTCCAAGCTAGAGACGTTCTAGAGCCCCGGCAAGTATCGTTTCTCAGCGAAAACTGCAGCCATGACGAGCTTAGACTATAAATATCGCAAGATCACGAGTCAGTGGTACTAAGATCGGAGCCGAGCAGTAAACTACCGTGTTTGTCGTGATCAAGGGTCCGATTTAGCAGAAACACCATCAGATTACCCCACTGCTTATCTCAAAACACAGCAACTACAATTGGCTCGATCTTCAGAGCGGGTACATTCACCCGGCTTGCGTCTTCAGCCCTGCAAATAACGAGTCCCCAAATCTCCTCTTCTAGCTAAAACCATCGGACAAGCCCCGACAGGCTCGGATTACACTATCCGAAGGCGGAGATATCTAAGACGCAGCCTGCACATCCAATCCAGTCGCTAACAAAGGGAAAAAATGTCTTCCGAACCGCTGTATCCCGATTATCTGCCCACCCGCTCGAACGGCTATAATGCGCCGGTAGCTTTGCCCCTCTTTGAAGCGGAAGAGCCAGGGCTTCGGGCTGATCCCGCCAAAGCGAATCTGCTAAAGGGCACTACGACGGTTGATATTACCCCACGTATTGGCACGGAAGTCCGGGGTGTGCAGATTAGTGCATTAGGGAGGGAGGGGCTTGATGAGCTGGCTTTGCTAGCTGCTGAACGAGGTGTTGTGGTTTTTGTGAGTCTGTTTGGTGGCTGTGATGATATTGAGCTGACTTCTGTAGAGGGACCAGGATTTTGCGGATGCAGGGTTTGATAGACAGAGGGAGATTGTCAAGCATTATGGACCGCTTCATCAGCATCCTACGATGGGGTATCCGAAAGGTACTGGGCCAGAATTTCACGTTGTCTATGCCGATGAGAAGACGTGAGTATCTTCACAAAGTCTTTTCATTACCAACAAGTGTATTGATTAAATGCAGCGGCAACTTGAGAAAGCTTCTGGGACCTCGAACGACATATGATCTCTGGCATATTGACCAGACATTTACACCAAATGTGCCCTCGACCACTTTCTTCTGGGTCCTCGAGATCCCCGAATCTGGCGGCGGCGATACTGCTTTTACGTCCCTCACAGCAGCCTACGAAGCTCTCTCGCCTGCCTTTAGAGAAACCCTTCACGGCCTGAATCTTCATCACACATCAGCTTCCGAAGGCGAAGTGCGACGAGTTGGCCAAGAGCGTGCTCTTGCGGAAGCAATCAATGCGACGCATCCCCTTGTCATCAAACATCCTGTCACTGGCAAACCATCGCTGTTTGTCAATCCCACAATCGCTCGGCAGGTTGAGGGCTTTCTGCCAGAGGAGTCAGATCACTTGCTCTCGTTTTTGAAAAATCACATTCGAAGCATGGACTTCAGTTGCAGGGTCAAGTGGGAGAAAGGTACGGTTGTGGTTTGGGATCAACGAGGAACGGCACATTCTGCTGTGCCCGATTTCCGAGATAACGAGAGGAGGCATATGGTTCGGATTATTCCCTACGGCTCCAAACCGGAGCCTGCTTTCGAGTGATCGACTTCAATATGTTCCTGTTTCTGCCATACGTAAGCTAGCTCACTATCACCCACCTAGAGGAGGCAAGAAGACTTAAGATGTTGACCCTAAGCGACGAAAATATTTAGTCAAGTCTTCAGTAAGGTTAGGGGACTCGTTGCTAAGTTTATTTTAGCATCCTCTGGTAAAATCATAAATTTACTTGCTCCCCGAGGCTCACTGCACCCGCGTAGCACTGCATGCAAAGTCCCGTGTTTGTTGATGCCTTACGGATTGACTGAATCACGGCTTTCGCAGGTTAATGTGATTGGTAGATTGCCCCCTGTCATGGTGGAGTAACCTGCCTGGGCAGGATTGGAGCCTACTGCTCCCGTCCTCTCCGTTGTCCATCACTCAAGACTCTTCGAACAAACTTGTTTCCTCAAATTGCTTTGCGCAAAACTCACTTCCTTCATCTCAGATCGTGCGCTGGACTCACTCTTAGACACCTGTTTCTATCTCTGTGGCTTGGCTTCAGTCTTCAAACAAATCTGGTCGTCCTTTTGATCATTCGGTCAAGATGACTCAGACTGGACGAAATCCGCGATCCAAAGCGGATGATACGTCCAATGCAAAACCGAAACTAGAAGAATTTCATCTCTTTCGATTTCTCCCATATGATCTGCGACACACAATTTATACCCTCGCCACCCCTCCACGGGTCGTTCGTGTTGAGGAAGGGCCAGTAAATCCCAAGGAGAAGCGGGCATGGATCGACCAAGACTACGAGAGCTATTTCGACTATGCATTCGAAAAGTTTTACAAAGAGAAGCTAGCCAAAATGCCAGTTCCGAAGCTACACCCCGATCTGGCAGCATTTGCGCATAACTGGCGACACAGAATTCCATGGGATTCATATAACCGCCAATACAAACAGACATGCCTAGAGACGTACGGTTTCACCTCCAATCGACCTGTTTACGAGCCTTGGCAGCCATCAGAGGAAACACCACGTATTCCGACAGACTGGCTCGTCGACTTTCCTGAGCTCGCATTTGAATTGACCCGCAAGGGTGCTCTGTACAGCGACGCGGAGATACCTGTGTTCTTGCATGTGTGCTCAGAATCACGACAAGCACTCGTCAACTGGGGCTACCAGCTCTTCTTCGCAACTAGAACAACAGGTCCAAGAACTTGGTTTCATCCCGAGAGAGATCGTCTCTACATCCCTCATACAGTAGAAACCTTTCCGAGGGCATATGACAGGTATTACGGATCTGGCCTCCCGGGGGAAGCTCACACGCCATACCCATGTCCTGAGTACAGTCTGCTACTCTCGGGTTGTCATTGGGATATAGGCCAATACCGCGTGGATGACTTGAAAAAGGTCAGGAATGTCATCCTTGAAAGCCCATCGACAGGGAAGGACCAGGATGCATTGGTCCGTGAACTTCAGTCTCTTCTTCCTCTCCTTTCGGGCCTAAACGAGCTGCTCCTTGAGAACTGGGGACTGGAAGAATTTGGGGAGTGGTTCTATCCATTCCGTGGTTCGCACGCTGTGGAAGTCAAGACACCTGCCAGCTCCGTCACTTGCATCCCTGTTGAGGACATCGATGCTATAGGATATGCTTTCTGGGAGCGTTCCCTAGTAAACGACGATAACAGGCTCGGACCATTATGTTACACCGGGTATCGCAACAGCGACTTCAACGAATTTCTGGAAAACCCGTCTCGACATGAATCGTACCACGAGGCACACTCCGAAGCAGTAAAGACTGAGCTTCTTGAATGGAAGTCTGACCTTGCAACATCCCAGAAGCCGCGAATCCCTACCATTTGCCACGTCAATATCTGCCCGGACTCTTTTTCAAAGGTCTACTTGGCCAATAGACACAGGTTCTGGAAGGCTCTGGAGTCTCTTGACCATATGCAAGTCCAAGACTTGGACTTTCGAGAAAAGTTCTCACTGCGGATGAGTAATTGCCCACATCCTTTTAGGATTCACTGGCGACAGTTGGACTGGGACCGCGACTGGCCAGACACAGTTGAGATTGCTCGATTGACAGATGCGATGGGGATCGATTGGTACACAGAAGGGACGCTTCAGGCTTGGTACTTGACGCGGTTTGAGGTTCCGGAACCGCAGTGTATTGAGCTGTAACAAGGGAGGTTGATTGTGATGTGAGGAGAGAAAACTAAGGACCTAAATGGCAAAGGCTTATGTAACTTAGTAGAAGTTCAAGATAAGCTACGGGTATCTTTGGTTAAGTTGATTTTGACACCTTAAATTAAGGTCCGGTATTCTCTCACATCCTCGTGGTTTGTAGTTGCGTCATACATGACGCTGAAGTTGCTTTCTGATAAGCCTTTGTCCCTGCATTGAAACGAAAGCCCGCAGCTGTTATACGCTCACGCTGATCAGAGTCTAGTCCAGCCGTTGCTCAGAGCCACTAATGAGCGACAGCTATACTGAAGCCTTCAGACAGTATGGATTGGCGATCTGGTGTCGCTTCTATTGGGCGGCTATATACCTGGCTAAATCTATATCTCATCAGCCGTCAGGCCGCCGCGTCATTTTTGCGGCACGGTTGATCAGGTCGTACCTTGTTAGGAACTCAGGGTCTAAGCTGATGTCACTGTGGCGATGTCGTCGAATCGTTGTGATTTCTGTTGAAGCTCAGAGAGTTTCTGGGGGAAACGATGATCGATATGACATCGCAACGGCGAATTTTCACGGCTGAGGTACGATCGTTGATGATATGGTTGTTTCTTTGATTGGTATCGATCACCACTTCCATTTCCTATATAACAATGGCTTCAGCCTGCTCAAGTCGAACATGAAACCAAGAACATCAACAACAATCTCTGCACCTTTACGACACTGCTTCGAGAAATCTGCACTTAAATCATAACTACTATCTCCTATCACCATTGTAATAACAAAATGGCTCCCAAGTGAGTCTTCTACCATTGACGAAACGTATCTCTGTACTAACACTCGTTCAGCTCCAAGCGTCGCTTCTCCCTTAGCGCCCTCTCTCCCGCATCCAGGAGATACAATAAGGTCATGAGCGAGCGACCCGACAGCCGTCGATCTATCGACACTACAGCCACTACCTCAACAATGGGCGGCATGCCTGTCGTTGAGGTCGAGAACCATCTTGTTGACCCGGCGTATCGCTGGACAACTGCAAATAGAATCGGATAGATCCGGCAAAAAGCAAATGGTTTTCTCTTTGACGCGACAGCACGATGATATCAATGTACATAAGTTTTCAATTTAATTTGAATTTCCCTTTCTATACCATGATACTTTTACTCAATGGCGGCGTGCGATCCATATGCTCTAGTATGTTGAGGAACTCAGACAAGTGTTCTGTAACTTGGGCCCTTGATACCTGATGTACTATTACGATCTCTCGAAACCACCCGTGCACAAGATGACGAAACACTGAACAAGCAAAAAGTATGTTTGTGCACACCAAGGCAAACAGCTCAATACGCTGTTGCCATACATACGAGCGGTAACCACTGACGCCACGAGCCGCAGAAATTTACCGAAAAATCTTTGGACTATAAGCTTTCGTTATTAATACTAATACGCCATCCGGCTCTTCGTTTCCTCCACTTCAGGACTCGCAGTCTCGTTGCAGAATGTTCGAACAGTCTCAACGAGACGCAGCCTTGTCGGTTTGTGATCAAAGGCCTGACCGTGGTCCAAGTCCTCAAACCAGATCACGTCCAGTTTACCGTCGCTTAAAATCTCTCCTGTCTCTTTATTTGGGCCTTGCGCCCAATCTTTTGAACCTACAAGATATGCCCTAATCGATTTCGTATCGATGATACTGTCTCTACTGGCCAAAGCCACGGCAACAGGACGATCCTGTAGGTCTTCCTTCCACAGTAGATTATCGGCCCAGAAGAAGCGCCGAAACAGGGTATGAGCGATACCTATGTCTTTCGAGCCAAAGTAGGAGAGTAGATGCTCCTTAGTCTCACTTGGACGTCGACATATCTGGAGAAAGAAGTTAGTGAGATCAACTGGTAGAGTACATTGTCGATAGACGTACAAAGTTATATGCTACATCAGGTAGATGCAACAGGAAGGATACGGGATCAATGAATATAACGGGGCCGATACTGATGGATGTCTTGGGGTCTCGGAGAAGCTGTGCGGCAACAACGCTTCCGTATCTTCCCATGAGAAATATTAATAACCCGAGTTCAAATCGTATCATGGCACTTACGAGTGAGAGACCAAGACGCATTTTCCCCACCCATATGAAGACAATATTTGATGAACTTCCTCGCATATTTCATCTTTCAACATAGCCGGGTCTGTGATGCGAGAACTCACTGACAAAATCTCCACAGCAATGATCCCAATGTCTCCATCGGCGTCGTAGCGGGTATTGATGCCAGCCAGGAAATTTATGTACGGATAGAGCCCCACGCCGATGCCGTGGATAAAGAGAATCGGTAGTTTTGTTTTGGACGTATGTGGCCGGTGCCAGTAGGTAACCCTCTTAGCAGGAGATTTGTAGGGCGTAATCAAACTTAGAGGCCGAAGCGGAAAAGTGTTAAACCATTGGGAGACTGATGTTCGGTGAAAGCTGAAGGAATGGTATAGCAAATAAGTAGATGCTATCGTGTCGACAACAAAGATGCACTGAATAGTAGAGAGTTAAGGTCAGTGGTCGATAGCAAGTGTAACTGAAATGCAAATACTTTGATAGAGACTCACCAGATACCATGTTAAACTCCGATGAAGCATCTCGACCTTGTCAAGAGTCAGGCGTAGGCATTTAGCATCCCCCCTGCCAGGCTCCAACCTTCTCCCGAGCAGCTCCTCTAGTTGCTTGACGTAGTCCTCTAACTCGTCATCATATGTCGAATCACAATCTTCCATATTTAGAAAACCCCATCGAAAGAATTCTTTGACGTTCTCACGCTTGATTTCATGCTCTGGCGCATCACGGAACCACCTCCTTAGATACTGGCCTGCGTCTGGAATATTGTCGTGACATTGTTGGAATAGTCTTTGGCGATCGGCTCGACAGGGTGCAATGGGGTGATTTGCGGGTTTCTGAAGGTGGCTGTTCAGCGGAAGGTATATGAAGATATAGAAACTTGCTTCAAGAATAAACCATGCCTTGAGGAGCCTCGGAATCTGAAATGGGAGCGTGACTAGTGATAAGGTGAGAGAGACGACAATGCTGAGGGGCGCGATGAGGTGCAACAGAAAGATAGAAGAGCGCATAAAGACGTAATCCCATAGTGATTTTACCGCCATCACATCCGGATGGTGTTTTATTTTGTAATTCTCCAAAGGATCAATTGCTTCTGGATATTGCTTTCGATGGATGAACAATGCTGCTGGCGATAAGTATGTGAGCCATAATCCAGATCCTAGTCTGCTTTGAATATTTGATTTTGTTGAATTCCACTAATCCCGTTTTGTTGGGACAAACTCTGCCAATGATTCAGTTGTTTACGTCTTTACGCCGAGGTAAATTTACCATGTGCTCAGCTCAGCATGTGAATTGGTAGTCATGATAGGATCGACACACCGTGTGAATCCCTAACTTTAATGCCCATGCCGATATGTTGTTGACGCCAAAGACACTCTTTATTTTACTCGGAATTGACATTCCGCGTTCTGACATCACGGGCAGAAATATCACTATACGAACAGAGGCATAGTTTCATTCAAGACTTTCTATTAATTTGGCTATGTAATTACAAGAGCTAAAAGTGCCATCATTTACCCCTTCAAGCGCGTTTCCTCTTCAACCCGACTCTACTTGCGAGGCCGTCCCCAACTGTGGGCTGAAGTTTGAGACCCACAGTGCAAGGCGGGTTCTTGGGAGAGAATTTGAGAAATGGTCCCTTTGGCTCTGTATGACGATCGAACAAAGCTCTTCTCTGTGCTGCTGAGTGGGTGTGTTCGAGGCCAACGTTCCTAGACCACATGCCTGTTCTGGGTCTCGCTCTGCGACGTGAAATGTCGTTGCACGTTCCCCCCCGTGTGTGTTCATCTGCTTTAAGCGTGATACCATTGACAAACCCGGCGTCTGTACTTACTTGACTAACTTTCCCAGCAGTAGCAGAGAAATGCCTTTTGTTTAATCTTTCACTGCCGTCGGGGCCTGACAGGACAGAGTCTTGACTCAAACGCAACGGGTACCAGCGGTGTTCTCGGGGGAGGTATGATGCAAAGTATTGAACGAGCGAGTCGAGGGAGTTGGTACGAAAGAGTTGAACGGCATGCTCCCACTAAGGGGTCTCGATGAGCCTCGGATTGCCAATAATCTCGAAACTTGCAGACTCGAGGGCCTCGTTCAATTCGTTGAGTCGCTGTTGTCTTCGACCGAGGGCTAGACGATGAAACTCGGCAGCAGAATGCGCGGTATGGGCGATTTCGGAGATGTCGTGATAAAAGGCTTCGGGGCTTTGGATCGGCGCAACATAAGTGTTGTACTGGTCGTGAAGCTTGTTGGACAGAACTTCCTTCTTCAGACCGAACTTCCAGGCAGGCCATGCGTATGCTGGATCATCCATAATAAAAGAGTATTTGTAGAGAATACCCGGGAACTTTACTTTCAGAAAATAGATTTGAGAGGCTTGAAAATTGGTAGGATGAAGGGAATACCTACAGAACGCTGATCTGATTTTTGAATGGGGATCCTAAGACCCTGATTTTCATGGCGGGTGAGCCATGCCGTGTCAGTGACGTACGCCTGACACAATACACATGATGGGTGCGCGCTAGTGCTGCAGGCAGGGTCTTCACCGTACACTTCAGGCCTGATGCCGCTACAGCCCCCTGTTAAAACGTGAGTGAATTGTCTAGTGTCTTTCAACACGGCCTGTATATTAGACCGGATCATTCATCGATTTCTTTTAAATACGATGCAGTTTGACCTGCAAATACCACAAAAGATAGATCGCCAAAGCCCTCAAACAGCATAATGACCACAAATACCATTTCTTCTACTCGCGGAGCTCACATCACGGAAGCTCCCCTCAGCTTGCCCTTTGTTAAACAACACCCATCTTCTCCTCCACTTGGAGATGACACAGCGCGAAAGAATTACTCACTGTGGCTATCCCAATACACGATGAACAGAATAGTCGATCTTCTCAATTCTGGTTCTCTTGACCCCTCGCTCCTTCTGCAAGTCTCGATTCCTAGTAGTTGTTCGTGGAATCGACCAAATCCAACAATCAATTGAGAAGCAAGCCCTGATGTGCAGAATGTTGCTCCCGGCTTGCGAGAGACCACGGATGTGGACTGCGAAGTGTTTCTTTGTTCTGCTTGTTTTGGTGCCACTTCTTTCAATTCCTTGCGTTTTCTACTGTCTGTCTTATCTATGCTTGAAGTTTTTTTTTGTATTTGCTTGAATAATTCTACCAGCATTGCAAATATTGAAAAGTTTGGCACCAAGGGGCATTGCCTTTTAGTGTTCTAGGTGTTAGGTAACCTGGTGGATGGTCCATGGAGTGGCTATGACCAGTCAAATTTTGTATGTTACCTCCAAGACATTGGGTATTGATAGAATAATTTACAAAACAATATTTGTTGTTTCTATGACGAGCAAACGTTAAAGTATACCATCTTTCGGCAGTTCAGATGTGTTTGTTCAAGTTGTCGTTCTAGAATTCGCTGGACACTGTAGATCTTGAAAAGAGTCATCAACTGACAAAGCCTTGTCACGCCATGAAACCCTACCCACCTCGCTTACAAGGTTTCGGACCGAGATCCGCTGGTTTTGATAGGCACGGAGCTCAAAGTCACCCGTTCATCCCTGAACGTTATCGGCCACTTGGCCCTGTCAACTGCTAGCGGGACAAATAGTGTGCAGAGGTACTTGGATCAATGCAAGTGGCAGATTTACCGGTAGTTTCGTGGGCCCATCCGCGGGGTGACATATTATTCCCCTGTAGATCTGTGTTCAAGTTGGCAACGCAAGGAGTCTCTAATCATTTGAAGATCCGGTCAGAACATACTGTAATAATTGCGCTCAGAGCTCCCAGCTTTAAATACGATGAGGAATCACAAAAGCTAGCTGGAGTGGAAACAGACCACGCATACAATAGAGACACTGGCGGTTAAAACAGTCTTCGAGTAAATGGGTAGTGTTTATCTACCTCACATTCTATTTGTTCCAGGGCACTCGATCGAAGATCAGATCATCGCCCAGCGCTTGCTGCTTGTTTGAGCACAACAGAAATAACAAGCAGGATATAAACAGGTTCAACCGTAGGCCCTAGTCCAGTCCATGCACATGAGTAAGAAACGTCGATGTCTTTCACTCAATAGACAGGAGAGAATCTGGCAGAAAGATGGAACATGTCTGAGGTTCTAATCGCAGTGAGAAGTCAAGACGAGTGGCATTATTAAGAAGGTTACGTATATGCACAAAGCGGTGTACTTAAAAAATGACACATTGATGTAGAAAGCAGAGGAATATAGTAGAGACAATGTGGTTTGCTATTGTTGAATACATTGATAAGAAATCTATGGCTGATGAATATATCAAGAAGAAAGTTATGCAAAGTCTACATAGATAAACAATCTGATGGATCTTCATGATGGATGCCAGTGCTCGCCAATTTTAAGGAGTTTAATAAGCCGAGTTGCGTAGAGCGCCAGTCACTCACCTCCCTGTTCGGTTAATTGAATATAGGTACAGATGAATACGTCTACAATTCCAATTCATCTTGTACTGGTAAATCTTCTCCCCTGTCATAAAAGAATCACTTCAGTGTCAAAACTGAAAAGATCGCCCTCCAACCCAGCATCTCCCCAGACACTCCGCGCCGCCTCACGATGGCGCCTCAAGGAGAAAAGGGTTTCTTCGCCTCTCTGAAAGAGTAAGGTCAAGCGAAGCTGCCGCTGTGGTTAGGTTCTCTGACAATACCTCTAGGTACTACAATACTGATGCTCTCTCCGACGTCACCGTTACCTGCGGCGTACAAGTGTTCAAGGTTCACAAGATCATCTTGTCAGCCCACTCTAAGTGCTTTGCTAAGGCGCTGAAAGACCACTGGAAGGTAAGTTGAATTCTTTGGCCCGAAGTATCGGCTTCTGACACCACGTAGGAGGGCTCCGAGGGAAACATCGATATCGATGATTTTCACCCAGGAGTTGTTGATGCCCTGCTCCGATTCATGTACTCCTATGAGTACGACAACGATCAAGATACTCCACGCATGCTTTTCGACGTCAGAGTGTATCAGATTGCGGACAAGTACGGCATCACAGCACTGAAGGATGAGGTGAAGAAGCCTTTTGAGGTTGCTGTGAACCGTGAATGGATCACCGACGATTTTCCGATTGCCGCCAATCTTGTCTATGTGACAACTCCTTCCCAAGACAGAGGCCTTCGCGACATTATCGTGGAGGTTATGAGGAAGAACATTGAGCATCTTGCCGGTGCCAACAAATTTGACGAACTTCTCAGAACGACGCCAGATTTGGCCGTAGATCTTGTTACTTGCCTAAGTGGAAGAACAGCATCACCTGAGACGCAGTATCAGTGCCCTGATTGCGGCGCGCAATTCTGGGTAAATGATGACCCTGAGGACTGGAGCTGTCCATGCTGCACTTGGAAGACTTCAGATTGGAGTGGGTATAAAATCGAATGGGTTTGATGATGTTGATGAAAGACTGGAGGATCTGGGCAAAGCATGGCCGGATAGCAGAGACTTTATCACGAAGGATGCAGTAGTTAAGATCTGATAAACAGGCTGGGATTGCGCTACAACTCAATGGTAGCCCTTCTATCAAGTTAAAACTCAGCCCGTCTTTTCCACGACTCCAACGCAATTCCGCCTTTCACATTAAGGTTCCTCTGCTCCCGACGGCCGTTCCTCCTTGACCATTCCGTAGCTTAGCAGACCTTCCACCAACAAACTCATCATAGACTAAACTCAATCGCCGTTTCTCATCTGCTTTGATGCTAGCCCGTGAAACACGCAAGCTCCTCTCTAAATGCTCCCAAGCAAGTTGGACCTCCGGCTTATGTGACACTTTGTCGTCTGATTTCTGATTTCCTTCTCCCTGAAGCCCTCGTCGGCTTGACTTGCCCTTGGAACGTAGCTTCACAACCGTTTCTTCATACTCGGCGAGTTTCCTGAGCTGCGTGCGTCGGTCGCTAGAGTTGGCATCAGAGCGCAGCCGGTCTTGATCTGCACCGTACCAGAACTGTAAGATACTAGGCTTTCGAGAGTCTTGGACTCGGGCTTTGCCATTCGTCTTTGCTGCGCTAACCCCTGTGTCTTTGTCTCCTAGGTACTCGTGAACGGCCTCAAGTTGCGCATTGGAGACAAGGGCCTGTAAGTCGGCTCCTGAATAGTCTTGGGTCCTCGAAGCGACGTCCCTCAGCCTATTGTCAAGCTCTCCTTGGAGGTCCTCGTCAAGCTTTAGCTTCTTCAAAAGACATCGCAGAATATCAATTCTATCGTCCAGGTTTGGCAAATCACATAAGAGCGACTTATCGAGGCGGCCGGGACGGAGCAGCGCAGGATTAATAAGATCGGGTCTGGACGTTGCAGCAAGGACATAAACGCCAGACAAGCCCTCGACACCATCCATCTGAGTTAACAGTTGATTGACGACACGGTCTGTCACCCCAGTTGAGTCACTTCCACGCTTCGGTGCTATCGAATCGATTTCATTAAAGAAAAGAATGCAGGGCTTTAAGGCGGTCGCTCGCTTGAATAGATCCCGAATGGACTTCTCAGACATGCCGATATATTTATTAAGAATCTCTAGGCCTTTAATAGAGATAAAGTTTAATCTATACTTACTAATAATAGTGCTAGCTAGTAAAGTCTTTTTATATCCTAGATATTTATAGAGAAGTATACTAGAATATAATTAAAGCAGGTATTATATAAAGGTAGGTATATAATATATTAGATATTTAATAGTCTTTAAAAGAATTTTATAGGTTTTAGTTATACTGCTAATAGAGTTAAATATTATAGTTAAAATCTTAAGAGATATATTTTATAATATAATTAATATAAATCCCTTTTAGGCTTCCTTAAAATATTCTTTTATAAAAGAGATATTAATCTTACTGCTATCTTTTAGGTTATTTAATATAAAGTAGGCTAAAGTAATATATTTTACTTATTCTATAAGTAAAATAAAATCTTAAGGTATATAACTTTCTATAAAATTTATAAAATCTATAAAGTTAATATTAGGTTTAAATATATATAAAGTATTAATATTAGGTATTAAAACTGCCTTTATAGACTTAAAAATATCTATTCATAATTTACTAGAGGTCTCTAATTAGGTATTATTAGCCATTTCTAGATAATTAATATTAAAGCCTTTTTTTTCTTTTTCTTTTTCTTTTTTATTATTATTATTATTATTCTTTATATCTATACTTTATTATATTATTATATTTAAGATCTTCTTTCTATATATTTTATTTAAGATATCTAAAAGAAGGGTTTTATAAAATATATAGTTTTTAATAATAATATTATATAGAGATTCTTTTATTTATATAGTTATAAGTATTATTACCTTACTATTTAGTATAAAATGCTATTTTATAATTAAAGAAATTATCTTACTTATTTACTTTAAGTATATATTATTGCCTCTAACTATAAGTTTAATTTTAATAAGGTATAGCTTATTAATATTATTAAGTATTATTAAAGTATAACTATTTAATTTAATATTTAAGGCTACTTAAAGGAAGGATTATTTAAAAGTATCTTTAATATTAATAATATACTTTTTATTTACTAATATCTTTTAATAAGAAATATATATAATATAAAATAATTACTTAAATCTTAATTTATATCTAATTAATAAGCTAATAGAGTTTTTATTAGTATTAAGGCCTCTTATAAGTAATACTAAAGACTTATATATTAAGTATAACTTAATATCTATAATAATATCTTTAATGCTAATAAAGATTAAGATTAATTTATTTAAGAGATTTTTATTATAATTTAAAATTAATAAGGAAATTAGCTTTTTAACTTTAATAAAAGATATATAACTTAAAGAGGAATTAATTATAAAAGGATTTTATAGGTTAGGTAAGGTTAATATTAAATTAAAGTATTTTACTATTTTAATTAAGAAGTATAGGTATTATAAAAAGGAGACTTAAAATTATACTATTTATAATAAGGCTATCTAAAAGACCTCTAAAAGTATTAAGTTATTTATATATATTAAAAATAGATCTTTTAGCCTTTTATTGGCCTTATTTTATATTAGGTTTAAGTTTAAAAATATCTATTAATTCTTTTATACTATCTATAAATAGGTAAATATAGACCTTTTAAGTAGCTAGGGTATATTCTATAGAGGCAGCCTTAATCTTAATAGGCACTTTAATTATGCCTTTAGAAACTAATACTATATAGAGTAATAAGGATAAAGTGGCATACTGGTTATCTAGAGTATCTTACTATTCCTCTAGTTTAGCTATAACTTTTAGAGAAACCTAAAGTAAGGTCAATTTATCTATACCATCTTAGCCATATTAGGGATTTACCTTGGCCTAGAATGTTAGTTAATAGAGGATTAATATGGATACCTAACTGATTCCTTCCAAGAGTGCGGTGCATTGCGTATTGCTATCAACCTAGACCTTCAGGCCCTCATTCGCATCTTGTTGGCGATTAAATAAATCTGGACGGCGTGCTCTATTAACTCCTCTGAGAAATAGCTTGATTTGGGGGGCTCCACGAGCTCTGCCATTGCTGCCTGCTCGTGAGTGACTACGAGAAGGCCCCTGTCTTGATTTTGGTGCAATAATGACTTCTGCATTGGGGTCCAGCTCAGCATATGGTGAGTCTGTTTCGGGTTGGAGAGAAACGACCCTGATATTTGCTGTTGTTGTTGGGGTTAGATGGAGAGTGATTGGATGATCTGAATGGCGAACACCATCGGAGCGATGGTAACCTGGATTAGGCAAAGCGCGAACTTGTCTGATCAAATTCAACTCCAAGAAGCTGGCGTGAAGCTCGATAATCTCCCAGTCCTCCGGCGTAAGAGGCTCGATATTGATGGCGCTAACCGAGGGACTTTCCAAATGCAATGTGATTTTGGTCTCTTGTCCTTCAGAAAGCCCCAAGGTCTGAGCGAATGCGGCATCAATGTCCACCCAAAATGGTTCTCTAGCATTCGGGCGGTTTCTTTCACTCCCCAACCTTTGTTGTTCCTCTGATGGGTGAGATCTCTGTCGGCTCTGCAGCCCTGTCCATCCAAGAAAGACGGATCTTGATTTCACATAGTCCGGTGACTCGGATACGCCAGCCGAAGTGGAATCATCATACGAAAGTTCGATCAAGACATTTTGCGACGGCTGGGTTCACATCAGCATGTATCCAAACCCGACACTGTTCACGAACCGTATTCAGACTATCAAGCGAAGCACACAGAAAAGGCGGCAGATTGGCAAAGCAATTCTGAAGATTGGCGAGAGATATCTTGGCTGGTATAGCCTCTGGTAGATTCGAAGGTGCCATGTTTCTGCGTCACGATTGAGGGCGGAAGAAGCGTTCGTTGAAATCAGCAATAAAAGCACATGCTTGAGGTGCTTGCATCCTAAAGTTTCACGCGGGGTCGGACCAACTGCCGAAGCGCCCCGAGTATTTATCCGAGCTTGGAAGAGTCTCACTGTGTTGATTGTTGGTCGTGTTGGTCGTGTTGGTCGTGTTGGTCGTGTTGGTCGTGTTGGTCGTGTTGGTCGTGTTGGTCGTGTTGGTCGTGTTGGTTGTGTCGGGCAGTGTCTGTGGCTTGATCGTCATTGTATAACACGTTGTTGCAAGTATACTTGCTGTGCAATGCATTGTAGAAGCCGTGAAGTAAAAGTTAGCTCAAGTATACAGTAGACTGAAACAATCTACAGGATACTTGCGATAAGTTCAAATAGTAAGTGGTCGAATAAGATGTTTCTGTTCCTTGAAGGTTGAGGTCCTTGTTTGTTGGCGACAATTCTTGTGGCTAGTAAAGACAGGGGTGATTTGTGAGTTACCAGTAAAAGCCACAAGAGGCCAGAACACGATGTTGAGATTATAGGAAAGGTTGTACCACTCGGTCTGTCGTTCATTTCCATCTTTCAATTTAATAATGCCTTGCTCGGTCCCTTCGATCTTATGGACAACGTTCCAGCTCAATTGTTGACTGTGATGCATTCAGATCCCTTGCGGATAAGTTTGTGCGTATTCCGGGCGCTCAACGTGACAAGGTGAGACTATGCCACTTGGTTGGTTCTTTCATGGCTTGAGAAAGATGTTAAGTAATACTTTTGGGTTATAGTAACCCCGCAGTGACTTTCATCGACTTCTTGTTAAGTATGTGTGCTGCTTGAAATTGAACAGGGGTCATTGGCATGGAGTTGCAACCTGCTCAGCTCAAAAAGCCACATTATGCACGTAAGATCTGGAGCCAAATAGCGGTGGAAGTGTATGATTCATTGAACCAGGGTTCTGAGACACTCTTACCCCGCTCTTGATCATAGAAAAAGAGTGAAAGAAGCTTGAACAAGATCCATTAATCGGTCATTTTGTGCTCACATCAAAGCTAACCACCACAACTTCGCCATCTACCTGAACTACTGACTGTCTCGAGGCGGTTGGTTGTCTTACAGAGTAATACTACGGAAACTCTCATCAGTTTTCAATTACAATCTCTTCTTATTTTTGTATCGCTGCCCTCAATCGTCAGACATCATGGTTGAGCAGGCTCCTACACAGCTTACGATTCCCGTTCGGCCTACTACGTCCACTCAAACGACAACCCCAACGCCAGGACCAATATCGAATTTTCCTGTTGCAGATCCACCGACAAATTGGTCGAACTACTCAAAAGAAAAGAAAGTCCAGTGGCTGAATGTTCATGGACTCAAATGTGACAGCACAGTAAATCTTGGGGATTGCTTTCGTTGCGGCGTCAAACTGTACGATACAATCGTCCTGGTAGTCAGAACGATACTTGACATTAAGGCACAGGTCAATGCCAACCATCCAGATTCTCCGCTGCAGGAAGATCTTCAAGTATTTATCGAGGCCTTAACAGAAGGCGTGATGGAGCTATTGTATGCTGTCAACCAAAATGTCTACAGTCTAGTCGCAAATGGCCAATTCGAGAATGAAGCACAAGCAACAACTCCGGTAGTCATTCCCGAGTTCCCGACCCTCAGTGATGATAACTCCCGGAAACCGCCTGAATCCGGCAAGGTCTTTGATACGGTAAGAACCTGTTGATTTGGTAGACTCAATCTCTTGAGTCAGTGTCATCTTTTGACAGTTAAGCTAATCAAATCGTGGCAGTCATTCTGGTGGATCTTCGTCGATACCTTGGACCTTCTCATCGACAAATGGCCATGGCTGCAGGTCAACAGACCAGGCAAGGAAGTTACATGGGCACAACTCATACAAGATACCATACTTACTGGCCAGGAATTCTTCACTGAGTATGAGAGGCTCGGTAGCGGCAGCGAGCCTAGTGATGACGAAGGCAGTAATATCTAAAATATTATCCCACTTCTTTTTTTCCCTCAATAACAACCGATTCCTGCGCTTAATTACAGAGAGACAAATAGACTGAGCTAGGTCTGGTCTGATCAGCGGTTCAGTTTGAAAGGGTATTTCTTGGTTTCGCTATGGGAGCTTGTCGTCACAGCAATTGATACTGAGGGGGAAAACAAATTCAACTGCTTGAGATATTTGATGAGCACTTGCAATTCACTCATTACCGAAAAGACTAGAATCATCAAACAATAGCTAGCGGACATCTGCATTACTTGATCATCTCCTCCTGGCCATCGATGTACCGCTACACTTGACCGAAAACCATAGCTTAGACGACTAGATTAGTCTACATGGAAAGAAGGTTAATGCAGATCGTCAGTCTCAGGATACACAATGTCAAGCTTCCACCCAAACTTGTCCAACAGGTCTCTCACTGCAGGTTTACCGATTTGTACAGAATTTCCATGCTCTCTGATAAGTCTGCAAAACTCAGCATCAGAATCCTAGTCCTCTGCGTCCGTATCCCACTCCCAAGTGTTGAACATTGTATCCTTGAAGAAACATTGGGCAAAGTCGATGATGAAAACCTGGTGCGAGGCTTGTTCGACAACCACATTGCGGGGGGCGCTGTCGTCGAGAATGATGCCTCGTTTGTTGATCTCGTGTACTGAGTCGACTGCATCCTGTACGATATATAACCACTCTCTTTTGGTCTTAGGGGCGCAAGGTTCGAAGATGAATTCATCTAGAGAGTAGCCGTCGATGGACTCAAGTAAGATGCCAAGTATATCAAAGTACGAATGTTCCCCAGTGTTTTCCACGCCGGTGGTGAGACGCACCGCAGCGTAGAACTTGGGGATCAGAACCCCCTGAAGATCCTGCATACGCGTGTATGCCTCTGTCTCAGTTTTGAAATGCTTGAAAGTATATGTCCAAAGCAGAGCTTCGAAGCGGGCGACTCCGTCGGGCTCATCTCGAATCTGACATGCGGTTCGTGGCATCATATTGGTTGTCGAGTCCTCGTCGTCCATCTCTTTGAGGAAAGGTTCCATGGCGCCTCGCTTCAGGAATCCGTGAAAAGCAGCCTTGGCTTGGTCGTCGTAGGGGATGTTTTGGTACCCGCAGTCGCGGAGTCCATTGCCAAATCGACGGTCGTAGAGCTTGAGGACGGCACAACCTTTGTCGAATTTGACACGCACGACGGTAGCCATAGTGCAGGTAATGAACGCAGTAATCTCGACCGAGACTTTCTCGTGTTGGGGCAACAAGTCGTTGTTGCTCTGGAGGATTTGCAACTCCAGGACGTCGCCGACGTCGTATCCTGCTGTTGTGGTCATGCTGGTCAGCGGTCTGGGGCAAGAAGGCGGGAAATAGGGAGAGGGATACTCACGAGGACCTTCGGCAGGGTTGTCCATGATTGAAAAGGAAAGGAAAGAAAAGGAAAGGACGGAGGGAAGACAACGGTTGATGATGCTTGTTGGTTTGTTGTGAAGAGAAGTTGTGAAAAATACAGTCGTGCAGTGCGGCTATGTTCTGGGGGATGGCTCGCGGAACTCCTTCCTGCACTGGAGTTTGTCGTGAAATCCCACTGTACGTAGGAGTTGTTTACTTGTGGCAGGCAGAACTAGCGGGCACAGCTAGCGGGTGAGGATTCGTCCGAACGCAAGTCCCCCTCCCCCTCGTTGACACTGGCCCGTATTTGTCACTCCGTCCCCTCCCCTGCTCCTTCAGCCTACACTGCCTCAGGCTCCCAACTACAGGAAGTGACAGTCGTTCAATTCAGACCCTTCCTTGAAAGAAACAGTGCTGTTGTTCCTGCTGAACATGTCCACATACCATGTGAGTCTGTTCCTCCGCCTGGAACAGGGAACTCGCGCGAACACGCACCTTGCCAGACCCAGCACGAACACGAACTGCTCCTGGCATCTCTCCATCTTCATCTTCAGCAATTCGGAGACCGCAAGACATGCTCTTGCCTCTGATTCCTCTCATCCCGCGAGTATAAACCCCCCCCACCCCCTCGGATCTGCTCAACGCAGACTTTTCAAGCGTCACGAACTCGCCTCCCAACCTCCCAGCCGTCAGCCAATGTTTTGTGATCACCAGGTGCATGTATCCATCTCCAGTTCTCGCTCATGCTCTCCTTGTGAGTTCTCTCGGCATCGTGTTTTGGTCTTACTGCAGCTTGTTGACAGTCGCCCATTGACCGAGAGAATGCAGTCCAGGATCGGAATATTTTGCTAACATGTTATTTGACAGTTTCAGCTGTATCATCCTCCATCACATAAAGTCTCCATCTCGAATACTCCTGGCGCAAGCTATCGAAATGATCGACCAGCCCCTGACCACGGTCCGACCACCCACCCACGTCTTCGCACCATGTCTACAAGTCACGATACCCGCCCTTCACAAATGCAAAGCCAGAGTGTATCGACCACTGTAAGTGAGCCGTCGCCTGGCAGGATGCTCATGGAGAAGAACGTGCCAGCGACCCAAGCAACAAGCTTCTACACTACCTCAACTACCAGCGAACGAGCGATCGCGAACGTCGAACCTTCCTCGCCGTCAAACTTTCCTGCATCCAAAGGCAAGAGTAACATCACTACCGAGAAGTGCCTGGCGAGGAGCAGCCATTGGCAAAGCATGTCTTTGGGGCCTACCGCGTTCAGTGGGGCATCTCAGCGACAAACCTCAGTCCAAGGATGAGACTGAGTAGTTGTTGTGCGAGAAGGGAGCAAGTCCAGACGAACCTCAAATGGTGAGAGGGAGCTGGGTAGACAACCTCTAAGTAGTAGATCTTGCACACTTTGAATGGCCTGTCCCCTTGTACAGCTTTGCAGGCTCCGGCCATCACAGCGTGGATAGTGGCCGTTGACCTCCGAAAAGCTCCATGTTCCGACGTGACAGTGTACTTGGGATGCCTGTGTAGGTGCAATCTGTGCTTGCATTGACACTAGCTGGCGGTGGATGGTAGGGGAATAAACTTGAAGCTGGGAGTGCATTTTTCTAGTCTCCTCTCATTGCGGTACCCGACAGATCACAGCATGTCATCACTTCTTGGGCCAGAAGGTTCAATAACTATAAAGGTAGATGCATTTGCACTTAGTCCCCAACGCTGGAACTCCAGGAATAGAGTGTCTATAGATTTACAGGACGCACAATAACACCAAGCTGACCCATGTAACCGCCATGAAAGAGCCCCTGACTTTACCAGCACTGTTATCGACTGTTTCGGTCGCTGAAGCCGCGGCAGCCGTTGTTGTAGCTATCGGCGTAACTGTGGCAGCGGGCTTGGTAGCCTGAACCTCAATGCCAGAGACTACACTCGTTGCTGCGCGGACGTAGGAGGTTGACGAGAAGGAGCATTGCGACATGACTTTATCAATATCTGTTTCACGAAACATCAGCGAGGAGATCGATACCATGACGCACTTCGACCAGTTACCTTCTGTGTCCTTGCTATTCTGCGCCATGCAGCTCGCGCACAGTCCCATCACGCCCTCGACATCGAAGCTCTTGTTCGTACAGATACAAGCCGCTTCGATGGGCTCGTCGTCGTCTTCGTGGTCAAGGATGACAAGATTCCTTCGTCTGTCGCTGTGCTTCTCGGGGCCCTTGGGGTCAATGTCGCATGCGTTGGTGAGGTTGACGATGGGCTGGCAGATTGTCTTGCAAGCAGTGGGTACATCATCTGCGTTGAGTTCCTCGGCAAAGGAAGCAGGAAGAAAGAGGGCCAGTGTGGTGAAAAAGATTGCTGAGCGCATTGTGCGTCGAGTTTGTTAAGGCTGATGGATTGTTGATGGTCTTGATACTCGTGAGTTGGAATGGATGGAAGCTGGTCTGGGTGAAAAGGGCCCTACTTATAACGGATAGTAAATCTATCTATAGAGACTAAAGATCTGCATGATCCCAAACGCTCTGTAGATATCGGCAAAGATCAGCCTTGTTGGTGGTGTTCCAGTCGTTTCATAAGTTGAGACAAGCATCATGTCCAAAAATAACTGGAGCTTGAGGACATGGGCCACAGAGCTTAGTCAAAACAACAAGAACATTTGGAAAAGACGAAACCCCTGCTATTGCTTGCCGTTGTTTCAGTAAGTCATCGCAAAGCATACCGTCGATTTGAAATGGCTGGTAAAGTGTTGATGTTATTTTTAGTCTTGGCTTTCTCGGCTACGAACAGCAACATGTCACACGATCTCCGAAAAGGGACTGGACGAAACATGCAGGGTCGTGTTCCCATGTTTCCAAACAAAGATTGAGTCTCGGAACATTACACTACTGCCAAGGGTTGGGACTTATTTAGATCCGGAAATTCATGCTTAAATTTAGGACACTTCTCAAGAGCCAAGTAGACGCACGAATGCAGTCTCGTGAGAGGGTTGAAAACAAACTGGGATTCATTGGTCGGAATGATTGATCCCCGACTTACGCGTCTTCCCCGCACAAGCAACGAGGCATCCGCTAACAAGACCATCTGACCTCGAAATACCAACAAAACAGGTTCCCTCTTGATTCTATTCTCGCCATCGCTCAGACTGTTGCGGCGTCGATACTATGATGAAACTCCAGACGGTGCTCCAGGCGCTGTTAATCGCTGGGGTCTTTGGGGAACCCTTGACTAGTGCGTGATGCCCCACGGCACAGAGACGGCAAGGCACTAACAATAGCAACAGATTCGACCCACGATGTTTCGAGCGGAGACGATGACCCGAGCGTAATGAAGAACCGTGCAGGTTGGGTCAACCCGGAGGACTTGTCACCAATGCCGCAGTGTATCGCGCAACAGGAGCAGTCCGCTTGGTTGGATGCCATGACAAAGTGCACTCGCCACCGCTGCACTTCGTACTTCATCTTTTGCACGCACTACCAGTGGCTTACTGAACTGAGCTGTGAGCGCCGAGTTCTCGCCCAGCGTTGTTAAGCGCTACAGCAAATACTGTAGCAGGTCGGTCCTCGCAAAGGCACAGCTTCATCACTGGATTCAGGCGACAACTGGTAGAAACTGGCTTGTTGATGTTGGAGATACGAATAGCTTGCAAAGCCTATCACCCAAAAGTCTGACCGACGGATATGCATCCGTAGACATTGCCAATAAAGCGCCAGCGTGCCTGAGAGACTCGCCCTCCGCCGGGACCCGAGAGACATTCGACCATGTCATCGGCTCCTGCAGCTTCACGGCTACGACACAACATACCGGGAATGCAGCTCGTCCATGGGAGTACAACAGCCGGCGAAACTCCATGACATCTCTCAGTTTCGACACCGCAAGCTACGACCTGACCAGCGATCATGTTCCCACGGGAGAGTATTTCGACAAAGCCTGTTTTTGCAACACCTTTGCTATGCCCCAGCACGAAGAACCATGCTCTTCATCGAGCCCGGAGGATCTCGACACCCAGCGGCGATGGATGAACGAAACTTGCGGTTACACGTGGCGTGAGCCGCCGCGACTTCAACCTCGTGATATGATCCCATGGCGATGGAGGATCTACCCCAGATCCGCGGAAGGCGATGCGCAATGCCCTTCCAATGAATGGAAGCTGATGAGTATCGGCTTGGTCAACTTGGTAACATTCTTTGCTGTACTCCACGCCAACAATTCACGGCAGAGTCACACCACCAATTCCCGTCCGCTATTCTACAACTCAGCGCGATGGATCTTGGGAGGAGTTCTTCTCGGGTGCATCCACCTGCTCGCCAATTTAGCCAACACAACCATCGTCCAGAATACCCCTGGCTACAAGGACGTTCCCGCCATACAGCTCATGTTGCTTTGGTGTTCACTACCTCGCCTCAGCTGGCTTCCCATCTCGTCTCACGGCACCAAGAATCCGGAGTTCCAGGACATGACTTCCTCGATGTCTGCAATGTTTGCGGAAGCGATCCTTCAGGCCTTCTCATTCTACCACATAAGTTTGACAGTGAACTATGGTCGTATCCACAACTTTTACTTCGGAGCTTTGTCAAGGGCGGCAAGATCACCATTTGCTGCACTCATGTTTGGCGGTGCACTTCTATGGCTGTTCGTTGTTGCGATGATGGCTGTACCTGTCATACGTACGATACGAACTCCCGGCAAGCTTACTGAGAAAGAAGATGGTGAATCGGGTGCGGACTCGAAGGAGTGCACGAGACCAAAGGAGGAGGAATGTCTGTTACCAAAGTCGCAAACGGGATCTGGAGGTCACAACTACGGGACCCTTCCTGCTGAAGTCGAGTCTCTTGCTCCGTTCATGAGACGCCATTCACGACTTCACATGACCTTGGCCATGGGAGTACCTGTTCTTTGGCTTGCGCAATGGTTATTCTGGATCGGATTCATCGGACTGAGCTCCCATGATTTCTGCCTTCCATCGGTAGAGACTCTGACGGGCGTTTGGCTAGCCTCCTCTTTGGGAAGCGTCATTATTAGATCTTATCTGTGAGTGGCGAGCCTAGGTGCGCACAAGTTCTATATCAAACAGCAGAGATTTACTTCTCATGAATATTTACCGTCTTGCAACAAGAATCTTAACCTTAAGTTATGCTTATTTGTGTGATCGTTCGGGCTTCAAAGGCGTTCCCAGGACGCTAAGCTCAAAGTAGCCTCAGTTGGTTCTAGTTGGTGATCCTTGGACTCAGCGACCTACGAAACAAAGAGGTTGAAGCACGTGGGCGAAACCACACAAAGAAAAAGCCCAGTGGCGCAACAACAAACGCCCATTCGTATAGGACCATGATCTCAGCCGCACTACTTCGTATATAAAGCCAAGGTCCAGCACTACTTCTCATTCACTTCACAAGCTCATCTCATATCGTCGCCATGGGTCAAGAAGAAGTCGGTCTGGAGGTCCTCCCCCCTCCTCCGGGTTACTCACCCTCAAATCAAGATGTGGAATTTGTTATGCCGACATCTTTCACCATCCATAAACAAGGCGATTCCGAGGTAAAATTCAACATACGCGGCAACTCCGGCAGCACGCCACTTTCAATCGCATGCACATACAAAAACACAGAAGACGATTTCGAAGCAAGAGTGAATCTCCTCTCACGAAAAGCTGAAAACGCATCGCCCTTAGCGACAGTAAAATACTCCCGCCACAGCGCTGAGCTCGAATTCACCAACACATCTCCTCCCTCGAATATCACCATGTACTACCGTCTCCTGGGCGATAGAAACGCAACACACTCTTTCAACGTCAACACTCCGGAGCGAACAAGTTTTGAGTGGAGAAATCTTGGTGATGGCGAAGGATGGAAATTGTACATGGGCTCAAGGCCTGAAGTATTGGCGGTAGGTGCGCTGAATATGGGGTCTGATAAACCTACGCGATTTGAGTTTACGGATTTGGACATGGCGAAAGAATTGGATGAGCAGTGCAAATTGGTGATTGTTGCGTCGTGGTTGAGAATCTGGGACAAGGTTAGGATCCAGTTTAGACGGCCGCCTGATGAGGGCGAGACAGAGATGATATTATGTAGCTGCGGCCTCTGCGTGATTCTGTAGGGCCAGCATATTTTTTATTGATCTTTACTTCTTTGTGTGGGCTCCGCCCGGTAATAATTCCTTTGTCTATCTTTTATTGATGTACTAGCAATCGTTATACCAGGTACTCGAATGCATAATCAACAGTTCAATGGATATCGTTGATCCGGCCCGTTAAGATTGCCTGGCCAAGCGAGATGCCCTAGCAAAATGCAACCAATGAACAGACACGGAGGCTCATCCGTCTTGCATTCCACTCCCGAGCCTGATCGACAACCCAACAAACCCATTTCCCCATGACGCAACAATTCGCAAATCCCCCTTCAACATGAACGAATCCATCGATGGAACCCAGCCAAACACGTCGAGTCCGTGCATGAATTAAGTTACGAGTCGAATCTACCATGAACTACCCTCCACTTTTACCCCGCGCTCCAACCAACCCATCAAATGAAGCAGTCCCTACTCCCGCACCCAAAAGACGCGCTGTCGCTGTCGCTTGCGACTCATGCAGGGGCCGAAAAGTCAGGGTACGTCCCCCTTTCGCCCCCTTTTGTGAACAGGTGCTTACTTATAAATAGTGCACTGGCGAGTTTCCTACATGTGTTGCGTGTCAGCGCCGTGGGGGCGAGTGCCGCTATGCTGATATTGCTAACGACCGTGAAATGCACTCGAATCAGCTCAAAAGGAGGGTCAAAGAGTTGGAGGATGAAAATAGAGGCTTTAGAACTTTGTTCGAGAGTTTGAGGACTCCAGGCGGGAGGACGAACCAGGAGATATTGCAGAGCATACAGGCCGGTGATGATTTTGGTACCGTCGTTGGACACACTCGAGATCTGGACAACGGGAAGCGGAAACGATCCCCGTCGCCGAGTTCAACAGCTAGACAACGGCCATCTGAGTGGACGACTGTGCGGGGAATTTTACCCAGAACACCGATGGCTTCTCCTGCAGCAATCTATCCTATCGTGCTGCCTATTCCCGCCTCACCATCTCCGCCTCCCTTTCCCTCGCCCCCCATTGATACACCAAGCTCACCGAAAGATGCTATCCTTGGCCTATTGACGCTCTCCCAAGACGTGAAGCCGGATCTCGTCTTGCTCAATGAAGCCCGCCCCAAAGAACATTGCGATCTTCGCTTAAACGACCTTTCCGTCTCGTTCTGGACACGTGTACCGATCAGTAACCGATCCGCATCGACGCTCATCTCAGCTTTTCTCGAGACAGACAACTCGGCTGTTGGCTTCATTGACAAGGACTTGTTCGTCACAGATTTGGTACAGCACAACCCGACATTCTGCTCCGCCTTTCTCGTCAACTCAATACTGTACCTCGCTTGCGTAAGCAACCCTCTTGTCTCCTTGTTCCACTCACTAACGCCTCGCCAGTTTGCGCACACCGCATCCGACGGTAGAGCAGCTACACTCGCACACAGCTTTTTTAACGACGCAGAGCGACTGTATCGCGCGGAAAGGTTATCTGACAGTCTCACGACCCTAGCAGCCATCAACATATTCAGCTTAGGGTGCTTCTCTCATGGGAACGACAACTTGGGCCAGGATCTCCTCTTATCGGGACGTCAGATGGGGAAACGTATGAATCTATATGGTCTTGATCCTACAAGCTCAGAGGTGAGGGGGTTCCAGGAGTTATCATCTGATAGTCCAGCGTCGCAAGCCTCCTGGGGGACTTTTAATTGGTTGACGGACGTGAACTCAAACTTTACTGATTGATTTCAGCTCACCTTCCGATGGGAATGTAATCGCTCGATATGCTAGGTTCAGATCAAAAGCCTTGAGCACTTCGAGCTGGAAGTTTACCGTGGTTATTGATTACGTGTTTGAACATTTGACTTTCCCTCCCGAATCCCCACCCAGTGAAGGTTATAAAGCCAGCCACTCGCCCTGCAAAATTCGATTGGGTTCTTTTCTCTCCAGTTTTCCCTCTCATTCCAATTCTCTACCGTTCTCACATCAACAGCATGGCCTCCTCTCCAGAGACAACAGCTTTGTCGGTCTCCACACCACATCATACTCTTCCTTTCGACGTCGAGATCATAATAGTCAATGATTTAATAGAGCTCTACAAGAGCACCGACAAACGCCTGGCACCTTTGGCCACAGTCTCTGAAACCTGGCAACGCCTCGTGGAGAAGCACACTTTTCAGGACTTACGACTAAGTGAACGGGACCTTCTCGCCTTCGAGAGGTATACTCATTCAGAGCGGCTACAACTTGTCAAGTCCATCACCCTCAAAGTCATTAGAGTTGTCCCCTCGCGTAGATCCCGCGACTGGAATTCCCTACCAAGTTTCTTCCATCACGTAGTTTCCACAACTACAGCTATCGAGTCTATACACATAGAGAAATGTTGGAATGAGTTTGGCGTGTGTGGCGGTCGTGGTATGTGATTTCCTCCCCCTCTCCCGACTTTCTGTGATGCTGAGACTTGAAAGCTTTTCCGATCTGTTTCAAGTTGCCAACTTCGGTGAAACAACTTTCCTATTTCCACGGCGTTAGCAGGGACTATCAAATGAATATCGAGCCGACCAATTTGGAGCTACTGGGCCTCATTTCGCGAGCCGCGGATCATCTTGAGCATATAGCCGTGTCTTATGCATTCAGCGCGAACCACTTCTTTGATCACTGCAAAGAAATGGAGTTTAAACGGCTAAAGACACTGGCACTGACCTATCGTTTCAACGGAATTCCTAACATTGGGCTCTTGAAGAATGCTTCAGAAGCAGCCAAGAGAATGCCCGCGCTCGAGATGCTGGAAATATGGGAGTTCGGCCTGCCAGGACCGCCAGTTCATATCTTTAGGTACGAGAAGCTCGGCGAGACCAGGGGTCGTATTAGTTGGCAGAGCTGCGGGAACCATAGGCTCCCTGACTGCATATACAGCGCGTGGAAGAAGAAGTCAACTGGTGGGAAGGTTTACGTACTCGAGGTTGTGGAGGACCGATTTTCCCGCCACGATGTCATAACCTTCTCAGACCTTGTGCCACATTTGAGGCTAAAGGGGCAGATTCTGCGTGAATCTACTATGAAACAAGTTTTGGAACTCACAAAATAAACCAGATATCTTAAATATATGAATCGCAAACTGCCCACTTATATCAAATTGTACGCCATAAATCTCAAGAGCTTCGCCTCATTCTTTCTTCTTCTTTTTTTTTAGCATACAAGTAACCTACGGTTGAGGGCTTACGAGCTTTGATCACTACCTAGGACTTGGCTAGTATCACCTTGATTTCTAACTCATTTATCTTTTTGTGGTTATAAACTCTCAGCCACAGGCCCCAACAGCGAATAGCATATCTCTTCTCTATCAAGACACGTGCTGAGTCATCTGGGGGATTACTCGGAGGCTTTCTATAGGTGTCATGGATGTGTCGAACATCAGAGTTCTCCAATCAACTGCACAGGGCGTAAACCCACAAACTTAGTTTTCAGAGTATCCTACCAATATCGTGGAATTGGTTTCCTCCCCTCTCTCTTAAAAGCTTAATTTCAAGTATAAAATCACTCGATACCCCAGAGTAACAGATCTCTAGATCACTCATCACGTCTCAGGATAACCATCCCTTATGCCGATATTTACGCTGGCAGATGGCAACATGAGTTCTCCCACCACAGCCGTTATGTGCAGTACGGCACCTTACGCCAGGCTCCCTCTCGAGATTGAATTATATGTCGTCCAGGCGCTGATAGAGACTCATAAGAGATCGGAGAAGCCAGGGTTTTGCTTATCGACCTTTGCTAGCGTTTCCAAACCTTGGCAACCTCTCATAGAGAGGGAAACATTCAACCGTATAAAGATAGCGTCACACGAGCTAGACCTATTCAAAGACCGTGTCCGATCCTACCGAACACGACTTGTCAAACATATTCTTCTCGAAATCCCATATAACGTCTCCTCGAGTGGCGATGATGACCAGGTTCAGTTTTCGAAAGCAGTCCACGCTCTTTGGCGTATCCTCTCAACATGGAAGACACACCGTGTAACAGTGGAGCTGGGCATCTTCTCTACTGAAGCAAAGCAACTCATGGAAAAGTGTGATCGAAACGGCGCCCACGACTACCCTTTTAACTTTTGGAAGACCCTCAACCCACACTTCTTCCTTACCATTGACGTTTGGAGACATAAAGGTCAGCAATTCTTGGGCAGCGAGCCTCTTGGATTCGACCGAGCTTCCTTATCGCAACAAAGTGCTACGAGTTTGCCTCAGGTTGACGCCATCACTGAGCTAGTGATCCGTAGAGAATATCACCCAAATATCGCTCCGATGACTCTCCATGAGATCATCTCGTCGGCTCCCTGTATTGAATCTATTCATCTTGAGAGATGGCTATATGCCATTTGGGAACAAGACAGAGATTGGGATAGCGGTATGTATCTCTTCTTTCCTGCAATTTTCCAATGTCCACAATACCAACATCTCATAGCCTTCCAGCAGTCAGGGCTTTTAGTGCCGGAATCGACGAAACGGTTGGCCTATTTTGAAGAATACCTTCCTCCATATTATCACTGGGCTGGGGGAATGGTAATACCACGATTAAACAGAACAGTTCTGGAATCCGTCTTCCACGCCGCAGATCGCCTTGAGCATATTGCTGTCTCTTTTGCTTTCGATGCACAAATATTTTTCGATGAGCTCATACAACCGAAGTTTAAAGTACTGAAGACTCTCGCACTTACATCTTCTTTCAGCGATACTCTCAACGATACATCTGAGAGTCTCTTACTTAATGCTGCAGAGGGAGTAAAGAAGATACCTGCTCTCGGAATTCTGGAGATATGGAATCTCAATAAATATCGTCAAGCCGATGTTTTCCGGTACGAGAGACTGGATCGACGCAATGGCCAACTCACTTGGCAGAGCACCCAGGACCGCCGGATCTCGTCACGCGTACAAAAGGGCTGGAAAGATCTGTTGGGTAGATTTCCGAGTGTTTTGGATGTAAAATGCAGCAAATTTCCGATGGAGATGGAAAGTCTTCAGGATATTCTACCATATTTGAAGTTGAGAGAGCAAATTCTTCGTGACTTCACCGAGAGGTAGAATTAGGTCTTAGGGACTATGATCAGGGCCTTTGGTTAGAAGCTCGGGTCGGTACTGGATGGGGTCTTCATGTTTCTGTTTTCTTTGTTTTCACTGCGGAATAAAATCTTCACTGAGTTCCTCATATCCCGAACGCTGTAAATTATGTATTAATGACTATACTGACATTGAACATCCAAGACATTGCGACCAATAACATGAATCTTTACATCTAAACCATGCTGCTATGTACTAGTGCCAAAGATCTCCATCGCTTAGTTGGGAAGGTTGGCAGGGGTATAAGACTGATCAGGCTTAACAACCTTTCCGCTCTGGACCTGCTTGTCGGTATAAGCGGGCCAGACGATCTGTCGCTTGGAAGAAACAACAGAGAAAGTGGTGAATCCGTTTCCAGGGCCGAACTGGCCGCTCCAGCCAGAGGTGATGGTGAAGTCACCGCACTTGACTGGTCCTCCGTTGCGCTGAGACGCCTTGCTGCCCTTGACGACATACTTGCAGCCGGTGGCAGCACCCTTGTGGGTGTCGATCTTGAAGTTCCAGGTGCAGGAGCTGTCGTCCTTGGCGCAGCTTCGCTGCATGTTCTCAATGGTCCATTGGGGGCTGGCGGCCATCATGTTGACGGCGGGAGCTGGGGCAGCGGAGACGCTGGTGGCCAGAATGGCAGCGAGACAGGCGAGAGAGAACTGCATGATGATGGTTGAGGAAGGTTGTTTGGTGGTTCTGGAAGATGTTAGTGTCTGGGAAGCTAGACTGGCTTGAAGTCGCTTACTATTAAGGTAGTTGAGTGTTGGTAGCGATTGTGATTGAAGCGAGTGAAGAGTGATTGAGTTGAAGCTGATGAGGAAACAATTTACCAGCAGTGCATCACTGTCCTTATATACTTTTTTCTTCTCGCGGAATGTAACATTTCAATCATGAGACGATAATACGACCTTTCGCAGTATACGAGTTTGAGGCTCTGAAGCCCATGGCATGACAGATCAGCCATGAGGATCTCGAAGGGTCCTTTCAAGCCATAGTGCCGCTCCGCCCCAGGCTACGACCCTGAATTACCACGCTAAATCCCCAAGTTAAGCCTTCACGTGGTCAAAGGCGAGAATCTCGTACGGAGCTATAGCATGATCTACCTAGAAGTGGTTAGGGACATCTCGTATTTTCCGTTTGACAACCAGTTAGAACCGTCGCTATTTTTGGCCCAAGCCTAGTCCCCTTACAGGCAAACCACGGGGACCTTGAGTGATTGTTCGTATTGTTCACCGATCATTCCACGCCGTAGATTATTGGAAAGGCTTATCCCAATGCGTAGACAATGTGCTCAGAGTAGGTCTATTTCTGAGTACCACGTTCCAATTAATGACGCCGTGGCTGGGGAAGTAGATCGTCTCTTCGGCTCATCGGCATCAATCGTGCCAGGGGTCAAGGGTCTCGGGCTTACCCGCTCCCCCAGATTTAGCCTTTATTGCTACCCTGTGACGTTACAGCTGCTTGGGCTTCATGTTACGTTGGCTTCTGGATGAGGAAAATGCCGTACATATTTGCGTTGCGCTTTGCAGAGTCACAATTGCCGATGTTTTTTTTTTGTCTTGATTTACAGCTTCTTCGTAAATCCAACAGCTTATGAGCAACAGTAGCTGAACCCAGGGCGTGGAGTGTATGACGGGATCGTTCGATATGTGCTTTTTTGGGGGGCGTCATGCAGGGAGAAACGCAGGGATAAAAATTCTCGTTCATCGACAAATTTATCTAGTGAAATGAATGTCCACGCATTTATTCGGCGATTAAGCCTCACCATTTAGGGTTAAGCATATCACATTGCTGAGACATGTTTGGCGGAGCCGTTGCTCCGCTTGTGTCCAGAGTGGGTGCCGTGAGCATTCCAACGATGGCTCAGCTCACGCCCTGACAAGCCGCCTTCACCGCCAACAACTTCAACCCAACAAACCATCCGAGAAATCTTGCAGCCTAAACTTACTTCTTGGGCGTAAGGGTAGTCCAGACTTTTCATAAGCCATATCGATCATTCTCGCCTGCGCAATGCTATCTTCATGGTCAACCCAAAGTCCAGAGCCATTACTCCCACGAACACGATTGACGAACTGCTCCAGCAGATGACGATATGATGACCAAAATGGCTCACCCGGTTGATCAATCCCGGCATCTTTGAATGCATAGACTTTCTTGGACTGTTTGACTGTCCATTTCTTCAAGTCCTTCGCATTCCTGTCATCCCGAATGGTGTACTCGTCCACGATGTCAATGCGGTGCCAGAAGGATGATATGAGGAAGCTGCTTATACTCAGCTTCCTGACCTTCCATTTAGTCTGTTCTTTCGGGAGTGTCATATCCTCCAACTTCACCTTTCTATGACACACCGATATGTTGAATGTTGGGAAAGTGGTAATTGATGATCGCGTATTCATTGTAGCATTTCCAACTCGTCCACCCGGAAAACGAAAGCTTGCCTCAGAAAACTCATCGCAGAGGTCTCCAGGAGGAGGACCACTTCTGAATTTGCACGCAACACATTCCTCAGGCTCATCACCCATGATCTGACGCAGTGCATACATGGGGTATGTGCCAAGATGAAGCATGGTGCCGCCACCCAAGTTATACTCGAGCTGTGCACTTCCCTTGGGTATAATATACGACGGCAATGCTGCAAGACTATCGACAGTTTGTATGTCCTGACAGTCGACTAGGCTAAGAAAGTATTGCCAACTCGGCTGGAAGCGAAAGTGCATTGCTTCGAGAAGAACAGGTGCATGGGGCTGCCGTAGTAGTGGCGACCGGAATAGCTTCTCTGCCTCGGATGCATTGACCGTGGCTGGCTTTTCAAGTAGCACATGCTTTCCTTTGGCGATTGCTTTGATGGCCCATTCATAGTGTAAGGTAACGATAAGGGGGATGTAGACGGCATCGATGGAGGAGTCATCGAGGATTGCTATATAGAAAAAGTCAGCCAAGTAAACAACAATGGATAACTGGAAATTTGTACCTTGGTAACTGTCGAAAACGTGTGGGATATTATGCTTTTTGGCACATGCCTTGGCCTTTTCTTTCTGACGAGCCGCTACAGCATAGATTTCAACATCCGGATGAGATTTCGCTGGAGTTATCAAAGCGGTTGCACTTGTAAACCATCAGTATTAATGACTGTAATCTTGAAATGCCATAGCTAGTTACGCAATATTTGCTGCGCCAAGAATTCCGAGCTTTACAGGGTTGGCGTTCTTTGGTGGCTCTGGGGGAGAGTAAGCCTGCCAATTACGGCGGAGGAAGCCGACGACTGAGGACATGGTATTATTGAGTCAATCTGTGTGAACTGATGATTATGGCATTATATGGGCTTTTATATATACTCATATTTCCATGCTCGACAAAACATGTCTCTTACTTTGCGTAGTACATCTTACAGGACCTGACCTTTTTACCAATCTAAGCCTAGCTCCAAACTCCTGCTGGTGTCGTGAATCTGACATTTTTGCCTCTTTCGGTATAGCCTCAGATGATCAACGACTGTTCATGACAAACTCCTCAACATGCGAGTTTCCTCCTGTATTCTCCTTTCGCCTTTACAAATCTAACTTGTTAATTTCTGAGAAGACTGACGCGTACATCGGATCAGTCATGCCAACTTCAGCGGTAGAGACCGACTCGCCTGATAGCGCCACGCTATCCAAGATTGGACTCAGTGACGTATCAGATGAAGCGGCCAAGCAAAGAAAGAAAGTCCAGAATCGGCTCTACAAAAGAGCTTCCAGTACGTATCGGACTTGTATTCATTGACAAAAGTCTTGATCACTTCAGTCTTACTGTTTTATGTGCTCCAAACGTCATCAGAGGACTAAAAGCTCATCAAGCTGACCACGTATAACAGGGTTACGTAAAGTGGCAGGCAATAACTCGAAAACAAGAGACGCGCGATATAATTATCAAGTCAATCGCTGGAGGCTTGATGAGCTCGGTGTTACCAAAGCTCAGGGACCCCTAAGAGGGCAAGGCATGTCTATCGAAACCCCAGACATGACAGTGCAATTCAGAACAGAAGAAAGCAGTACTGTGACTATACTGAACCAAGAACTATGGTTCCCTCTCCCAGACGACCATCTATTATATCTTGTCAAGTGTAATGTGTTTCGCGGACTTTGGCGGAACAAATTCATGGTGGATAGCTTGACAGTGCCTTATTACGCGCCAGGTCCCTCAGTCGCCACAAGCTTCGCCTTTCCCAGATATTCCTCTTTGCTCCCTAAGACACCAGAATATCATGGCTCATTGGCACCAACTAAGAGTCAGATGAGACTCAATCACTTCTCATGGATCGATTGTATTCGTTGTCCGATAATGCGGGAGAATCTCATCAGCCATGAGTTCAATTTTAGCCATGTTGATTTTCTGAGAGATCTAGTTGGGACTTTGATCAACTTGGACCTGTTCAAGGCACCGTTTTTACCTGGTACTACCCATGATGGAAATGTTACGTGCGGTTTGGATACAGTGGCTGCAGGCTCAGGACTTATTCTATGGGGAGAACCTTATCTGATAGACAGTTGGGAGATTACACCAGACTTCTTGCTAAAGTGGGGGTGGACGATTATGAATTGTCAGGAATTGGTTAACTCGACGAATTATTGGAGGATGTCGAGAGGGGAAACACCACTCCTGCTACCATGAGCCCGATGTGCTCAAATCAAGATGTTGGCTTTAGCTCATCCTTCAACGTGCCGACAGGATCTTGTGTCTGATGGTCACCCCAACTGGCATCCCATCCATTCTCCTCGAGATAATTTTTCCAGATCTGATCCTCCTTTTCGAGATGCTTCTCACCGTCTTGGACAACGAACCATGCATTAAGTGCGCCCAGAACCGCGAAGGCTGAGCCAATCAAGAAGACAACCTGATTGCCCTTGACGGTATCAGTGTATGAGCTGAGGATGGCAGTGAAAACCTGATCAGATTAGCAACTGTAAGAAGCACAGAGACAACGGGCACGACTTACCTGAGTACCGATGGCAGCACCAGCTTTTGACCATGCAGAGATGAAACCGAGGGCATGTCCTCGAACAGAAGTTGGGAATGGCTCAGTCGCCACGATGACAACAGTGCTGCGATGATATTAGCTTGACAGGTCCTCCTTGGGGCTCATGTTTGCACTAACCTTCCAGGACCGACTTCGCCCAAGGTAAGGAAGATACCGTACAGAACCACGAATAGTGGAAAGACCTTCTGAATCTGCTCATTCGCGCCACCGAGCACAAATCCGAGAACAGCTTGAAGAGTGTAGCCCAAAGCCATAGTCTTTCTTCTTCCAATCTTATCAGACAGGTATCCGCCGATGAAAGGACCTGGGAGGTAGAAACTATTAATCAACGCTCCCCAGCCGAGGTTCTGGACAAGCGAGTTCGAAGCATTGACTCTTGAAATGATAACAGAGCTGAAGATACCAAAGGGAATCGAGATCCAATTGTACAGGAACCAGCTCAGAGCCGCGCCAATGATGCGCCTCCAGTACTTCTTGAAGATTAGGAAATACGGCGTCCTTTGTTTCCGAAGAGCTGAATTTCGGTACGCGGTCGATACCCTCATCCTCAACCGGAACCAAAAGATTGACAATGGCGGGACTGCACCCAGCGCAAGTGCAACTCTCCAAACAGTCTCGTATCGATCCGTTCTCTGATGCACACAGAGAAGCAAGAGCAATGGAACGAGCGCACCGAAAGTATATCCCAGTCCGGCAGAGAGATCGGCTACCATTGCAAACATGAACCCTCTCGATTTGCGAAATTGCCCATCTTCATCAGAAGCTTCCATTGCACCAGCTCCCGAAACGGGATATTCTCCTCCAGCACCGACACCAGCTATTCCACGGGCGATGACGAGCATCCACATCAGCCCGGTGGTGGTCAAACCGCTTGCGCCAGCGCTCAATGCAATGCCGAGGAGGAGAATGAGCGTTGTCATGACGGCGCCGGTTTTGCGACCCAGTTGGTCTACTACCACGCCAAAACCTATCATGCCGACAATCATGCCAATGAGAAAGGCGTTGGAGAGGCGGGATCGCATTGTTGATGTTAGGGCTTCGGGGTAGAGGGTTGCGAAGAGGAGCTCGAGGTTGCCAATCACCGCAGCATTGCTTGTTTCTTGTCAGAGATTGCATGGAGAAGAGCATCGTGGGGTGATTATGCTTACTAGCCATCTGATCCCAGGGCAAGACCCGAGAAGACCATGGTCAGATACACCGAGACCTTGCTGTACAGATCTGGCTTCCTGACATCTCCAATTTCGACATCTTGGATATCCTCTACCTTGGCCTTCTTTGTGTCGTCAAGCTCATGACCCGCCGTTGCGGGTGTAATCTCAAGAGCCGACATACTGTAGACAGAGCGAGTGTGCACTCTTTGGCATAGGATGATGATGAGAGAGAGATTTGTTACATACGATCAGAAGATCGACAAAGCTTAGATACCGTGGTCACCTTTAATCTAATACAAAACATTCAGCGATCTTATCTGAGACCTGGAAATAAGGAACCAAGCTAAATACCGTCTTATCCGACGGCAGCAATTCTATACGCCGGTTATACGTGTTGAGAGATACTGTCTTGCTATATAATAACTCATCGGCGAACTCTGCCCGGGTATTAAAAGTGCAACCGAAGGGCCTGTAACTGACGATAAAGCGATGCTCAGAAGGGTAATTGTATCCTTGCTTCAGTGATAAGCATCACTATCAGTCCGTATGGAGACGTGATCTGCATGAATGGGGGCGGGGTTCGTTTGAAGAGCGGGGAATAACATGATAATCGGTCGCGATGTAACCCGGAACTCGGCCGCTCGGCGTAGCAAATGGTTTTTGTGAGATTGAGATATTTAGGTGGTTGGCCGACGGTGATTAGATTGCCTTCCCAGAGGAGTAAGCTGCTCTGTCAATTGAGGCGGACTTTTCTCAGCTAGCTTACTCTTGAAATCGTTTCTATATCCATTTTCAAGAAAATCGAGCAAGGCAGAACAAAGTGAGGCAATAGCTTCATCCTTGAAGTTGTACCAGTACTCAAGCTTGTTTCACAAGCAGCAACAATGCAGCTTCCAGCAATTGACATCATCTATCATGAGCCCATCACCTTGAGTGATGGGACCGTCTTGTCAGCCATGATATGGCTACCCAAAAACGCCAAATCACAACCTGTCCCAGCGATCCTCGAATACTTACCATATCGAAAGCGAGACATGACTGCCGTGCGTGATGCAATGAATCATCCATACGTTGCAGCCCATGGCTATGCTTGTGTCCGCGTTGACATGCGAGGAACTGGTGATTCTCAAGGTATTCTAAGAGGCGAATACCTACCGCAAGAGCAAGATGATGCTTTAGAGATTCTGAAGTGGATCGCTGCGCAAGACTGGTGTACGGGGTCAATAGGCATGATTGGCATCTCTTGGGGCGGCTTCAATGGATTGCAAGTTGCGGCTCGTCGACCTCCTGAGCTCAAGGCTGTTATTTCTATCTGTTCAACTGATATGCGCTATGACGACGACATTCATTACATGGGCGGTTGTATCTTGACCGAAAATCTCACCTGGGCTGCTTCTATGTTTTCAATCAACTCGTCGCCTCCCGATCCTGCAATAGTTGGTGATCAGTGGCGGGATCTCTGGCTAAAGCGACTTGAATCAGGCGGACTTTTCGCTGAAGAGTGGCACCAGCATCAGAGACGTGACGATTTCTGGAAACATGCGTCCATCGGAGAAGATTACAGCTCCATCCAATGTCCTGTTTATCTCGTAGGCGGATGGATGGACCCTTATACCAACACCATCTTCAGAATGTTGGAGAACCTGAAAGTTCCGAGGAAAGGTCTTGTTGGTCCTTGGGGGCACAAATACCCTAACTTCGGATATCCTGGGCCTCAAATTGGGTTTCTGCAAGAGTCTATTCGGTGGTGGGATAAGTGGTTGAAAGGAAGCGAGACGGGGATTATGCATGAGCCTATGCTTCGATGCTATCTTCAAGATCCGACCCTTCCTGCACCGTATATGGAGCATCGTCCTGGGCGCTGGGTTGCTGAGGATGATTGGTCCGATTCCAAGTCTTCCTTGCTGCGTTTGAGTCTCTCGCCTGGCCAGTTGACAATCGGCAATCCAAGCAGTGATGAAAAGCTTGAGATCTGCTCTCCTCAAACAGTGGGAATTGCAGGTGGCAGATGGTTAGTCTTCGGCGTCGAAGGTGAAGGGCCTGGTGATCAGCGTCTTGAAGCTGGAGGAAGTCTCGTATTTGATTCACCAGTTTTATCCGAGCCTATGAACTTTCTCGGAGCCCCCGTCTTGAAGGTGCGCGTTGCGAGTGATAAAGCAAATGCTCTGGTAGCAGCGACCCTATCGGAGGTACTACCCAGTGGCGCAGTAACCAAGGTCTCTCATGGCGTTCTTAACTTGACGCATCGGCATGGTCATGAAGATGTGCAACCTCTAGAGCATGGGAAGTTCTATGACATTACGCTCAAGTTGAATCACTTTGGGCAGCGCATCGGCGTTGGAAGTCGACTCCGCCTTGCCTTGTCCTCGACATACTTCCCCTTGGTCTGGCCATCACCCGAAGTCACAACCCTCACCATCAACTGTGCCCACAGTACTATAGATCTCCCCAAGCGGGGCGATAACCCTCAAGACTCGTATCTCAAACCTTTCAAACCAGCAGTCAACCGATCCCTCTCACAAACTGAGCTTCGACCAGTTAAGCACAGAAACTACGTCACCAACGATTGGGACTCTGGCGAAACAGCTCTTTGCGTTGACTGGGACGATGGTATGTGGGAAGTCAACGAAACAGGTTGGAAGTATGGATGGTGGACAGGCTTGAAGTCGAGTGTGAAGCCAGACGATCCATTGTCCGCGGAGGTTGAGCAGCGATTTGAGAGGGACTTTGAGAGGGATGATATTGTTATCAAGACGAAAGGTTGGACGAAGATGAAGATGACGAAGACTGATATGATCATTACAGCTCGTCTTGATGCATACGAGAATGGGAAGGCTGTCTTTGGAAAAGACTTTTCTTACACGATTGCTAGGGATAATGTCTAACATTTAGATCTTCTAAGATTAAAAACTTCGCTTTCCAAGATATTAGTACTTACCACCGTCGACTTTGTGACTGCAAGCGTTCCCGAGCTTGTCATTAGGCAGATCACGTGTCGCTAGGCAGCATCGCACATGACTAGCAACTAAGTTATTCATGCACAATGGGTTCTTTGAGGCTCTTGCGTCGGATAATCAAGTCCTTACATGTGATCATGAGCCGCCATCATCCCGAGGAACTGTGCAGCGGAATAGGAGATGGTATTTCGATTTATATCCGCTGGAATGATGCTCGCCTTGTTGTCTACCTAAATCGCTCCCAGACAAGCATGGGTGTTTCCTCAATCGAAAACAGTTTCCTCGATAGTTATAATGAGGCTTGTAACAACGACGACATCGAAGAAGCCGAGTCTCTATCCGATGAAATCCTTGATGCTGTCGTCGAGGCTGGAAGAGACACCTTCGACCGTCTAGCCCCACCGCCTTCCCCTTGCGACAAGTCTTCCCAAGATCTACATACTCTACTTCTTCCCAAGGAATATTCCTTTTCATTCCAAGCCTTGAACGGAATAGCAGAGGTGGTGCAGAAAGACTGTGGTGCCGGACAGGACACTGTTCTCCTTGGTCAATCTGGCCAACCATTCCACCTCAACATCGACAAAGATTGCAAGCTACCAATCTATTCTACTAAAGAACTCCATGTCGTCGAAAACCTTCTTAACGCGGGTTACATCGCCGTGTGCAAGTCGAAGGGAGAGAGATGTGTTCAAAGGCCGGAGACAGCAAGGGCGAGGACGCCACGCAGCGAGAACTTGAAAGCCTCTGGCAGATTACGAAATCCCCTCACGCAGCTGCCATCCGCGTGCCCAAGCTCCTAGGCTTAATCGCGAATCCCCAAAATGGCAAAACTATTGGGTTTCTGGAGGAATATATCCCTGTCTCCGAAACCTGGGAGTTGTCAACACTTGGAAGCATCGATGATGTTTCTGCAATTGACGAGGGCCGTCGGAGGAAGTGGGCATCTCAGGTTCAGGATACTGTTGATCTCCTACATAAGATTGGGATTACATGGGGTGATGGCAAAGCATCTAACGTATTGATTCATCGCGAAACTGACGACGCATGGGTCATTGACTTCGGGGGCGGATGGACGGAAGGCTGGGTAGATGAGGAATTAAGCGGGACGGTGAAGGGAGACGAGGTCGCAGTCAAAAAGATCATGGAATACTTGCAAGTTTCGTAGTTAGCAAGTAATTGTATCGTAGCATCATTGCCTATCGTTTGCTCTGGACTGCCTTAGAAGTTATCTTGCCACTCATGAAATAGAATTGAGCCATGAGGCAGAATTTTCAAAACCTGCAGTGTTGAGAGCGCAGTGTATTTGTCCTGGCAGGGACAGCTCAGCGGAAACTATTTAGTGGTGTGTGAGCTACTATGTTATGGGTAGTTCAGGCGACCGTTTCTCCCTCGTCCGAAGCCACATTGACATGGAATGCTATTATTACCCACCGGCCAGTCGCAGGAAAACATAGTATAGTATGCCTTGGTCGAGCTGCAGCAATGACGACTCGGGGGACTTCACCGACAGGCATCTCAGCTGCTGTCTCACCAAGAGCCTCCCTGTCTTCGCACCTAATTCGAGGTAGCTGCATCTTGACGGGTGTCGTGGTTGGCCGAATCTGAGACACGGGTCATAGCGGGCGGCTGAAGCCGCGGGGCCGAAGATCACCTTCCTGCATGGGACTGATCAGCTCGGAACTATCGAAAGCCACATGTGCTGCTGTCACTCACTAGGTTGGGCTTTAATGCATCGAGATATTTCGTTTCACAGAGCTCCATACCTAGTCGCTAAGAGCTGGGACTTCGGTATACATGACACCAGATACAGTCCATCCATGAGACCGAGCAGGAGTAATTCTCAAATCCCAGTCCCGCGCATATTGTAGCAATGCAACTGGCCAAGCCTTTGTCGCTATTTTGGCATGCATCATGACCTCAATGACTTGACAGGAATACTGCCTTTGCGGATCCCTTGCTGCAATTCTCACCGGCCGGGTTCGTTCCGACCTGCAGGTCTCAGTTTTCGTGAAGACATGCTGCATATCAACCCCACTACCAAGTCTTGCAGCATTCCGCGCTGTCTGATGAGACAATATTTTACGTACGAGTTGTTGATCTTGTTCATCGATCTGCCAAGGGAGAGAAGTCATACGTCAGTCAACCGGTAAAGATGTAAGTCCGAAGGATATATAAAATGGCGGCATGTAGGCTCATTTGATGGGGTCCAAAGCTCTCTTCTTAAGATTACCAGATTAACAACTTTGATAAATCAGTCATCATGCCTAAGGAAAACGACGATATCCGGGACCAGGAGTTCGATGCTGTCCACGCATACTTCATTGGCCCGAAGGGTTCCAACCTCCCGGATTTCCGAGCCAACATCAACACCATTCTCGATGAACTCCTCGCCGCTCGTCAAGCCTACCACCCAGAAGACCAAGTCAGCACCCTTCATCTCCCCTGTTTCCCCCCTCTAACATCCCCAGGCCTTCATCTCCAAAGAATACCGCCGCTCCCCCGTCTTCCTCAAAGCGAGATCCGATCTCCGGCTCGCCACCGAAAAGGTCGCACAGCTTCTTGGCGAGCACTCAGCTCCCTTCTGGTCACCCCGCTATGAAGCGCACATGTGCACTGACCTTACCATGTCATCGCTCCTCGGGTATTTCATGACCATGCTGTATAACCCGAACAATGTCGCGCTAGAAGCTAGTCCCATGACGACGCTTGTTGAACTTCGAGTTGGGCAGCAGTTGTGTAAGCTGTTCGGGTACAATACTGATGTGCAGAAATCTCCGGTTTCTTGGGGTCATATTACCTGTGACGGGACAATTGCTAATCTTGAGTCCATTTGGGTTGGTACGTATTCTCATGCCCGTCGTGGTGAAATGGAAGTTAACAAGGGTAGCACGAAACCTCAAGTTTTATCCACTCAGCCTCTGCCTTGCACTGCGACGTGGAAAGCTCCAGTTCATTGGGGACAAGTTCTACGCCACTCGTTGTTTTCACGCAACCAAGAAGACACTCTTCAAGGATCTCAAAGGATGGGATCTGCTGAACCTCAGCTCCGAAGTTATTCTTGATCTTCCTAATGAGCTGAACAAGCAATTTGGTATTACCAGCAAGTTCCTCGAGAGCGCTCTTAATGAGTTCAACATCCAGACCATTGGGCGCGAGGTACTTGAGAGGGAGTTCAAAGTCAAGAACCCGATCAAATACTTCGTCAGCAAGACGCGCCACTATTCTTGGCCTAAGGGTGTCGGTAAGTTATTTCCCCGCTGCATTCGAACATGAACAGGTACTGACTAGTCCACCTGTAGCGATTGCTGGCCTTGGTTCGGGCAACGTGATCGGCGTCGACGTCAATAACGCTGCACAAATCGACATCAAAGTCCTTGAGAAACATCTCGAAGACTGTGTCAAGACCGAAACAGCCGTCTTCGCAGTCGTGGCCATCATCGGATCCACTGAAGAGGGCGCTGTCGATAGACTCACCGAGATCCTCCGTCTTCGTGACAAGTTCCAAGAGGAGCATGGCCTGTCATTCCTCGTCCACGCTGATGCGGCCTGGGGAGGCTACTTTGCCACCATGGTCAATCCTGATCGACGCTACAGCGTTGAGGACCAGGGTTCATCTAAGCCAGAGCCTGAATGGTACCTGGATCCCAAGACTGTTGAAGACATCAAAGCCATGGCTGAGGCGGATTCGATCACTGTTGATCCGCACAAGGCTGGGTATATCCCATATCCTGCTGGGAGCTTGGTGTACAAAGATGGACGGATGAGGCATCTGGTTACATGGTCCGGCCCGTATCTGTCGCAGGGTTCCGCCGAGAACATCGGTGTCTATGGCGTTGAGGGCAGGTAAGTATCCCGTTACTTCCAGTATCTGACAGTGACTAAGTCTCTTTTAGTAAACCAGGTGCTTCAGCAATGTCAGCATGGTTCTCCAATTCAACCATCGGCCTCAACCATCATGGCTATGGCAAGTTGCTCGGTGAAGCAACCTTTACCAGCGCCAGAGTAAGCCTCCAAACTCCTTCTATCATTCCTCGTGTGCTTAGATCTCTATAGCTCTCGGCTCACTACGCAACCATGATCAACGACGACTTCATCTGCGTCCCCTTCAACATGCTCGCGGCCGAGAACAACGGTAGTCGAGGGTTCCTTTCCAAGCCCGTTGAGAAGCAACGCGACAAGATCCGTGATCTCATCGTCGGAAAGAAGGACCACGAAATCTTCGCCTCCAAGGACGCAATGAAGATCATCCGCGATCTCGGTTCCGATACCAACATCAACTGCTTCGCACTCAATTGGAAGGACAAAAATGGTAATCTGAACACTGATCTTGAAGAAGCAAACTATCTCATGAAGCGAGTGGTGGATAGACTTTCTATCACTTCCGCCAACACTGACCCCACCGAGATCCCAATCTTCCTGACATCAACCCAGTTTCTCCATGAGGACTATGGCTCTTGCGCTCATAAATTCATGGAGAGAATGGGAGTTGGAAAGTCTAACCAGAGTCTTTTCGTGATTCGAAACGTGGTCATGAGTCCATTCCCTACTCGACAGAACTTTATTGATAAGTTGATGCATGAGTTTGAGGAAGTCATCCGCGATGAGGTTGGCAAGGTTCGCAAGAGGAATGATCCTGGTCAGAAGAAAGTCCAGTTCCTTGTGCAGGGTACACCCGGCTCCTCTGAGGTGTTCCTATCGTTCCAGGCTTCGTTTCATAGCGCGACGAAACGGCAGCAGATTATCCTGTCTGCGACTCTTGATAGTACATTGAGGGACTTTCACAAGGAGCTTACTGGGGGTAATCAGGATAGCATTGTGATGCTTGAGTCGACTGAGAAGGTGTTCATTGAGGATGTTGTCGAGGTGCTTGGCGATCTGGATGTCGTCATGTACGAGAAGGGAACCAAGTAAGTACCCAGCCCACCGATCATCGTTAAATGATTACTGACGTCCTGCAGGAAATACCATCAGAGAGACGGAACTATCACCCTCAACTCAGTAGTCAAGAGTCGCCCTCTCAACTCCATCCACCGCGAAATCGACTACCCCTCCGAATTCATGCCCTTCTACCTCTACGGCAACGAGAAGGAAATCCACTGCTCACACATACTCGTCAAGTCTCCCAACATCTCCCTTGCAGCCAACAACATCACCTTCAACCCCAGCCTCTCCTCCGAGATCAACCATCGCCAATCCATCGCTGAGCTTCTCACGGAGGGTATGATCCTCGGCCTTGTCGAGATCCCCGAGGATTCTATGCAGCCTTTCGCTGAGAAGAACCAGGACTTGGCTGAGGAGTTCTTTTTCCGACAGGGTCAAAAGTTCAAGGTCAAGATTTGGAAGGATCCTAAGGATGCTGCTGCTCATGGGCCGGGTTTACTTAAGGATCTTGGAAAGCATTTGTATGAGGGTGAGATGACACTCGGTGAGAATGTGTTTGTGGATGCTGAGGGGCCGAATGAGGATAAGTTGAAGGATAGAAAGGTTGAGTCTGACTCGTGGCAGAGAAAGTTGGATGAGGTTGGTAGCTTATTGGATGGCACTCACGTCAACTGTCAATAATGCTTCACCACGAACAACAGGGATCATCAGACCAGCTTGAGGAATACGGGTATAAATATCACCTCAATCTATTTGCATTTTGTCTCTATTCGGCCGCTTTAGGCTCCGGGATTGATCTCGATAGCATATCCTTCATAGCCACTGTGAACTCTTCAACCCTGACCATCAAACTCATATGGCTTTCCCCCTTCATGACTCTCAGCTCTGCACCAGGCATGAGCTGAACAGCCTTCTCAGACACCCCAATCGGAACATTGACATCTAGATCTCCATGCCACATTATTATCTTGCCCCTCTCAACTTTGACATCTTCCAGCTTGAAACCCCAATCACTTCCAAATAATCGAGCTTCCCACGCAGTTGCATATCCGCCCTGCTTCATTGCCTCTCTCGTAGCTCTCCCTAGGGACTTTCTAAAGTCCGGATGAGTCTCCCAAACCTCCTTATCGCTTGCTGATCTGGCACTTATGTCTTTATCCATCATTTCCTCCAACTTCTCTGGGTGCTTGGTGTCTCGTGCTGTGTTCCCCAGTACTCTATCGGTAATCCAGCCCACGACTCCTGTAGCGTAAGGCGCTACGTTGAACATAAGTCGTGTCATTG